TCTAATACAAACTATAAGTCACCTATAATGAAGCTATGTAGATATGCAATGATTGGCTCCTAGAGCTGGTACCATGTACCAGGTATCTCAAGAGTGTCATGTAACTTGGGTACACTTGGGTTTTGTACCCCGTTACACATTGCATCTCCGCTTATTGTGGCCATTCTTGCCACACTTACTGCAACGGTACTTATCTCGTTTCACTACGGATGCTGCGGAAAGCTGGGTGTCAAAAAACGCAGAGACGCGCAATTGCCCCGTCTGTGCGATCACCAGTTGGTGTCAATAATGCAAAATAACTTGCCCAAAAGCACAAATTTTGTAGATTTGGGCCCGTATTTTATTTCAAAAATGTTGAGTACTGCCACATCAATTTCAACAAGCTGAAATTGATGTAGTAGTACTCAATATTTTGCAGATCGGCGAACGGTGAACGGTGAACGGCGAGGCGGCAGGTCACCATGAAGCTTGTTAGGTGCGTGCGCGCCGCCTGGAAGAAGGCTAACACTGCCAGATTCTCGTGCTCCACACTCCCGCGTATCTGCGTACTAACTAACGGTTGCGTCTCTCTCTCTCTCTCTCTCTCTGCAGATTTTTGATGAAGCTGTCGAATGAGACTGTCACGATCGAGCTCAAAAACGGAACGATCGTGCACGGAACCATCACTGGTGCGAATGCGTACACGCTGGGGGATGTTTTATTTTCCGTGTATACTGACTAAATTGCTTTTCTCTCTGCTTATTACTGTTGTGCTGCGCGGCAGGGGTGGATATCAGCATGAACACACACCTAAAGGCGGTCAAGATGACCGTGAAGGGAAAGAACCCTGTGAATCTGGACTCGCTTAGCATCCGTGGCAACAACATTCGCTACTATATATTGCCGGACTCACTGAATCTAGACACACTGCTGATCGACGACACTCCGCGTGAAAAGGTGAAGGCGGGTGCTCCAGCTGGAAGTGGTCGTGGGCGTGGGCGAGGCCGCGGCCGGGGACGCGGTCGTCCGTAATAGATGCGTTGGAAGTAATATCCTTAGCCATTTGGGCGGGATGATAAGGTCCACTCGTGAAGAAGAGCGATGTTGAGGCGCCGCGGTGAATGTGATATCGCGTAGCTGCTTGAAGAGCGCAGGAAGCAGAGCTCGTCGGGGCTAGAGTTTCCACTCGTAAGAGATGCGACAGATACTATAGGCATTTCTCGTTTCTAAGATAAAAGGACTTAATTTGACGCGGCGGTAAGTGGTGTTTGCACTTGTACTTGGTTAAGATGATGGTTGGCACTGCAGGAATCCTTGATGGTCATTATTTCGCATTTGCAGTAGTTTCTCGAGCTCACATCTCACCATGTAGTGGCTCACTTGGACCCATGCAATGCATACATCTGCAGATGACATTCCCTGCCAACCAGTGCAATAGCATATCGCACTTAAATGAGTGTACCAGCTTCACTATTGGGACTGTCAATCTAACAAGATGCCGCAGCAGAACAAGCGCAAGGCGGAGGAGGACGCCGCCGATGCGGACGCCAGCAACTTCCTGGAGGAAGCCCAGCGCTCTGTTGATTTCCTTTTCTCGTCGACCGTCGTACTGCCAGGTGACGACATCACGGACACGCTCACCAAGACAACGCGTCGCGTCAAACTTGGTGCGTGTGCTGCATAGGATATGAGCTATCACCAATTACTGACTCGCTATTGTATGCGTGCTTGAGCAGGCTCCGGGCTCAAGCAGCTACCAGATGAGCGGATTGTATGCACCAATGCCGGCGTTCTCCGTTATCGACCAGCAAACCGCTACTGGGTCGAGTTCAACCACAAACGCGTACATTGTGTCGACTGCTACTATGACGCTATGAGTAGCTGATTAATTGTGGTTCCTTGATGGGCAGTATATTGCGTCGATGGACGACGGCGTCATTGGCATCGTAACTGACCGCAATGCCGAGTTCTACCGCGTGAACATTGGAGCAGCGTACGTTCCTTAGCTGAGCTGCTGCGGTAGCAATGCTTCATTGGCTAGGATGAATGGTTCAGTGCTAACTTTTTTTTCTGTTGTTTTACTGCTCAGTGCCAGCGCTACTTTAGGCTCACTAGCGTTCGATGGTGCAACGAAGAGGAACCGTCCGAGTCTTCGTCTCGGATCTCTCGTGTATGCTCGCGTGAGTAAGACCAACCCAGATGTAGAGCCTGAAATCACTTGCGAAGGTGCAATGTTTTGAAGCCTACTGTGTATCCTGTTGCAGTGAACTAATGCACGTGAATGTATATCATTTTAGCTCCTCCAAGTGTGACCAAGAAGGATTGGATGACTGGCTTGGCCATCTACGGTGAGCTAAACGATGGCTACGTATTTAAGACGTCCATTGGCCTAGCAAAGTCACTACTGCACGAAGATTGTCAGGTGTTGGCGTCTTTGGGAAAGAAGCTGGCGTTTGAGGTGGCAGTTGGAGTCAACGGTGTCGTGTGGGTAAACGCCAAGACTACGAAGAATATCACGATCATTTCCAACGCCATCATGAACTCCGAGACGATGTCTCCCAGCGAAGTCGACGCTATGGTGTCTCGGCTTGTGGAAGACGCCGACGACGCTTAAATAGAGAGGAATACAGACCCCACAGCTTCATGCTATGCCATAAATTGCTGCGACTCGGACGTCATGCTGAGTCCCATGTAAAATTTAGCCACAAAGCAGGCCTGCATTTGTTTATTTGTGAAACATTCTCAAACTCCTGCAACTTGCTCTGTTGCTAACAGCACTCTTTGAATTGCTACCATGATGTCGGCAAGCGATGACGCCAAGGGCATGATCGCCCAGGAGGAGCGAGAGCTGCGACGGGTGTTCGACCACCTTAGCTCGTACCGTCAGAAGAAGAGATTGGCCCACACGATAAACGACTGCAAAGAACGACGTCAGCGCTTGGAGGCAAATAAGAACAACCCCGAGGTGTCAGCGTTGCTCAACGAGAAAGGAGCAAAGATGACACGTGATGAGATCGAGGACGAGCTACGTAAAGTTGACCAGAGCCTGGAGAAAGCCGTCGCCGACCAAACTGCGGTGCAGAACAGCAACGCTCATAGTCGCGTGATCAAGAATGAAGATCTTTACGAGGCCATTAAAGCGTTGGGTAAGGTGTGCTCGAAGAAGGAGATCGGCGACATGATCTGGGAGGCCGACGAGAATCTGGACGGCGTCGTGGACTGGGAGGAACTGCGCGCCATGTTCAATCGAAACCTGCTGGACAGAACGGAGCTGGAGCCGGCCAACCTCTTCAACGTTGTCCAGTTCATGACGTACGACAAGAAGAACTGCGGAGTCATTACCGCAGATGACACCATGGCCATCCTCTTTGCGCGCTACGGCCAGTCGCAACTCGAAATGCGCATGAAGCAGCTATTTGGTGACAGCGACGAGCTCACATTCGTTGATTACCTGGAGCGTGTAGGCAAACAGCGGCGCTCGAACGTCGAAGCGCGAGCGAAGGCGTAGATAGGCAGCTCTGCAGAGACAAAAATATAAGATGGAGCTTACGTTGAAGCAAACCTGACGCATTCGTCTTAGGTGACTGGCAGACTGGCAGTAGCAGTGACTGCTGTTAGGAGTAGCGTTAAAGATACACGCGCACACAAGCTGGCACTTTATCTCGCTCTTCCCGGTGCTGTTGAAGTGACAGTCTCGCTCTTCCCGGTGCTGTTGAAGTGACAGAAATGTGGTGCTACGTGTCGTTGCACGCGCTCTGATACTCGTGGTATTGAGGACCCCACCGAGATGTTAGGTTCGAGCATCGACTAGTGCGGCAGCCGCAGCAGATGAGGGCCATGATGTCAAGACAAGGTGTCCACGAAACAACAAACTTCAATATGTAAGTACTCCACAAGAAACGTGCTCTTCTTTGCTTATGTCTCTCTTCTGGCGCATCTCCTCCCGACTCTCTCCGCTTGAGGTAGCTTTAAACTGATCTCTGCAAGACAATCGCAGGGCCGGCAGGCTTAGCCCAGAGTCAAGCCCAGACCAAACTTGTGCGAGTCGCCCTCGAAGTTCTTGGCGTCCACGTGCACGCTAGTGGTCAGCGTGACATACGGACGCACCTTCTGGATGGAGGCCAGCGACAGGAAGCCCTCCGAGTCGATCTTGCCGCAGTACGTGGTGTCATTGTCGACCTTGTATCGGCCGCCCACGACCAGCGTGTTGGAGGCCGACTTGAGGTCGTAGTCCAGCACGGCGGCGTACACGGTGTTGTGAGACAGGTGGTGGTGGAACGAGGCCTGAACAGCGGCGAAGTTCTTCTTGGTCACCAGCGTCGTGACGAAGTCCGCGCCGGTGAAGCTAGCACCCACGTTGTGCTGCACGATGGCTGACTTGTCCACGTTGAAGGCGGTCTGGCCACCGATGGCGAAGCCGCCCTGCGAGAGCACGGCCGCAGCCGATACCGTGTTGGACACGAAGTCGGCCTCCGAGTTCACGGCCAGGTTCTTCTGCTTGTACTCGGCACCGAGCACGCCCACCTGCTTGGCGCTCGTGTTCTTAGCAACAGAGCCGTCCTCGAGCTTGAAGGTGAGCTTAAGACCCTCAGTCAGAACGTTGGGCAGCTCGGCCTCCGTGACCACGCGGCCCTGAGTAGTGATCTGCAGCTTCTTGAAGACCACGCCGCTGGCGCCGTGGGTGAAGCCACCGGAGACCTTGGCAAGGATCGACTTGTTGGCGTTCAGAGCGCCCTCCGTCGTGAACGACACACCGTTGGAAGCCTTGCTCTTGATCTTGAGCTTGCGCGAGAAGTCGTAGTCATCACGCAGGACGTTCTCCGCCGTCTTGGCCAGGTCCTTGTACAGCACAACCATCTTTACCGGGGTCTCTGCTTGTCCTCTTCCGAAATGAAACGCGAGCCGCACAAATCCACGCTCGACTTGGCTGACACAGCTGGCTCCACACAAAATCTCCCCCTTAGCCCGCAAAAGACGATACCATCAGATCAGACAGGGGAGGAACGTATTTTTACTTTCGTACCTAAACGGATTCCGATGGTCCAAGCGACACACCAAGTGTACACAGCGAAAGGGAAAATGTACCGTGACTGCACGGTTTTTGGCCGGCATGAAGCGACCTGGCTGTGCAAGGCGGCACTGCGAGCAATGACGTCGTCGAGCAGCGTAGAAACAGCTGACGGCCGTCTTCAATGCGGGACGTGGCGTGTTTCGGGCGTCATTTGACATGCAGAAGGCGCGATATTTGTAGGGACTGCATTAACGAATCTGACAGGTGTATATAACAAGAGAGTTCTTTGCCGGTTCATCGCTACAGCAGTCTTGTCTTCTTCATAGTGATAGCTATTGCGGCGCCAGGAATCTCAATCTATCTGTCTGTCTATCCGTCTCAATCTATCTGTCTGGGCGGGGTAAATTGTTTTTCATTAACTTTTTATCTGTCTGGGCGGGGACGGGCAGCATTGCATCACCTTGCAGTTGCTGTGATCTGGCGATTTGACTCGGTTTGAGTATGGCGGTGATCCCGCTTATGTCCGACGTTTTCGTACTTAGTACGGAGCCTGCGTTGCTGGAGATTCAATGAGGCCCCCTCTTCCTGCGGCTCGTGTGGCATTCGCCAAAAAGATCAGCCAGGGGTAACCTCAGCTTCTACTTACATTCAGGACAAGATGGTCGTACTGTACAAGGACATTGCCAAGACCGCGGAGAACGTGCTCCGTGATGACTATGACTTCTCGCGCAAGCTCAAGATCAAGACGAAGGCGTCGAACGGCGTCTCGTTCACGACCGAGGGCGACATGGCCAGTAACAAGGCGATTCTTGCCAAGCTCTCGGGCTCCTTCACGCACGAGAGCAGTGGCGTTGTCTTCAAGAAGCTGCAGGTGACCACGCACGGCCGACTGATCTCTGAGGCCGAGTTGCCCAACGTCTTCACCAAGGGCCTCAAGCTCACGGCCAAGGTTGAGGACGGTTCGCTCGCCAAGAACGCCCACGCCAAGCGCGTCGGCGTCTTCGGCTGGGAGTACCAGCAGCCGAGCTTCTCGGTGAACGGTGCCGTCGACGTTGGCGCCAGCACCATCAGCAAGGCCGCTGTGTACAGCTTCGACAACGTGCTGTTGGGCGCCCAGACCGCTTTCAACTACAACAAGTCGGCGGTCGTGGACCACAACGTGGCTCTGAGCTACCGCGGCAACGACTTCACGGCCACGCTACAGACGAAGAAGAAGTTCAACACGCTCTCGGGCTCGTTCCACCACCACCTGTCCCACGACACCGTCTACTCGGCGCTCTTCAACTACGACCTCAAGTCCGGCCAGAACACGCTCAGCGTGGGTGGCCGCTACAACGCCGACAAGCTCACTACGTACGCCGGCAAGGTCGAGTCGGACGGCCACGTGTCTCTGGCTCTGATCCAGAAGATCCGCCCCTTCCTGGCGCTGACCACGAGCGCCCACGTGGACGTCAAGAACTTCGACGGCGACGCCCACAAGTTCGGCATCGGCCTTACTCTGGGCTAAGCATCGAGAAGCATATACTCAACGTAGATATGTGCCCGGACAGTGCTAGATGGAGGAATTGGTTCTGTTAATAGAGGGGGTTGTATTGCGCCCTCCGACGCCGTAGGTTAATGTCTGAAGACCGATTCAATACACACCTCTGATGCCCATGTACAGACGTTAGCTTTCATCGGTTCGGTCGGCAACGTCACCATCCAATCGTACCTTGTGTTTTTCTTCTGCCACATCACTCACACATCGATTTTCTTGGGTACTCGCTGCAGAGCCAAAACACCACGTGACAAGCATGAGCGAGACGGACCGCTTCGACAGCATGCTGCTGACCATTGCGCAGTCGCAGCGCGGCATTGAGCCACTGCTAGATACAGTGTTCTCCTTCTTGCGGCGCAAGACCGATTTTTTCACGGGCGCCGAGCCGCAGGTGGTCGAAGATACGATCCTTAAAAGTGTGCGCAAGCAGGCGGCGCTGGCCGAGAAGGATCAGTTCCACAAGAAGCAGCAGGAGGCTGAGAAGCGCCGGAAGCAGGAGGCAGTAAAGCTGGAGAAGCGACAAAAGAAGGAGGAGAAGGCCAAAGATCCGCCACGTTTTGAGGAGATCACGGACGACGACGCCGAGACAAAGGAATCCACACCTGAACAGGCGTCGCCTCAAAAGACGGCAACAAAGGCTGATGGCGAAGAGAAAGAGGACAACGGACCGCGTACGTTTATTACTATTTTGTTCACCGCAACATCTCTGCTTGCTCTTAAGTGTTGCTAATGATGCGGTTGTTTGTGACTGCAGCGCTAGTGGGCAATGGAGGCCAGACTGACAAGTATGTGTGGACGCAAACACTGCAGGAAGCGCAGGTCAATTTCGCAGTCCCTGAGGGTACCAAGTCCCGCCAGGTTGATGTGGAGATCCGAGCTGGAAAAATGCGAGTTGGTCTCCGAGGCGGCGAGACATTTGTGGATGGACCTCTGTACAACAAGGTGAAGGTAGACGACAGTTTTTGGACACTGGAAGATGGCAACCGTATTTGCATCTACCTGCAGAAAGACAACCAAATGGAGTGGTGGAAGACCATCATCCAGGGCGACCCGGAGATCGACACTCAAAAAGTGCAGCCTGAGAACTCAAAACTGGACGATCTGGACTCCGACACACGCCAGACTGTCGAGAAGATGATGTTTGACCAGCGTCAGAAGGCCATGGGTCTTCCCTCGAGTGACGACATGCAGAAGCAGGAGATTTTGCAAAAATTCATGGCGCAGCACCCCGAGATGGATTTCAGCAAGGCGAAAATCAATTAAACGAAAGAAGTATCAATGCTGCAGCCTAACGCGCTTTGCTATTTCGGTAGTTAGCGGCCTAATAATACCGCTTTGATGCCCCAACAGAACTGGAAGCTTGGGTGTTGCTATTCCTGCTGTTTCTTGTTTCAAAAGCGGTGGCGATAACTATGGCGTAAGGTGTGCCATTTGGTTTTTGATCTGCAACCACAACAGTAGCGCGGTAGCAAGTACGAATGTCTACAAGTCGTCACCATGTTGTGTCTGTAGTGCTTGGATACGATAAGACCGATTATCAGAGCAGCCACGCCGCTATGAACCAGCATGTTGGTGAAAAGCCCCCCGGTAAATCGATGACAGCTTCAGAAAATCTCAACAAGAAATGCCACGTGCAGTTTGGTGAGCCTGGTACAAAGAGAGCGTTCACAACCTCCAGCAAACTTGCAGATCCAACGGGAGAAGTGCTCAAGTATCGAGGTGAACTAGCTAAGGAAACCAAGGACCTGCTCATGCAGACATCTTCATGTTACGGAAACGACGTGGTACCGTACGTATCGTCGACGCAACTCGCTACGCAATGGGACAAGGAGAAGGTGACGGAAACTATTAGACTGCGGAATGAGATTCGAGCTCGAACAGGCCCACGACCGACTCGAGGAATGTCGTACGATGACGAGATCGAGTACGTCTCGGAAGCCAAGAGCGCCTACGAGAACAAGTTCAAGATCCACAGACCTTCGACCATGGCTGCGTCTGTGAAAAATGGTAATTGGAAGCTATCGTTTAGTTTGTTGCTTGTGGTGTGTTAACACATTTGATGCTTGAGCAGATCTGCGTTCAACGCACTTTTCACTGGGCCACGAGAAGCTGGACTACAAGACATCGAGCCACATCGAACGCCTCTCTCCAGACCAATTTGCACTGTACGCGACTCGACCTCCACCGCTTCACGACCTGAAAAAGTCGACCGTGGAAATCTCTTGAACATTGAATACTAATAAATATATCGCTTGAAATGATGATATTATTATTGTTTGGAGCTTTCTACAGCACAGGAAATATTGGAGAGTCAACGAAAAAGGAATCTCCTTTCATTCTCAAGCTGCGAGCGCTCGAGAACTAGACGTTGAAGCTCTCGCCGCAACCACAGCTTCCCTTGGCGTTCGGATTCTCGAAAACGAATTCGGACGACACCGGCGTTATCTGAAATAAAACGAGAATAATAAAACACAAAAATAAATATTATCCAACACGAGGCAAGTAAAGATCAACAAGACTAACCTGGAAGTCCATGGTGGTGCCGACAACGTGGAATAGTGCCTTGGGCTCCACAAAGACGCGGACACCTAGCAGCAGTGACACCAAGTAACAAAGAGTCAATTTCTGGATTCCCATCCACAACCCTTGTTACATCCATCTGTGGCTTACCATTCTTGGTCACCTCCTCCTCCATCTTCTCCTTCTTGTCTGCGTAGTTCATAGTGTACGACAAGCCATTGCATCCACCTACAATAGTACGGCAATTGCAGACCCTCAGTTAATTTCAGCAGAATAAATCACCACAACGCTCTCGACCGTTGCATTTCGTACGTGTTTTAACGCCTAGTCGGATGCCGATGGCGTCTGGCTTGTTCGCCAGTAGCTCCTTTATACGCTCGGCAGCGGCGTCCGTCTGTACCAAACGAATTATTATCGTTATACCAGTGTTCTCGAACCTCTCAAACCTCTCAATTCTACGCTTGCGACGCACCAGGTTAAGCGGCGGTGGAAGCTCGCGCAGGCGTCGGCGGGTGGGCGGAGCCGCATGTTCTGCCACGGTGGATAGCAGCCGCGACGCGTGGGCAGCCCTGGAGCGCGACACGGAGCGGAAGAACGGCGTCATGGAGCAGCGTTCTCTAGTGTGCGAGCGGCTCTCGAAGTGCAATGCCTTTTACCCAGTATCGGTTCCTCGATTAAGTGCGACTATAATCGGATTGGTTACTAATCACAGAATTACTGAATTTCGACGAATCGTAGCCAGCGCCCATCCCCTTGCAATTTAACATCGTCCCGCCGCCGGCGGAGCAGCGATTTTGGTGGTGTGGTGAATGCTCGCAGAATTTGGTGACGGCAAATGGTTCGTTTGACCACTGAAGCAAGACTTACGAAATGCAATAGGACCATATCCCGGTATCTATGCTCCTTTCCGAGTTTCAGAGGTAATTTTTCCACTAGTGTAAAGATTTTCATCGAAGGTCTGGAATACCAGCCCCTAGAATTTAGAGATACCATTCTCACGACTATTGGAACATCACTTTTTGGTGAGGATGCGATTCTTGAGTCAAGAACCGCAGCGAGCGTCTCAAGGACTTGTTCAGCCAAGTATCTTGTACCAATGCTCGCAGCAGTCTCACTCACCACATCTGTAACGGGGCGGTGCCTATTAGTAGGAATTATAACGCTGATTGATTGATGTGGGCATGCAGTGTCGAGACGGTCTCGATACTCGAGACCGTCCCAACCAACGGTTGTACGCTAGACTCCGATTGGCCACCGCGCACACGCGGTGGCACCCGTATGACAGAGGCCTGTCACAACATCAAAACAATCCTTTGGCAGCATTCAAGACATCCTTGCAGTCTTCAATTCTCCTGGTGAGGTGGGACTGTAAGAACGATATAAAGGATAGAAAAAAACGAAATTTCTGGACGCGTTACCTGTACTGTGACTTCATTCCAGCAGCTAATTGCTCGACTGACCTGAGGCGTCAGCCATGGGACCCGAGTTCGGAGGTCCGTTCATCTGCATCGGATTCATGACTTGCTGGGGCATCTGCATATTCTGCTGAGTCATGCCCTGCTGGCCCATCGACATATTTTGCTGTGACATCGCCATGCTCTGCTGGGGCATATTCTGCGGGGCCATGGGCATACTCTGCTGGGTCATACTTTGCTGGGGCATGGTCATACTCTGTTGAGGCATTCCCATGCTTTGCTGCGCCATCGTCATGCTCTGATGAGGCATGCTTTGTTGCTGCATACCCTGCTGAGCCATACTCTGCTGAGGCATTCCTTGCGTCGATGGGTTCATGCGCTGCATCTGAGTAGGGGGCATCATGCCATAGCCCTGGGGGCCCATCTGGAAGCCCATGTTGGGCGCCATGGCACCTCGGTTGTCCGCATAACTGGTAGGTACCGGCATTGCATTGCTCATGCGAACATTGTGAGCCATCGCTCCACTACCAGGCACGCCGTAGGGCATGCCACCGTTAGCAAACCGCTGCTGCTGTTGCTGTTGAGCCATTGGGTTCATCTGTGCATACTGCTGGGCCATCATCGGGTTCATTCGTGCCTGGTACTGAGCCTGAGCGTACGCCTGAGCCTGGGCCTGTGCCTGAGCTTGAGCTTGAAGCCGTGCTTGATGTGCCTGCGCCTGAGCTCTCGCCTGTGCTTGAGCCTGAGCCTGAGCTTGGAGCTGCGCTTGATTGGCCATTGGCATCTGCATCATACCTGTCCTCGCGTACTGTTGCTGCTGCTGCTGTTGTTGTTGCTGAGCTATTTGGGTCTGTCCGTACGCCTGTGGCTGTCTCGGAGACGTTTCCGAGGATTCATCAGCCCACTTGGCCAGTGTCATGAGGTTCTTGTTAAGGTTCTTTCGCTTCTTGTCCAGTTTCTCCGTGAATTCCCCCAATTGCGCTGTGCCCTTCCCGTGTTTAATCTGCGTGTTGAGCTCGATGATTTCCACGATGAGACTCGAATTCTCGTCCAGCATCGCCTACCGACACATCATCTCGAGTTAAAAACCATGCTCTAAGCTCGATAGTGGGAGAAACGACGTACCTGGATCTGCTCCGTGCTAATCTGCTTGGGTTCTTGGGGCTGCTGCTGTGGCTGCTGGAACTGCTGCGGTACCGCGTAGGCCCGGTTCATGGCCATCTGCGGGGCTGCGGTCGCCATGTCCATCGTTGCTTTGATTCTGCGCCTTCCTCGAATAAAGTACGATGCTTGCAATTGGAGGAAAATCACACAAACCCTCTTGATTGGTTGATTATTCGACGCGTTTAAACCGCTGGTTTGGCAACAAGCAATAGTCGATCGAAGCAGGAACTATGAGCGGCATACAGCGCTTCCTACGAATGAGCGCGGTCGAGGCCGAGGCTGCCATGAAGCCTCGTCTGGTGGACGTCAAGTGGAAGCAGCCGCTTATTTCTGGCCGCAAGATTGCCATGGTGAAGAAGCACGCGGCACGCAATGGCCTCGTGGGCACGTGGGAAGAAGGCAAGGGTGGATGGCTGGAGACGTGGGACCGACCGCAGAAGCACCACGTGATGCGGCCGCTCAAGGGCCACAAGAACCAGCGCAACGAGTTCGAGCGGTGGGTGCTTGGGCTATTTGGCTACTGACGTGCACATGCTGTAGGAGGAATTTGAATTGACTGACTTGGTTTGTATGTGTTGGTTGCTACAGCGTCAAGAAGGTGCAGGCAGCGCTGGCGGCTATGCCCACAAAGATCGCGGAACACAAGAAGGCAGTCAAGCAGGCCAAGCCTCTCAAGGGACTGGACAAGTGGCTCAACGAGACGGACCCGTACTAGATGTAGAGCTGAAACAGAGACAGGAGCTGAAGGAGATACAACCTGTAGCAACATACACAAGTCATGCACTCTCTTTTGCTCCATGCCAGATGGATGAATTGACGATAGCTGCTTGCATGATTGGGTCGTGGCAGATTCAGAACAACAGGGATGTCGTGTTAACAGTGAGGCTGGATATACTTCTAGGTGCAGTGAAAAAAAAAACTGCCAGCAATTTATTAGTAGGCTATTATACAACCAAGCCTAGACAACAGTGCTGCTCCCGTGCCCACGAGGGTATCAACACCAATTTGTGCTTTGGGCTCCAAAGTTTGGAGTACTATAATACTATCCTGAAACGTCGCGCGACTGTGTAGGTAATGGACGAAGCAGCTCAGCAAGCCTACACTCCGTCGCCATTGCAATTCCTTAAACCTAGAACCATGCGTCTATCAAAGCACGCTCGAACCAAGAAAGGTAGTGTTGCACCTATGAACGACGATGACAGCAGTGATTCTGTGAACCTCCATCATAGCAGTGCCTACCAGTCGAGGCATGAATTCAGAGGGGTGTCCTTCTCCACTTCGCGAGGCAAGATTTGGTACGTGCCATGCTCTTGATTCTTGAAGCAACGTGAACTGATTTGATGCCAATTCTTGGGCAACTTCTCCAGGTTGATCCTAATCATTAACTTGTCCGTCGTCACAATGTTCATCTTCATGAGTTCCATACGCTTCCCTTCTCTAAATGGGGAAAACATTGTGAATGATGCATTGGAGCACGAGCAACACCCTAGACCTATTAACAAGAACACAGAGCAAGCCCTTTCACTAACAGCCGTTGACTCCCCTGCAACGAAAGTGGCGCAAGTACAAGATACATCTCGTCCTGGAGGCTACTCAAAACTAACGAGTACTGAATACCCTCAAACGCAGGATAAAGAACTCGACTCGACGGATGCAACAGACACAGAAACAGTAGCACCCCTCTCGGTGACATTAAGCGATGATACAGGAGAAACTCCTGTAGTACTGGCCAATATCCAAGAGAAAAAATTCGAAATGCCCTCGCTGTCAGTGACTAGGCAGGCTGAAGCACCTGTGTCCGACGTAGACATTAACCCATACATTGTATCAGCCGACGCACAAGGCGATACTTCATCGGTGCCCGCGTCTAGCGAGTCATACACAGGTCAACGATCTCCAGCTGAGATCGCAGACATTATTTCGAATATGAAGGAATCCCAGGATCCCTCTTCAGAAATACTACCACCGTCTTCAGAGCAACCAGATGAAGCCAAATATTCTGTGACAACTTCGAATTCAGCGCCTCAATCGGTGGAGACCAAAACACCCGCAGTCGAGCCTGAAGGTATTGAAAGTTGTAATTGCCTGCTTTCAACCGAGATCTCAAACTCTTTTGCTTGCTGTCAATTTCAGATTTTCTTGATAATATGTCACTGTGGCTCACAAGTGAATCGGGTGTAGAAGTTGAAAACTTGGCAGCTTGTTTGGCCTCGTCCGGAGAGGATATTACTGCGTGTGGGGTGACCCGGTACGTCAAATTCTTTTAAATATCTCCATCGGGAACTTACTATCGTCGTGTTGACTCTATCTAGTTGGACAAACCAAATTGTGAGCACGGATCCCAATGCTGCGGACTCGACTGCTTTCCGCCCCGTATCACAACACCAGAGACCAGTATGGATTCCGATCGTTCCAGATACGAATAATCAACTTCCAACAGTGTACTTTACGTGCCCTATGGTGACCGATACGCTGAGAGTGCATGAGTTGATGACACTGCTGTTCGTGATCTCTCCAGCTCATATTGAGGTGGGAGATTCTGTGTGATTGTTTCAGAACAGTTAGATACTGACCTTTCATACTGTAAAATTCGAATTGTCCTAGACTGGCGACTCGTCCAGGAGGCAGAAATTCTTTGGTAACTCACCGTACGGACAGTTTGCTCTTCGTGGTGGCAAGCCATCGTTTTTCGCCAATAATGGCCTTGTAGAGAGTGCTTATGAGCTCCCCACGGGGCAGTTCTCGCTAGTGACGTACCGCTTGAACCGAGGTTACGTTGAAATCAAGGTCAGTGGTGGAGCTTGGGGTGGTGAACTACCAGTGGAGGGTGACGAGAGACACATCCGAATTACTGTTAACGATGTGGTGAGCCTAGGTAACAGCAAGGGTGTGTGTGATACAAATGCCTTCCAAGGTAGAATCGCTGAGGTGCTGGTTTACGACGCCGTACTGGACAATACGAAGATCGAGGAGGTGGAGAAATACCTGCATGAAAAGTGGTGGGGGCACAAACCATTCCCAACAGCATCCCCAACGGCTACAGTTGCGCCTACTGAATCGGTTGCGTCCGAGGTTGTTCACAGTGATAATCCAGTGGATGAAGCAGTATCGGTTGCTCCTGCAAACTACCCTCAAGTGACACAACAGACTTCATCAACAAAGAAGCCACTCGCAGGAGATACCCAGCAAGCTTCCACGACAACAGAAATTCATCCAACCGACCATGACGGCAATGGCACTCAGCAGAAAATTCCAGGAACGGAAGCGGAGGACGTTAGTTTAGTGCCCAAGTTCGATCCACGAGTCAACATATTCGAATGGACAGCTCCTAGCGACGTTGACCCAGCAAAGGCAGCGCGGTGGAGGAGCACAGTCAAGGAAAAGGTAGACTATATCCGCAACTTCCAGCTGGGTGGTGACGTGCTACGAACGCTCATCCGCCAACACAAGGACGAGCTGGTGGCATTACGTGACGAACTCTTTGGCTAACAGTAGGAACAAGAAGTAGATCAAGAATGGCTACAAAAGCTTCAACTTGCTACTTCATGAAGTCGATTTAAGAGGAGGTCATGAAGTAATCCAAAAGTAATTTTATATGTTAAAGCCAACGGACATTTGGCGGGAACGGCAGTCAAGAGCTTTGCGTCTGCCGCTCGCTATGGCGTCTCAAGGCTTATCTTCGTGGCTCAGCGGCTCCAAGTCTGAGGCCTCGGACGCTACGGATGGTTCGGACTCGCAGCCGCAGGACAAGAGCAAACCCACAGCCAGTTCCAGCGACTCACCATTGGACATCAGTCTCTCCCAGCTGCGCGCCAAAGAGACCATCACGCGCATCAGCCCTGAGAAGCGCTCGCTCGTGGAGGAGATCGACAGCGAGGCAGATGACACGGAGTTCGACGAGAGAGCGCATTGGGCCAGACGCGGCTCCAGGAAGAAGGCCAGGGCGTCACGGCGAGCCGCGGCTCTGGATAAGTCACAACCTTCAATCGCTCTCTTCTGCGTCAAGGAGAAGGAGACAGCAGTAGACAAACAGGATGCAAATGTAGAGGAAAATCCAGTGACCAATGCTATTGCAGTGTCGCAATCGGAGAAGAAGGAGAGCAAGAACAGAAGCAGGAAGAAGAAGATAGAGAGCTTTAGTCTCGAATTGGACTCGGCAATGGAGGATGTTGCTGCTGTAATGAGCTCGGGACGACCCAAACGTCAGGCAGTTGTACGAGCACAGATCTTGCAGCAGCAGCAGAAGCTACTGGACGCTGTCGCTGCTAGGAAGAATCCTACTTCATTCCTAACACCACCACCGGCCACTAAGAAAGCAACAGCAGAGGGGAACGCCACGACTAGTGGACGCAAGAGAAAATTGGACATGAACAAGAAGAAAACGTCCCCACCTTCGAAGAACGGATCCACGACCAGCTCACCTGGAGCTAACAAGGCAGCACAGTCATTCTTCTTAAGTGAGCAGGAAAAGAAGCAGATGCAGGAGATCGAGGCCGTGTCATTGTTCCGTGAACAACTTCGACAGACGCGCGAGAAAGATCTCGCTTTCTTCGCTGGGAAGACAGCAAACCCGTTCTTTCAGGCCCGCTCCACTACCAAGCGAAGTAGCAGTGCTGAAAACGATAATGGAGTTGTTGAAATCAACGAAGATGGGGACAGTTACGAAGGGAAACATCGACGTGGTACAACTGGGGGTCGATGGAGTAAGGCATTGCCACTATTTCCGAGGGTGCAGCACGTTTTAACCGTTCGTCTGGATGAAGAAGACATGGACACAAACACCAATGATCTAATACCTCCAAGAAAAGCGGACAGCTCTGTAGATGTAGTAGTTATTGAAGACGATTCAGCACCAGACGGCAGGTTGTCCAATGAAGTCATGGCTCAGCTACGAGCAGCCATGAATGGCCAGGTCTGTACGGAATCCTCGTTTTCGGAGCAGTTTTGGTTCCGAGAGTACTTGGATGCCTCCAGTCTTCCAGCTGAGGTGAACGAGACAATCGATGTGACTTCCCCTCGTTTTGAGAATGCAGAGGCGGCAGCAACGAAACTGGCAGAAAAGGAAACGTTGCTTATTGATGAATTGGTCGAAGCTCACGGCTTGCGCGAGAAGCAAGTTCGTGAACTACTGGAAGGACTGGAACAAGCCAGAGCAAAACGCTTGGATCGCAAACAGAATTTGTCTTTGGTGGATCGCTACTTACCTGTGAATGTTAGTGGTCTAGTGGGGAATCATGAGTCGCTTCACACGCTGTCATCGTGGCTGAGTGCTTGGAAAATTGGTGGAGGTGACAGTGAGAGACTGGATTGCTTTGCATCGGAGCTCTTTACCTTTGAGGACGGCGACAGTGACAGCGAAGACGAGGTTGGTGACTTGTGTCGACTGTTCATTCTAGAGGGCGAGTCGGGCTCTGGTAAATCTGCTGCCGTCTACGCTTGTGCTGAGGAATTAGGCTACGAAATCATCGAGATCAACGCGGCTCAGAATCGCTCCGGCAAGAGCGTCGTGGAACTTTGTGGCGAAGCTACTCAATCCACTCGAGTGCTGCACATAGGCGGCAAGGACGACAAGAGCAAGAAGAAGCACAAGAAGAAACGCAGACGACAATCCGAGGGTCGAAAAAGTTTGGAGAAACCCACAGTAGCATCGTTGTCGCTCGTGCTATTTGAGGATGTGGATCTGGTTTTCGACGACGACAAGGGCTTCCTCAATGCTGTTTGCTCCATCGCCAAGCATTCCAAGTGTCCTATTGTAGTAACGTGTGCGCAGCTGCCTGATGCGTTTCCCGTAAAGCCTGGACGACTGTGTCGTGAGCTTCAGAAGCCTTCGATGGACGAGTTTACGACTTGGATGCGCCTTGTGGCGTTCATTGAAGGGCTTCAGTTAGCGCCTTCTCTCATTAACGCGTTGGGCGAGTTCTTTGAGCGGGATGTGCGACGTTCACTGCATTTTCTAGAGGCGAATCTGCCAGTGTCGGATGCAAGGACAAAGACGCAGTGGCGTTGGCAGCATGGAGACACAAACAAGGAAGACGAGGTCTCACACGTTGATGTCCCTGCTTGGACTGTTTGGTCCACAGGAGGCTCATCATTCGATGCTCTAACCAGTAATTTACTGGCCGAACTTGCAGCTGGTGAAGCGGAGAGCAAGAAACCAGAGGATAAAAGTCGCGACGAAAAACTGGAGGATATTAACGCCATCTCCGAGTTAGCGCAGATCACGGACTCCGCTTCAGTTGCGGATACTTGGATGACAAGAACTGACGATGACATCGAGGTACGTGCAGCTTGTCGCTTGGCTTGTTGACTGGTTAATTGAGAGGATTTTCGTTATAGGATTCCTTCTTCCTCTGCGAGCGCGAACGTCTCGCTGCATTAGAGTTGAGACGCTCCAGTCTTTACATGTTAAACTCTTCGACGAGCTCTCTTGCTGCGTCATTGATGCGAAGCCAAGGACCTTCTTCTTCGGAATGCGTTCAGCGGACATTGGACAGCGCCCTGGAAGCCACACGTCGACGTTCTCATCAAGCAGATTTGGCACGGCTGAAGGCAAAGTTCGAGTTGCCGCTGGCATATAAAGGGTGCGTCCTTCGACCTTCTCATGCTGCAGTTATACCACCTCATGCTCGTTTTTATCTGATGCAGCTGCGGGAACTCAGAGCCACGATTTATGCTCGACTACATGCCGATGGTGGGGCGTTTACTGTGTGGTACCGGTTTGCAGGAAGGACGGCGACGGACATCCAGACGCAATCACTATTTAGGCGACGTGTTGGGGGACATGAGCGTCATCGACGAGCTGCCAGCCTTCAACACGTACTTACAGGTCCACGAGGACCAAATGGTCGCTGCGTCCCCGGCGTCCACGCAGTGATAGATGCAAGTACAGTACCCTGTAGCTTTGTAATCATCATCAAGAACTCTTCCATTCGCCGCTATACTCGGATCTCTAGACCTGATTGCCTCTCTATCTATTCCGTGGTCTTCTTGACCTTAGCCACCACTCGCTTGGTGCTTTTGCCGACAGCGCCCTTGGCCGGTACGTCCACTTTGGTCTTGACGATCTGGCTCAGAGACGCATGGAACGACGCGTGGTTCATCGCCGTCACCTGCAACACAGTCAAGTCAGTCGCTTGATCCCCTGAATCATTGAATTTAATGATGATGTAGCCTTACCACCGTGCTGTATTTCTTCTTGTGCTTGTTGTTGCCGTACTTGCAGGCGCGAAACAATAGTACGTGCTCTCCGTCCTCCACCGTGAGCTTGAGGATTTTCTGCTGAGCTTTATTGTTCACCTTGGCCACGGGGACTGAATCCAAACAACAGTACACCTCAGAATGCAACGCTTTGGCGGGGATAATCGCTCTTACAGTAAAACAGTACGCACCACTCTTGCAGGAGACGGCCACTGAACCCTTGGAGCCCTGCGCTTCCGCGTAGAACTCCGTCACCTTAGCCAGGAACGTGTCCGTACTTACCAGCACCATTTTGCTTTGGGCAATCAGTGGCAAAGTGTCAAAAATGATATCGGATTTGAGAAGGAAGATACTATCTTTCAGACACACGCCCTGTTGGCCTGTATTGTTGCCTACCTACTGCTACTTGCCCTTACTCGACCATCGCAATATCTACCATATCACCTGGATGGAAACGCACACTCGCGAGTGTTTTGGTGTCGTCAACGCATCGACGACGACTGCTGTTGACGTAGCCCACCTTTCTCATGAGCACTCTGTAGTAAACGACTTGGTCAGGCACCGACATCTACAGAAATATCAACCCGTTGAAGTAGTAGCGCAGCCTCACCTTCCATCTCTTGTCTCCGATACAACACAGATGCTCAGACGCATGTTGGGCTTCTGGGCGTCGACGTTCGAGTCTTGCACCAGGTCAGCAATCTCCCGCAGCGTCGCGTCGGGCCTGCATCAAATTCGCTCAGCCAGTTCAGCTTTATAAATATAATATCGACACAGACTCTTAGCTACGATAGCTTACCACGTGTAGATGTGCAACTCGTTGGCGATGGGCTTGTCATCCAGCGCTTCGAACGCATCCGCTCTGCATCAATAGGCAGACCCATGGCAACCTCGATCAGTTCCACACGCCAATTCACGACCCAATATGACGAAGTGATCGGTAGTTGTCATGCCTGTTGTGGGCACCGGTGCTAAAGAAGACTCGAAGCAGGAAGGGGCAATGTTTCTCTCGGTCAATCACGCGCTCCTCCGGCATCGCTGCTGAATGAAAAGTGCATGTAAAGTATCCAAGTATCGTACTTTATCCCGCTTAAGTTCGCATTACAGTACTGCACCCCGTTTTCGCGCCCCCGGTTCTTTGATAAACTTCCGGATATAATGTTTCAATGGCAAAAATATCCTCGCGTTCTGAAACTGAAACCTGATGTGCTTGCAAAATCTATATGGTTCATCTCACAGAAAACGGGGTGCACTACTGTACTTTAGCGGAAGACGTGAATTGAGAGGTGGTGATAGTCCAACAAGCAGCAGGGATGGCGGCGCGCAACGTGGTTCGTTTCCTCAAGTCGGCCAAGGTGTCCTTCTCCAGCTTCGACCGACGGGCAACTGGTGCCTGGTTAGTACCTACAGTACTCCGATTTCTTAGCTCGTGGTATTCTTTGGTGGTGACTAATGTCTGGTGGCGTTCGATGGCTGTGAATGCCTGCAGTGAATTCTACAGACAGCTGACAGCGGAGAAGGTAAGCGCTGCGAAGCTTAATGAAGTGTAGAGCTCTTTGTCTGACCATTATTTTGTATTGGCAACAGACACGCAAGGTGAACCCTAAGGCGGAAATCGTCTACCAGACGTCGCTGACGGGCTCGGCGCCCACGATCAAGCTGGACTTTAGTACGTCGCTGCAGCAATACTTGGGGATAATTGAGAGTCGGTTGTCTAATAGTTGCTCTGTATTTATTTTCCTGTACGTGACGCAGTCAACGGCAGCAAGCACTTGATGGAGGTACCCGACAAGAACGTGCGCGAGATCTTCGAGGAGGTGGATTTCCACTGCTCTCAGATCGAGACCGAGTACGAGAAGCAGGGCAAGACCATCGAATAGACAGTCAGCAGACAGAAGCACGTGCAACGGTAGGCAGGCTCATGCTCCTCGAGTTTCATTCAAGCAGCAGACAATACATACAAGGAGCAGATGAGTTTGCGACCGTTGAAGCATTTGTTGCGTTGGCTTGCATGTTTGATTGAGCATTAAATAGCTTAGTGCGATTATTGCGGATCCACAAGTGCGATTTCTGCCTGCACTTCCTCGTCAAAATTGGGTTGTGAGCTGTACAAATTCAGAGTCTTGGCGCGCTCCAACGAAAACTTCAGCAGATGCTCTCTACACGTGCGGCTTGAGCCTGAGCAAACACACATCATACACAGTGTTCACATTACAACAAAGCCTGGGTGTATGCAACTGAGCTGCTCTTACCGCACACGCGGGCCACTCGAAGACTGACATCTTGGTTGTGCACGTACGTCACGAACACCAGCGACGTCTCCACCATTTTGCACATTTCACGCGCGCACCGAATGACTGCAAGTCTAGTTTTCATATTGTAGTATAACACTGCAGCATCGAAACACACAGTCAGACACTTGTGTCATTCAAAATGATGTCTTTCAGTGCCCACCTTGGAACGCGTACTGGGACAAACCGGAGCCAAAATCCCCATAGCTCTTCGTAATGGACTCGCGAATAAGAGCCAATATGTCTTCCTTCTTGACCGCCAGCTTGCGAGAGCCCGTAGCCTCCACCACGAGGTAGCGTGTCTTGAGGCGCACCATGACACTTTGCGTCCACTTGCCTGTCTTCAGAATGCTACTAAACTTGAAATTTGCGCATTAAAACTTCAGTGTCCTATCAACCAATCAACGCTGTTGAAATTAGACAATTGAATCGGATCGACATGAGCAGCACAGGAGAAGTCGCCGTACCTGGTCAGCGTCTTGCCGCGGTGGACGGCAAGCTCAAGGCCGGAAATGGAGCCTACGTACGCGACGACGCCATCTTTGCATCTATCTGCGGCAAGTGGCGCATCTCACAGGACGTCGTGGAGGTGACGCGGGCCAACAAGACAGTAGCGTCGGTGCAAGTGCTGCGTCTCGGCGACATTGTCATCTGCCGTGTGGTAAAGATCACGTCTCGACAAGTGATGGTAGACATTCTGTGCGTGGGCGAAACCGTGTTGAAGGAGGCTTTCCCGGGAACTATCAGACTGGAGGACGTGCGGAACCACGACATTGACAAGCTCGTGATTGAGGAGATTTTCTCGCCCGGTATGCTCGTGAAGGCGGCTGTGCTTTCCTTCGGTGACACTCGCTCCTACTTCCTATCGACAGCTAAGCCAGGACTTGGTGTCGTACGTCAGCCTACACAGCAGGTTGGCCAGACGACCGACATGGAAACGGATTAGATCACAGGAATGTATTCAAAAAAGTGTGGCAGGTGGGAGAACTACAGCTCGTTATGCAAGCAATAAAGGTGTCTCTCGTTATGGTTATCGGTATACGATACATTGTCTGGGTTAACCTGCTATCAAAACGCCTGGTTAATCGTCATCCTCGTCCTCCGATCCCTCCGCTTCGATGATCTCAAAGCGTGTGAAGGGCTTCTCCATTGAGCTCCGTTTACATGGTTGGTTCTGTTGACTTATTTCTTCTCCATCATCATCCTCGATAATCTCGAAGCGCTTGAATGGTTTCTCTTCGTTTTCGTCTGCCTCGTGGTTGGTAGGCGACATCTGGTTGCTCAATAAAGCACCATTGACTTCTTCATGTTTTTCTTTCGCAGCCTTCATCAGTTTTGTCACCTCTCGATTCTCAGGCTCAAGCCGTAGCGCCTCCTCAAAGTCCTGTACCGACTCGGCATATTTGCCCCTTCGGTACCGAGTCATGCCACGACGACTCCATCCTTTCATGTAAGCCGGATCAAGCAGGGTAGCACGCGTACAATCGTCTTCAGCAGTTGCAAAGTTTTTCATTCGCAGGTGCACGAGTGCTCGATTCGCGTAGAGAATAGCATCGGTGTCGTCGTAAGCCATACTGCGGGTGTAGTGGAGCAATGCCATCTCCAATTCGTTTGCTTTGAAGCAATCGTTTCCTTTTTGCTTCTCATATCCTGCATACAGTTTTCGAGTTTCCGGCTGGAGCTTCTCCAGGTCCACTGACTTGGAGAGAGACTCAAGTTCTCGCTTTCGTGCTGCTGCGCGCTTTTCCTGTTCCTCTTGTTGCATTCTTGCTTGCTCCCGTGCTCGTTCGCTCTCTTGATCAATCTCATCCAACGCTTTGTCAACGTCATACTTTTCCCAAGACCTGAAGTCGTACGCTGGAATAGTTTTTGCCTTCTTCTGTTCAGCCTTCTTTGTACTTGCCAATTTTGTTGGAGCCCGAACCCATTCCGACTGCATTTCTCTAGACGATTTCTGGCCTCGCACAGGTGGCAGTTCTCGTTTGAAGGGTGTCTGCCTCTTGAGTGCCTCGTTCTTCACGTCCATTGCAGCCGCCCAACTGGCCAATTCGTCGATCTCGGTAGTCAACTCGTTGGCTGTCGGTCCACAGCGCATACGTGTGATTTTGGTTCGCTCTCGCTCAGGTAGTACAGCCAGAATGCGGTCTTCTGTGGCCTTCTCCAGGTCCGGATAGCGTCCTTCCTTACCCGATCGGAGCATCGCTAGGATTCCCTTTAGCTCGTCCAAATCGGTACAGCGCTCCACGAAGCCATAGTCTAGCATCTCCACGTCAATTGTCTTAGGCTTACGCGTATGCAGCGAGAAGAAGTCGGGCTCCGATGCGGTGGCGATCGTCATTATCTCGTAGTCTCGTTCGTAGTGAAATCCGAAATGCAGATCCTTAAAAATGCGTCGCTTCAAGATCAGGAATGATGGTCATTTGGTTGAAGTTTATTTTTAGTCGTTTGGCGCAGACACTTCCAGCCCCATTAAAGTCGAGGGGAAACTGCAGGAATATGGCGACGACAGAGGCTCATAATGGAACTGGAGGCAGCATGGCTCCACCCGTCCCAATCCCCGCCGCGTCGACTGCTACTCGCTCGGAACACGGCCGAGTGTCCAGACACGAAGAGAGTGGACTCATGTCGGACGAAGATGTGCGTCGCATTGTCAGTTTTAGAACATACTCAGCTTGGTGATCACTTTGTGTAGTTTTACGATGCGCAGGAAGATGCGGAGGCAGATGCCACACGACAAGCGTCTGCAGGTGCGTTAGCGTGGCTTTAGTGCGATTAGGAATTGGTTCTAATCAATGGTGAAATCTTAGCTGCTATCACCATTACAAACCAGCAATCAGGTGACCCTGAACTCGAGAATAAAATCATCGACCCGGACGACAGCAAGTACATAGTGAAAAATAAAGACACAGGAGAAGTCTTCGACATCCGAGATCTGTCCAGCATGCCAGCAGACTCTTACTCTATTTTCCCAAACGACTTCGTAGCTCCACAAGAAGAAGAGGTGCAGCTATGGGATACTAGAAATAGCGTAAATGAACATTTTTACCGAGTAAATTCTGTACAGGCCAAACGGACCAGGACCAGACGACCTTCGATTACCAAAATCATGGCCAAGTTCCCGATAAAGTCCAAGACAAAAGAGCCCACGAAAAGAAATCATGTCCCGGTACTGTTTGTATAGCTATCGCTTTTTATTTTACTCGGTGCTGACCGGGTGAGCTGTGTATGATCAGGTGACATCATGCAAGAAAGAAAAACGGGATCTCGAAGACTTGTGCTTAGCACAGACATTATCGAAGCACACTGGCACCATTTGGACGATGAAATTCAGTCATGATGGCGCTCGACTGGTGTCCGGAGGACAAGACGCCATCTTACGCGTTTGGAAAGTTCAAATCAGCTCCGAAGAAGATGCAAAACTGGCACGAGAGAGCGATGAAAAGCATATTCTCGACGCTGAACCAGAACGATCTTACCAGGTAAGTCGTTGAACGTCCAGGTTCTAGAACTGAACAAATTATTTTACTGATATCTTGATATCATTACCTTAGGGACACACAATGCCCATTGTTGATGTATCGTGGAGTCGCAGCAATTTCATCCTGTCGGCATCGATGGACAAGGTTTGATTGGCAAGCATCTTATCATTATAGAGTTTGCTAACGGTACGCTTACATGTCCTCTAGACTGTTCGGCTGTGGCATATTTCACGCGAAGACTGCTTGCACGTATTTCATCACCCTGATAGTGTACCTGCAGTAGACTTCCATCCAAAGGTTTGTAGAATCCTTGAACCATATCTAGGAGTGTTACTTTTTGACACGTTTGAAAATTCCAGGAGGATCGATATTTCCTGTCCGGATGCTTTGATAATAAAGCGCGTGTGTGGGATATTCCAGACGGCTGTGTGGTGTCCTATGTCCAGACACCAGTGATGATCACTGCTGCCAGTTTTAACCCGAGTGGTACACGCGCCATTGTTGGTTTGCTGAACGGCCAGTGCATCTTCTACCAAGTCAACTCGCACCAACAGATGAACTATTACACTCAAATCGAGTGTCGAAACAGTCGCGGATCAATGAGAAAGGGACGGAAAGTCACGGGTATCGAGTTCGATCCAGAAGGCAAATATTTCCTGGTCAGCACGAACGATTCGCGCATGAGGCTCTTCTCGGTAGACAATTATTCTCGAATATGCAAGTACAAAGGTCTCGTCAACGGGCATCTCCAGATTAAGGGACGATTCAGGTGCGATCAGCTAATGTTGTAGCATTTTCAATTAAGAGGTGTAATGCTGTTGATTCCTTCTAGCCAAGACGGAGACTTTGTGATATGTGGGTCCGAAAACGGATCCGTCTACGTTTGGAACAAAGCAAGGTTTGTTGGGTTTCAAACAGTTGTGACCGCTGTAGTTTGTCATCGTAATGATCTCTATCATCTATCAGATACCTTCGGTCTATGAGCATCGTGAAAAGTAGCAAGCAAGATCGCAATTCCTCTTACGAGTTCTTTACAGGTACGGTAAGCCGATGGGGGGGGGGGGGATAGAGTATGTCATTATAGCTAACTTTTTGATGGTTATCACAACTCTGCAGCTGCTGAACCTCCCAACGGCATTGTCACGGTTGCTTTGTTTGCCCCAGCGAGTACCTTTGCCATGGTCAAGTCAAAGCTCGAAGCAAGCGACGATGTGAACACAAACGCATGCACTGGATTGATTGTAAGCGCGAGCTACGACGGATGCATCAAGTTTTTCGAGCGGTCTGCGAAGAGCGTGTAAGTGGGGGATAGCAGCCCAATAGTTTCAAACTCAAAACGACAGGCAAATATGATCAATAGAACTCAAGGCAAAAACAAAGCATAACTCATGTTACATATTTTGCCCTGTTCTTCAGCAAAAGAAAAAATCCAAACGCTAGACCTCGGATGTAGTATTCATGCCAGCAAAAATTCGTCAACAACATGTCGTTCTATAGTATCAACAAATCTATAACTTCAAAAGCGCAAGGTCTCGCACAAACGTTTCAAATGTGAGGTGTCAATGATTGCTATCACTTTTTCGATTATTTATCTAGCACATAGCTAGAAAACCTATAACTTAAAAACACGCTCGTCGCCCTACGAGTGGTGCTGCCAGCCAACTGCTGCAATCAGGTCTCGCACGTACGTCTCGATGTCGTTCTGCGTGGCCTGGACGGTCTCGAGGACCTCGTCGTGTGAGGCCGCCTCTCGCTCTTCACCAGGGAAAAGCGCCTTATTGGTGATCAGCGATAGTCCGATCACTTTCAGCCCGCAGTGAGCAGCCACGATCACCTCGGGTACCGTGCTCATGCCAACGGCATCACCTCCCACCAGTCTGAGGAAGCGGCACTCCGTTGGTGTCTCGTACGTCGGTCCGGACACGAAACAGTATACTCCTTTTCGAATCTTGTGAGCAAGACCAAGCTTCTCAGCCACGTTGAATGCTAGATCTTGTAGCTTCTTGTCGTAGCAGTTCGACAGCGGTGTGAATCTTGAGCCGAAGCGAGAGTCGTTGGGGCCGATCAAAGGATGTTGGCCCGACAATCCTGGCATATTCAAGTGATCATTGAGGATCATGAGATCGCCCACGTTGAAGTCGGGGTTTAAACCACCCGCAGCGTTGGTGACCAATAGGTACTTGATGCCTAATAGATACATGACGCGAATAGGCAGTGCCGTCTCGCGCATTGCGTAGCCCTCGTAGCAATGGAAGCGACCGCGCATGCACACGACACGGAACCCTTCGAGATCGCCAAAGACCAGTTCGCCTTCGTGGCCCTCCACAGTCGAGCGAGGAAACAGCGGGATATCCTCGTATTTGATGGCCTCCTGGTTGGAGAGGCACTTGCTAAGTCCACCGAGGCCTGATCCGCACACAACTCCAATAAGCGGTCGGGTAGTGACGCGCTCCTGGAGGAATTCGTTGATAATGTCGATACGCTCCCTGGGGAGGGCCTCGTCGGCTATTTGGCCCGTGGACAGGCGACGAACATGATGCGTGGGGATGTTCTCTTCGGCAGCTGCGGCAAGCGTGGCAGCAGAGCTAACGGTGTTGTGTGCGCGCGGGCTCATGCCATCCACGCTGTGGCTGTGGTGCTGGCGGGTCACATGTGCGGGCAGCACCAGCGGCTCCGTCGTTGCGAGATCGTTCATCATGGTTCTCTGCTTTGGAGATCTGGCGGCGTAAAACCAAAAATGGCGATAGAACTCTTTAACTAGAATTGGTAACCGAAATTTTACTGTAAAAGATGCCTGTAGCCATAGATTGACGTCAATTACGGTCACGAGGACGTATTGCCATCGTAACCATATTGGGTTTTGCCTTATGAGTTAGAGATTTCCTCAATGCGCTTATCCGGTGGTGGCTTAGGAGAACGACACTAACATATACGAGGAGTAGATGGTGGAGACGCTCCAATCATCAGTAACTTCGGGGAAGTAGATGGCCTGCTGTCACTTGTCTTCGATGTCACTCCACCATGGTTCGACAGCAGCTCACTCACGAAGCGGCGGGTTTCCGGCCTTGCCCGTGCCACCGTTGTAGCCAGCCATGTAGGCGTTGGCCTCGGCCTGCGTGTCGAACCGCTGGTGCTGGTTGTAAGAGTAGCCGTTCGTCTGCGCCTTGGCCGAGTCCCAGGACTTATAGACGCCGGGCTGGCGACCGTTAGCGACTGCGTAGTAGCTGTCTTTTCCCTTCGGCATGCTGCGTGCTTGGTGGTTTGCTGTCTTGCGGGGCTTCAGCGGTAGGCGAGATATTCGAAAAGTGAATCTTTTACATAAAAAACTTCGACGTTGAAGTTTATGCTAACTGACCATTTCAGCAACCTTATCGCAACATACGCAGAATTCAGCAACATAATACAATATTATGTTGCCCTTCAGAATCCACTACAATTTATCCGCGAAGCGAAGAAGGGAGCGACGCCAAGCGAGTTCGCGCGGCGTTAGACAGTAGACTATATCGACGAACACAACGCCATGATGAACATCTTCTCGCGCAAGAACAAGCTAGAGGACGAGCTATTCAATATGAAGTTCACGGCCAAGACGCTTCTGCGCAACGCCAAGAAGTGCGAGAAGAACCAAGTGGCACAAAAGGCCAAACTCAAGAAGGCCATCGAGCAGGGCAACATGGAAGGCGCCAAAATCTACGCACAGAACGTGATCCGCGAGAAGAACCAGGCGCTGAGCTACTTGCAATTGGCCTCGCGGATGGACGCTGTGGCGGCGCGCGTGCAGACGGCCATCAGCATGGGCCAGCTCAAGGCCAATATGAGCGGCGTGGTTAAGGGCATGGACACGGTCATGGAGTCCATGAACGTGGAGAAGATCTCGCAGACCATGGACCAGTTCGAGAAGCACTTTGAGGATATGGATGTGCGCTCCGCCTACATGGAGGGCGCCATGAGCAGCGGCACATCGCTCTCGACACCTGCCGACCAGGTGGACGACCTCATTCAGATGGTCGCGGACGAGAACGGGCTGAAGGTTGCAGGTCAGCTCGACTCGGCAGGCCATGTGGGCACAGAGCTGCCCACCACAGAGGCTACACGAGAGAAGAAGTCGCAGGACGACCTCTCCATGCGGCTAGCGGCACTGCGGAAGTAGTATCATTCCGGCACTACAAAAACCAACACATTTCATTACCAGTGGCTTGCGGAGACTAATAGCATCAAACTCCAAAGCTACTGGTGCCTAATATGCATACATACACGTAAGATTACTTGGACAGTGTCGTCGGTAATGCCTTATGTTAGTTACCGTACAAATTATTCGCCGATAGCAGATTTTTATCTAACTCGTTAATAAACAGGTTAGGGGAAATATACCAATACAAATAACAAGTAAAGACGATGCACTAAAACGACAGCCACGAAGTGACTTTCCGCCTATCGATTGGCTCCTTTGATACACGTCTAGCTCGTTGTAGCATTTTACAGGCTCATCAGATTTATCAAAGCGTCTGATTCCGACGATACTTCCATTCGATCGCGATTGCCACAAGCGGATCCTCCGGCCATGGTGAACTTCAGCTTGCGGCTGCGCGACAATTCGGTCGCTGAGTGGCGAGGTGATTATCTGGACTACGACGGGCTGAAGCGGCTATTGGAACGGCAGCAGCAGATTGATGCAGCGTTGTCCGTTGCCGCTGCATCAAGCTCGACGGTCGATGTGCGAGCCGAGGACATGGAAGCCAATGAGCTGAGTGGCCACAAGTGGCGCCCCATGGCCACAGGGAGCAGCACGCAACTAGTCAAGAAAATCAGCAGCAAACTCCCGTTCTTACGCTTACCAGGGACGCCACCGACCTCCACCGATTCTGATCAGCTGCAGTCGCTGCTCTCCACGCCTGTCGCTTTCGAGGAGGCGCTGGAATACGAGTACGGTAATGTAGAGCACGCTTACATGCGCCACACAGCGCAATTGGCCGAGCAGCTCGAGCACTTGCAGGCACAGTACCGAGAGAATGCGACAGCTACAGCTCAAGAATCGCTCAAGAATTCGCTAGTCGAACTGCATCGCTTGTTGAACTTGTTGCACAACTTTGCACTGCTCAATTACACTGGATTCGTGAAGATTCTCAAGCGCTACGACAAGATTGCCAGCTTCCCAGCGGATCAGCGTGAACAGCAGAAAACCAAGCTTCAGACGTTCGAGTTTGCCAAGGCGCAGCGATGCTCAGAGCTGCTGAAGCGTTTGGAGCAGTCGTTTGCCAACTGGTTTTGCGATGGAAATATGCACGTTGCAGTGGCGACACTTATGACCAAGAAGGAGGACTTTGTCAACTGGGGTCACATCTACCTGGGCATTAAGGCTGGTTCCTGTCTCATCTTGTTGATCTGGGTGTGCTGGGACTCGCTCGTGGTTCCTACATTCCACAGTGGCCGTGAAAACCACCTCCTTGACTTGGTTCGCACTCGTGCGTATCCAGTCTACCGTGGAATTGGCTGTCTATTGCTGCTGCATTGGCTGGTAGGAGTGTCACTCTACGTGTGGCGTGCAGCTCGGATCAACTACCGCTACATCTTCGAGTTGAATCCGCGACGAGTGCAGTCGTACCCTCAAGTATTCAGTGACGCCACCAACATGACCATCGTCTATTTGGCTAATGTACTGCTTTACTACAAGGTAGTGAATGGTTATTTCCCAGAGGAGCTACTGCATCGTGGGTATTATCCGCTGGCGTTGTTCCTGTACACCTTCTACTTCTACGCTATCCGTCCATGGGGACAGCAACTCGGCATGCTACGAACATTGTGGGAGGTTATATGGTCGCCACTATACCCCGTGTCGTTCTTCCACACGTTCGTGGGCGACTATCTTACCAGTACGGTCAAAGTCACACAAGATGTCAGCTGGTCCGTTTGTTTCTTCGCTACCAAAGAATTCTTACGTAAAGATGTCATCCCGCCCGGCAGTAATGCGTCTGGGTTACAGTTCATGCCTACGGACGACGAACCGACCTGTGCGGACAATGTTTACTACGTTAACGTTGTGGTTCCGCTGGTCTGTGCATTGCCTTTGTGGTGGCGCTTCTTGCAGAATCTTCGTCGTGTATATGACACGAAAACGTGGTGGCCTCATCTACCTAATGCTGCCAAGTACGCACTCACCCAAGTTGTGGTTCTTTTCGGGTTATTTCATCCGCTGCATAGCGACAACAGCGAAGAGAATGCGTCACGAGTGCGTATGTTCGTGGTCGCATGGCTCATGCTGTTCACTGCTAGCTCACTGTACACGTGGATATGGGATGTGACGATGGACTGGGGACTTGGTCGACCGCAGTTTAAGTTTTTGGGCGACTCGCAAATGTTCTCGAGGAAATGGGTCTACTATGCGGCTATTGTGGCCGATCTGTTCCTGCGTTTCGCGTGGACTTTGACGCTCATTCCGCCGCGTGGCGCTGCTCGCTGGCTGCCACTGTATTTGCAGCCTTTCACTATGGTATTGGAGCTATTTCGTCGTACATTTTGGAGCTTCTTCCGATTGGAGAATGAACATTTGCGCAACACCCAAGGATTCCGACGCGTGGACTTCATCCCGCTCCATTATGACCATGGCGTCGGCGATGTGGAGAAGAAAAGCGAGGAAGTGGAGCAACTGGACTTCAGGATCTTCACTCTTAAGATCTTGGCGGTGCTGTTTACCGTTCTGGGACTCAGCGTCGTTGCCATCGTCATCGAACGCTAAATAACCTGAAGTAAGAAACACATAGATCTAGTTTGAACATGAAGTAAGGGGCATTAATTAGAGTTTAATGCGCGGGTCAAGAAGAAAAAGAAGCGGTAAGACTTCCTTTCTAGCGCTCGCACGCGCTTAGAACTTGACCTCCTTGAGGCCCCACTTGATGTAGCAGAAAGTGGGGGCGAGAGCGCCTTCCGGGTAGTAGGCGTAGGCAAGACCGGCCTCCGAGTCGCACGACTTGAACATGTAGAACTGCAGCTCCTTGAACATGGACACGAGGAACTTGACGATCTCCTGGGCGTCGCTCTTGAACTGAGTTAGCGTCTCGTCGCTGGCGCCCGTCGACTTGAGGTGCTTCATGGTCTTACGGAAGTACGACTTGAGATACGTCTTGAGCTCGCCCTTGGTGTCGAAGCCCGTCTCGATGTAACCGAAGCCGATCGAGTCGTCGATGACGTTGTTCACCGTCTCGACCGAGTCGTCAATCTGCTCCTCCTCGCCGCCGAAGGCGTCACCGCAGCCGATGTCGACGTTGTCCGAGCCCTTGGCCACCGTCTTGGACTCGACCTGGAACATACCGGGCACCTCGTTGCCCTCCATGTCCTTGCACGGAAGAACCTTGTTGGAGTCCGACATCACCTCGTCCTCCGTGAACACATCCTGCCACACCAACATCTTGATCGACTGCTGCTTGTTTGTCTCGAGACCGAAAAGCTACTGCTGCGCATCGGGGTCCAAGCGGCAGGCGGTCGCGAACAAGAGCCACCAGTTCCGAGAGGGACTATAACGCTGCATACTGGATTTGTAGTAAATCAGTCAGCGAAGACTGCTGTAGGGCAAGAATAGGCGAGAAGCTTCCCAACGAATAATCGGTTCCGCAAGGGTAAGGGATTTTCTTTTAGCCAATCGACATGCAGGTATGGCTATTTATAGGCATTCTCACCTCACGAATCTGACGAGAAGAACTGGACCATCCTGATGAATCAGCATTAGTTTGTTTGGGCTGGGTATTATTGCCAAGCCAAGCTTGGGTCAGGCACGCAGTTCGCTGGCGGCGATGGATGTGATTGAAAGGCGTTGGAAAAGACAATCGCGATTGTAGCCATCTGAAAACGATACAATGGTGTGTACCACGCCAGCAAGGTAATAGCTTGTCTACTTCCATTTCTATGACACGCTTCCGGCGTTTTGCACGACCTTCTTGGACCAGGACATCTCGTATTGCGATACAAGTACTGTACAGTTCGTATCGCTCAATACATGCACTATGGTCTCTATTACCTGGCCGGTAAATGGAGCTGGTCGCTGCCCCGTGGCAACATTGCTGCGAGTTCTCAGTGGCGGACCTTGGCCCAATCACACGGCGTTACCAGGCGGTGTCAACTTCTACTGAAATACGCGTACCGTGGAATTTTGAATATACATGACAATAATTGCAGCCAATCATAGCCATATAACGTTCACTTTTCAACCAATGGGTACTAGTTAAATTGGACCTTTGATTACGTTTCAGCACCTCCTCCGTCGTGTCCGCCATAACATCGACTCTGTCGACAGGGCTGCGTTACTGCAGCGGTAGACGCCGAATTGCAGCGAACCAGGCAAGCGGACCACTCACTCGCGGCCGCTCACGCCCCTATATAGCAGCATGTCCAAGGCGCCCAAGACCAAGAAGGCCACGCTCCACTACCAGCCCTACCAGGCCCTCGGTGTACGCGCCTCGTCTCTCTCAAAAGCCACAGAAACTCGTCCCTGACCTTCTTGTTGTTAAACAGACTGGCGAAGGCGATGAGCCGTCCATGGATCTCGGCATGACTGACCTTCCTCTCCATCTAGACCCCGTGCTCTCGTACGTTAAGATGGAACAGATTTTGAAATGTTACACCAGTGCTAATATGATATTTGTACTTGGGCAGAGGTCTATCGTCCAACATGAGCCGCAATTTATGGGACGACTGGAATGAGAACGACGCCAACTTTGGCATGAAGTTCGACGTGTTCACAGACGAAATGAGTACAGCCAGCACAGCCAGCTCCACGGCCAGTCCGAACCCAAGTATGCACGTGTCCAATCTCAACGCCACTACAGGCTACGAGCAGCAGCAGAACGCCTCGCCCAATACGATGCACCACACACACATACACCCAGGTACCCCCATTCAAGAAGACCCTCAGAAACCGCGGGCGAACGTTCAGCGTTCTCTCAGTGAGGATATCGTCAACATGTTGGATGACAGCAATGACGGGACGTTCTCCAAGCAGTTGGACGGAGACCAGAGAGGAAACGCAGCGATGCAGAACATGATGTTTAACCCTGCAGCAGGCCAGAACTTGATGGGCTTCCAGCATCAGATGCACCCGAATCACATGCAACAATTCCAACAGCAACAGATGCAGATGCAACAGCAACAATACCAGCAACAACAGTATCAACAGCAGCAATTCCAGCGAGCAGCACCCAACTGGATGAACAGCTTCGGTAGTGGAAACCAGACTCCTGCAACCACGAACGCGCCGGCTTCTGATAAACCCAGCAACCCGTCAGCTCACCGTCGTCTGCCCAATCCTTCCAATCCTACAGCTCTGGAAATTGCTGTAGCTGATGGTGCTGCGTCGCTCATGGCGAAGTGCCCAGACCGTCGACCTCCAGCGTCGTCAACGTCGTCGTCCACTACGCCTACAGCTCCGCCGAACAATGTGAAGGAAAAACCCGTTGCTCCATCCAGCGCTAATGGAGACGGCGCTAACAAGACCAACAGCGCGGAGACAGCCCCCACCAACAATACTGATACAAATATGAACGATCCGTCGCAGCAAACGAGCGGATTCGGTCCGCAGGGGATGATGATGAATCCTTTCTTGATGTACTCGATGATGGGTCCTCAAGCGATGAACATGATGAATATGCAGATGCAGATGCCCATGATGAACGGAGGGAATGGGATGAACGCGAATGCAGTGAACGGTACCAATGGGATGAATGGGATGAATGGAATGCCGTTGCCGATGCAAATGCAGTTGCAGCTTCAGCTCCAGATGCAGATGGCTCAGATGGCTCAGATGAATGGAATGGGGATGCAGATGCCCATGGGTCTCCCTGGAATGTCCATGGGGATGAACATGCAGATGCCTGTGAACATGAATATGCAGCAACAGGTTAACCCTCAGAGCGGACAGACAAGCGACGTGGAGATGGCTCCAACCTTCCCCATGGGGATGCCTCCTACTGGAATCAAACCGACTAGACCGTTGCAGCCCAAGGGTGTAGTTGGAGGACCAGGCTTCGTGAATATCGCGAGGAAACCGGAAGAGCCGGAAGTGAGTAGTATTCTCAAGTCGCTCATGAACGAAGAGGCCAAGAAGAAGGAGAAAAAGCTCGAACGCAATCGTGACTCAGCGCGAGAAAGTCGCAGGAAGCAGCAGACGTACGTGGAGACGCTGGAGAATGGCATTAAGCGTCTGCAAATCAATCGCGACCTCGTTCGCTCGTACCGATGGGGTCTCAGCGGTCCAGGTTTTGGTCCTCTACCGTGCCCGAACTCTCCGCAGATGTTTGACTGGAAGAATCGCGTTGAGGTGGTCACAGGCCGCACCGAGGCCTTCGCGAGTATCCAGAACCCCGCGAACTTCCAGTCGCTCATGCGTCTCAACCGACAGCGTCGAACGCTTGCCATGCAGCACGAAGAGCGACAGCGAGCAGTGTGGAAGTGCTTTGTGTTCGTGGGACGTCAGCTCGCTGCCATGCGTACGCGCGTGTTACAGGTACAAATGTTGCAAACCTTTTCGGACAATCCCTTGGCGATGGAGTTAGACGCGCTGCTGAATCTCACAGCCGACCAGAAGCTGCAGCTACAGTGCCATGCCCAACAAATGTTCAATGAAGAAGTCGTGGAGCTGACCAAGCTGTTCAAGATCTTCTTTGCACTGCGCAATGAAGCAATTCGACTCAACATGTTGTCGCCCACACTGGAGCGATATTTCCGTGAGGCCTGCTCGTTCGACCAGCTGCAGAAGCTCTTGCAGTGGACCGAGACCCATCGCACCGTCATCGAGACGGATCTCTCCCTAGATGATGTTTAGCAGCGAGTTTTAGTTGTCATATGCAGCGAATATTGGACGACTTTTTTTTTGTCAAGAATCGAACGCATGTACGATAATTTGTGCACGGGTTGCAAGCACTCACCCTAGATCAATGGTAAGTCCAGGCTGAGGCAAATCTCTATTGTGTTTTTTGCTTGAGTTCTTGTTGAATTTGACGCAGTTCCTGGATCAATTCGTCTGCTGTGGGTCGGATCTCTGGCTGGAAAGCCTGACACCGGAACATGAGCAGTCGAATTGGAGTCGGTGCTTCTCCGTCTGATGTTTGTTCCTTGTCTGTGTTGTTCAGCATTGGTACGTCTGTGTCGTCCATTACTGAGTGTTCAGCTGAAGTGCACTCGTACGTTGCTAGTTGTGAGAGTAACACACCGAACGAGTAGATGTCTGCTTTCTGGGTGTATTGCCGGCCGTCTAGGACCTCTGGAGCTGTCCAGACCGTCATGTCCATGTGGATTTCCTCCCCTGCAGTCTGAGAGCTGCAGTTGCTACGTCCAGAAGATCTCGTTGCAGTAGAAGGAAGGGAGCTGATGTCGCTCTTGTGAGACGATGACCAACGTCTCAATGCACTGCAACAAGTCAAGTCGCCGAGTTTCACGTTCCAATCGCTATCCAAAAAAACTTTCCGGGAACTGAGGTTGCCATGGAACAAAGGCTGCGTGAACGAGTGAAGGTACTGAACTGCTTGTGCCACTTCGACAGCGATGGAGAGTTTGCTCTTGTAGACGGAGGAGTCCCGCCAATTCCACTTGCCAGAGTCATGACGATCAAGTGAGGGACCAATCTCATCGTCCGACCGAATGTCGTAGTCGTCGTCACTTTTGTCGTCTCTGATCAACGCGTGCTTCCTCTGCAGTGATCGCTTGTGGTCTTGGATGAACATATTCAGATCTCCTTTGTCCATATATTCCATTGCAAGAGCGACACCTTCATCAGAGTCAGTCACCTTGGTAAATCCATAGAACGTAACGATCTGTGGATGTGACAACGTCGAGCTCAAGCGAATCTCCTCAACAAAGCCCCATAACTCAGCCAATCCACTTTTGCTCTCGAGATATCCAGCGATACTGAGAGTTTTTAACACCACGGTCTTACCGTGGAAAGCAGCTTTGAAATACACGAAAGCAGAGGAGCTTTCTTCTGATTCAGGTATTGGTGATAGTAGTTCTCGATATGTAACGAGCGATCCGTCAATTTCACTGTGTGGAATTTCTTGTAGGAGATGAACGAGAGGGTCGGTAGCTTTCGTCTTCTTCGCTGTGCAGTTTCCTGTTTCCGCATCATATTCAGGCTCAGGCTGCGCTTCTGCTGGTGGATCTGATGTCAATAAATGATGGACTTCATCATCTGGTTCCATACTGGTGCTATCGTTCCAGAAATTGTTTGGTCTGGCGCTTCTTGACTTAGTCAGTGCGGCTTGGTTGCTTTTACCTTTCGAGGCACCACGGACACTCCGGCGTAAACTCAGGCAAAGTCCGTTGACGCAAAGCATGACTGTGAATGCCGAGAGCAAAGCTGCTGCTCCTATCAAAAACCACGAGCGTCGCTGGTCCAGCGTTTCTTTCAGCGCTATCCGCTCCACTTCTTGGCTGGAAGAGTCATCTTTGCCCCATATGGAGCCTGCCGTGGACCCACTGGATGCTGCTAGAAGCACATGCTCGTACTTGTCAGCGAATTCATTATCTGATAGCACACACAACATTGTGTCTTGCACGTAGCGAGGGTTTGCGTTCGAGTCGGAGCAGCTGAGAGTGGACGTAGTGGAAACATCCCACAGTGTCAACTTCTCGAACCTGTCAGCGTCACTCTGACGCACTTCAAACTCTTCCAATACACTGATAGTCTGCTCTGTAGGGTCCTCTGCAGTCGTTTGCAATACACGGGCTTCGTCTGGAGTAACTACGGATGCAGATGATGTAGTGGCGGAGTTTGCGGTGGCGATCAAGGTTAACTCTGTGAGGGAGTCTGGGAAAATGACGCCTTTGATCGTAGTGATGGGGTTGTTCGGCAAATTGAGCGTTGTTAGCGAGCTTGGGAAGGAAAAATTCTCCAATATAGCGATATTGGCATCGGCCGCGTCCCTGTGACGATACGTGTGAGCATTTCACAAAGTTTTGCAATAAAAACATTTAACCAAAACACGTACAAACGTAGTAAGCTGGATGGGAAGGATACGTTGGATAAAGAGCCGATCAGGTTGCCAGATAAATTGCTGCACCATATAAGTTCATCATAAGAGACGTTAGATCACTCGAATTACGAAGACCATGTCACTGTAGCGTACAGGTATTGAAGCGACGGCGGAAGGTCAGCGGCTGCGAGATCCCCCAGAGCATTATTGGCGAGGTCCCTAATTATTTATCACTATGTTAGTAAATTACTCGACTGAATTCACAATATATGTCACGTACAGAAGTGTGAGTGTTGTTGGGAACTTGAATTCATCTATCGCTGGAATGCTGTTGTTGGACATGTATCTTAATAGCACAATAGTCCAGTCAGTAATGCAAACAATACAGTACCACAAACTCCCCAACTAACCACGTACAGCTCCGATATGTTGCTACTTGTCGTGAATGCGCGAAGCTCGTTGTTGTCAAGTTTTCTGTTCTCATAGTACACATCAGCAACTTGTCATAGGATCCAACACACCATCCACACACGTACACGGTGCTGACCGTCGGCAAGCTCGTGACAGCTGCAATATCTCGGTGACGAAGGTCCAGCGTCGTTCCTCTCACCTTCACCACACTGGACGTGCAGCCCGCATCTGTAATCTGTATTGTAGTACTGGACGACGTGGAGTTGGACGGGGTGGAGACGGTGGTGACATTAGAACAGGTGGACGCGCTTTCCTCCGCCTCTCCAACATCCACCGCTCCGCACGGACGAAACCAATACGCGCTCGTCAGGATCAAGGTCAGCAGTTGCACAGCATTATGCTGCGCCATCCTTTCGAGACAGAATGTCCGACTACTTAACGTTATTTGATGCAGAAGTCAGTTATTTAACATGGCTACATCTGTGACTTGTGCAACAGTTGTCAGATGTGCACTTCCAGCGTCCTCTTCTGGGCACGCAGAGCTTTCTGTTGGCTCCATCCAGCAAGGAGCGTCTCCTTTTCAACGCGTTTCCACTCTACCTGTTCGTGACGATCTAAAGCATCCTGTATCTTCAATTTGGAGATGAAATAGGCAGATTCGGCTTGGTCCAAAGTGCGCTTGTCCTTCTTGAGCGCCGCCTTGGCCGTCACCTGCTCGTTCAGTCGCTGGTTGAGCTTCTGTTTCTCGCTTCGCTTCATTTCTTCGCTCATTTCGCGCTCCAACGGTAGGATTGTGATTGCTCTATGGTCGGTGGAGGCGGATCTCTGACGCGACCGATGCCGCTTTTCCTCGATCTGGCCGTTGAGATAAGCATTCAGTTCCTTTCGAGCCACGCTTTGTTCTGCTCGCTTCTGCAAGTCCTGGATCTGTACGACACGCTGTCGATTAGCTTGCATGTCGTTGAATTGCTCGTCTACGCGCTTCGCCAGCTGAATACTGGCCACCTCGCGCTGGTACGCGGCTTGCATGACCTGATCGTGACCCGGACGTGACTTCAGCATCTCGGGAGGTACGCGCGACTCCGGCATCAGGAAACGAGGTAGAATTTGCCTACCATTTAGAGACACTACTTCAGTATTGTTACTGTCGTTGGGTAAAATATCCTTCCGCCTTTTCTCCTTCTTTGGGTTATCATCATTGTGGCCGTGCCCTCTTCGGTGATTCGGTGCAACCACGTCGTCCTCATGTGAAGATATATTCAAGCCAATCGCTTTGAGGTGGAGTTTGGACTTGTTTATGGCTTGGAGTGTATTATCTAAAGACATCGAACGCTGTAGTCCCGCAGTCTTATCTTCGCTTTTGTGTTGCAGCGCTTTCTTCCGCAATAGGTCAGTGGAGCTCTTTCTGAATATTGCAGACGGTGGAGGGATCTCCACTTGATTATTCTGTGTGATCATACGAAGCAAACTTGAATCGAAAGAGAATAATAGCGCTTTATCGTCGAGAGTAAAAATTCCGACCCCTGGAAGTGTAAATCTTCCTGAACATCCACCGCTCTGCAGTTTCTTACCAATAAACATGACGATAGCATCCAGAGTTCGACGTGTTTGATCTGACCCAAGCCCAGCTTCATTTCCGAGAGCTGCCATGCTAATTTCAGCCGTTGCAGTGAGTGGCGCTGGTAATGAACGATGGCGCCATACGACGCCGTACGTTGAAGTGAAGCGATCCGATAGGAGGAAAACTGGTGTAGCAGGCAGCATGGACGTCTGCGCCTTGTAGAACCCGAACTTGCCAAACTGCTGGAGTGATACCCCTTTCCGTTGCGATAACTGCCGAGCCACATGACGCCCCAGAGCCTGCCACACACTCGTCACAGACGCGCCTAACAGCACCTCGAACTCGAATTTGGACGATCGAAGCTGCTGCACACACTCCGCTAGAAGATCACCACTCCTCATCATGCTACGACGAGAGATTGTAAGGAATTCTAGTGCCGTGTCTAAATATTTCTTCACTTAGAAAAAAGCTATTCCTGCTTTAACGTAACGGTTAATCGGTTCGAGGTTTCAATGCGAGTGTTCGCTTCTCACGATCTAGTGAATATGCGAGGACTTGACCTCCAAATGTACTTGCTAGAAGAGTGCTATTGTCCACTCTGCATAGACTCGTGAACATCCGCTTGGCTCCATCGGCATGAGCTTCAGCCAGTGGAGAGAGTGTAGCAGCATCCCACACCTTCACCGTTCCATCCTTAGATGCCGTCACCGGGATCACAGACAGAGCATCAGTGTTTTCGCTTTTGTCTGCACTGCTCGGTAGGAAACAACACGCTGTTGCATCTTGCTGATGTCCTTGAAACTCAATAACCTGCTTGCCAGTACGTCGATCCCATACTCGAGCCTCGCAGCCAACGCCGTTAAATCCTTTACTTGATGTCAGAAGATAAGTATTATCACCCTCCCCATACGCTGCAATACTCAGCGGAAAATACACAAATCCACGTAGCGACTGGGCAGGCACGCGTAGGGGAGATCTCGGATCCCAGAATTTTACACTCAAATCTTCACTGCCTTGCGCGACTAGCGCTTCGCCTGGCAACCACGTCGAGCACGTTACCACGTTTTGCGGTGTTGTGTTCTTGGCTGCAATGTGGCTCGTTGTCAAGTCCCAGAAAATCGTCTGCGTGTCTCGTCCTCCCGAGCACAACATTTGCTCGGCATCGTCCACTGCGACCGTCGACACATTCAGTTGGTGGCCACGCAGTACAGTCGCCGTCTCCGACGCTGGCTTGTCGGTGATAGGAGTGATGGCAACTGTTGTGTCCCGCGAGCACGAGTAAACCATCTGTAGTTTGTCTCCAATAACGATACGGTTCACTGCGCGAGTATGCGGTTTCCAGACATTGGCAGGAGCGCTGGCAGTCGTGCGCCAATTGAGCCGCTGGATGGAGCCGTCCTCCCACCCAGTGAGGCAGTCATTACCCAAGAACGAGCTGTACGCGACGCAGTTCAGCGCCAAGTCGCTCTCCTGTTCTTCTCCGCTTGGAGTAGCAGCAGCAGCTTGGTCATCCGCTCCTGTTGGAGTTGAAGCGGTTCCGTCGACGACAGTTGGGGTCTCCTCATCCACTTTCCACTTGTTGAGCCGCCGAGGAGACCGGTTAGCGTCGCGAGACGTACACGCACCCATATTGCTACTGGTGATCCTCAGAAATGCAGCACACGAGTCGTGCAGCGAGCGACAAGTGTGCAAATGCCAAAATGCGAAGTACAACTTGCATCGTCCTCGCGTCGTTCCAACGCCTGTGCCTCGATTACATACGTTTTTACCTTTGACAAGTTATTTTTAATAACGTTTCACGGGTGAAGGTTGCCAATGATCTCATTCAAAAGGACTTGACCATGCTAACACGACGATAATACATTATATGCGGCGGATGTACAACTGCGAGTTTGAGACTACATGTAGTCCCTACAGACTGCCGCAGATATCAAGCTCAGTGCAGCTACCTGATACCCACTGTGGATATCAGGATTCCACACCATTTCTATAGTATGTAAATGCGTCCGACTCTCCGTCAGTCCTATCTTGCACGGTTGGTGCATTGGAACCAACTGTGCACTGCCAAGCATTCTTGAGCCACAAGCACAGGGTGTGTCAAGTTGGCACTTCCAATGTGTCTCTGCTGTCAGAGAAGGTCAACCTCTCGTTATTGCAACGCAGCTACATTCCTTGCGGGTTTGATCCTACAGGTTGACGTCGTTGTCAAGGGCAATCGAAAACGCTGGCTTTTAGACACGGCGGTCAAGGTTGATTGATAGCGGACTGCAGAGCAAACCGCAAAGCTTTAGCACGTGGAAGCCGCTCTAACTTACAGGTCCCGGTACTCTGCCTGCTCGGGGCCGTCGTCCTTGGGCGGCGACTTCTTGTTCATGGCGTCGTGCAGCCGCTGGTCCTTGCTCGAGTTGGCCAGCATCAGGTAGTTGCTCAGTCCGCGGACGGCACTGCGCGGTGGTAGTAGAAACAGAAGCACACATGCAGGGTATCAGCAACCAAGTCTCAACACCCAATGACGACAACACACCAACGTACTTGGCCTTCAGCGCCTCGATCTTCTCCGGGTCCGTCTCGCTGCGGCCCTTGTCGAACTCCCGTCGCACCAGCTCCTTGATGGCTTGGCCCTTCTTGCTCTGCACACAGCAACCAGGCGGTAACAGCAAGTCAGCAGCACACATGTCGTGGAATAACGCAGCGGAGACATACATTGCCACCGATGTGCTTGGCCAGACGCAAGCAGTCCCGGTACAGCTGCGGCAGCAACAGCGTGAGATCAGCAAGAGATCAATGCAGCAGCATAAGAGGCAGCAGCGAAGCGCACCTGGATCGTAGTCCGCGTCACTTGGTTCGTGGCAGACATATTTCTATTGGCATCGAGTGGCATGTCAGCTAGGGTGGGCGATCTATAATGTCGGCGTCATTCCGTTATGTCCGATAAGGTACAGCATCAAGCCCGTCAAATCTGTTATCATCACGTTATCCTTTTAACCGGGTTTCTATAATGGACGTATTTTACTGTCTGTAAGTTTCCTTTTTTTTGTCAGAAACGGTAGCATAACCCTTTTAAATCCGATCAGTGAATTCGATTCACAAAAAAAGGTTATGAATGGAAGCTTATAAAATGTCCAGTGACAGTTTGTTTTAGCAGTCACGGTAGTTAATCAATTTGATATACTGAAAGTGACCTGTCAAGTACGAATCGTTTGTGATAGGCTATGCAATACTATAGGCTCACTACTAACTGTACAATATCATTTACGATACGAATCGAGATTCACGATGAACCGCAGAGCATTAGCCCGGAAGGCTGCAGGCGCCAAGGTGACCGCTCCTAGCAGCAGCACCAGTCCCGAGAACGTTGGCGTGGAGAATGTGACGAAGAAACTGGAGGTGCAGCTGGCGGCGGGCGATTTCTACGGCGCGTTGCAGATGTACAAGACGCTGTTCATGCGTCTGCTCAAGGGGGACGAGCCCAGCGCCGAGCAGCAGGACAAGGCGGTGGCGCTGGCGCAGGAGGCAGCGCTCAAGCTCATCGAGCACGACCAGAACACGGCGGCCACCGAGATGGCCAACCTCATGGTCTCCGTCTTCTCGGACTTCCACCACCCAGTGGACGACGCGCACAAGCAGCGGATCCGCCAGATCGACGCCGTCTTCCAGCCCAAGCCGCAGTTCAGCGCAGATCTGGCCGTGGTCCTCAAGAACGCGGTCAAGTGGTCGGCAGAAGAGGGCGCTCGCAAGCGCGGAGACCCCGAGCTGCAGCTGCTGCTGGCTCGTGCCTATCGCACGGCTGGGGACTTTACGCACGCCCTGAAGCACTTTTTGCATGCCGAGACCCCGCAAGAATTGGCAGACGCGCTGTTCCAGTGGTCGACACAGGGTTATCCCAGTGAATCCGACTTGTACCTTGCTCGCGCTGTGCTGCAGTAAGGAGTTTGGTTGTTGTGATGAAGGGGAAGTGCTGTGCTAACGTGGTTACTTTGTGATAGACTGCTGAGTCTGGAGAACCTGCGCGACGCTAACAAAGTCTACGAGGCATACGTGGCCAAGTGTCAGAGCGTTGGACGTCCGGTGGACCTGCCGCTGTTCAATTTTACGCGGTTCCTGCTGTTGACGCTGGAGGTGAGATCAGATCAAACTGTAGTAGTTTAAAACATCTTCTGACTGGCGGTGGCTGTTCATTTTGCCGTTTAGCGTGATGCGCTGCCCCTTTTCCAGATGCTTCAGGAGCGTTATGCGCCCGCACTTGCTCGTGACAATAGTCTCAAGAGCGTACGTAGCTGTTGGGAAGGTATTGATTGAAGTATCGCGAGTGCTATGCTAATATTTTTTGCTCTTTAATTATTGCAGTATTTAAGTGTCATCGGCCAGAAGTTCTACGGATTGCAGCCTCCTCGATCGGGACTCAGCTCTCTGCTAGAAATGTTTTCGGGCGGCATGTAACAGCGCGCTATACGTAGTAGATCGGTCCCACAAGCATCAGTCTCACGACAATTATCACAGTGAATAAAGAGCGGTAGTTGGCTCGCAAAGGTTTTATTCAATGTGTAATTGTCAGTATCACTTCCTTGACGCCGTAGCTGGACGGTAGTAATCGCCTCCAGGCGAGTTGGCGGTGGCAGGTCTGGCCAGAGCGCGCGCCTGCTTCTCGATCTCCTCAATCCGCAGTAACGTCGCCGACTTGATCGGCATGATCTTGGGCTTGCACAGCACTTCCGTCAAGTTGCCACGCTCCGAGTACACGAGGCCAGCTTTGGGTAGAACTTCCTGGATCTGGACGCGCTGCTCAAGGCAATGTCATCACTCAGCTACCGTCACAGCTACAAGCAGCATTAAAGTGCGCTTACCTGCATAGTAGAGTCTCAATAGGATTTAGTGAAATGCGACTCTTCAAGCTCAACTCTATCGAAACAGACAAAGCTAAACATTTCTATTTTCTCTCTGGATTTTTGAGAACCACACAATTGCTTATGCATTCTTCTTGTGTTTTTTCGTCTTCTTCTTGTCCTGCTGCTGCGACTTCCGCTTGAGGTTCTCCACCATGGCGTTCAGCGTGTTCTTACTGGTATCGACAGTCGAGTCCTTGGTAGACTTGGCCTGAGTAGCAGACGCTGTGTCCTGATCGTACCGCTGCCGCCGCTCCTTGAAAATTGCCTGCGTGGCCTCCGTTTTCTTGAATTTTGGATCCGTCGGATCCAGTTGGAACTGGGAGCCCTTGGCGTACAGCGCGCTGAAACGCGGATCGGCGGCATCGAACTCGAAACCTTCCTGCAGTCCTCCACTGGCCTTATGCTTGGCCAGTTTCTTCATCTCCTTGGCACGTCGCTTGCCCTTAAGAGACTTGACCTTCTCCTGCTTGGCGATCTTCTTCATGTCAAAGTTGCGCTCGTCCTGCTCACTATCACTGTCACCGCCTTCGCTGTCGCCTCCGTTGATAGCCTCACGCAGTAAATTGGCCTCCTTAGCCCCGCGACCTTTTTTCTTAAGCACTTCACGTTGTTCGCGTTCCAGTTGCTTCTGTTTTGCGCGCTTCTCGTGTAATTTACGGTTCTTCTCCTGCTTCTTCTCGCGTGTGTATCTCTCGAACGGCGTCTCATTCGCCTCCAGTTCCTTCTGTCGCTTGACCTTCAGTATGTCACCTGCTCCAGGAGTGAACGACATCTCCATATCCCCGGCAGCGTCATCCTCATCGCTGCTAGCTCCCAAGCCTCCTTCCGGGACGTTATCGTCGTCTTCGTCCTCTGCGTCGCTACCCAGCAGCATCGACCGGTATCGGTTGCGTAGTTTCTTGATTTTTGCTTCTTTCTTGGCCTCTTTCTTGCTGTCTGGGGCAGCTTCAGCCTGTTCCTCGTCGCTGTCGCTATCGTTCTCAGCTTCAGAGGCATCCGATACATCGGACGCTAGATACGCCTTGAAGTCGTCATCGTCGGCATCTTTCCAGTCTGCTGGACGCGTGAGAAGCTCCAGACGCTGCTCGTCATCCTCCTCCCACGTGAGCTTCACGTCTGTCTGCTGCAAAGCCACTGTAGCGAAGATTGCAGGCTTGTAGCGGTCAGGAACGCTGTCACACGATTCCTTTGGTGGATTAGTGAAGGTCGTGTCGTCCGGCACATAGCGGAGGTCGAGAACGTTCGACGAGGTCTCGTACTCGAGTTGATCGCACTGGTCGAAGATCGTGCTGGCTGTTTTGACTGAATCGCACGTCACAATGGCGTAGTAATAGCGAAGTTTCTGGAGCTCGTACTTGCGCAGTTTCTCGCGGTCAAAGCCGTCGGACTCGCCTTCGATCGTCACGCTCTTCTTAACACCGAGAGGGTCATCTGAGTCGTAGTCTTCTTCACCTTCCGCGTCGCTATTCTCGTCATCGCTGCCAGATTTTTCAGCCTGTTCCTCTTCAGTACTGTCCTTTTCATCGTTCTCTTCAGCCTCTGGTTTCTCCTCGTCGTCTGGGTTCTCTTTGTTCTCGTCATCCCAGAGTCCCTGCGGTCCGTGCTGCTCCTCTTCTTTCTGCATACATCCAACTGAAATGTCAGTATCGAATCGCTCAGTTCAACTCAAAATGAACACTTCGTACGTACCATTTTCTGGAGACCATAGTCGGAAGGATAGATCGTCACATTCTGGACGGCTCCAGTGGCAGGTGCGAACGACTGGCACAGTGCAAACAGATCCACAGCGCGGATACGCGTCCAGTCGCAGTTGAGCACAGCGAATCGCTTGGTCTCCTCTCCCATGGGGATGTCCTCTTCCTCCTCTTTGGCAACAGCTTCGACTTCTTCGTCGTCGCTGGCCTCTGAGTCCGAGTCGGAGCTGTCCGATCCAGACTCGAGTTCGCCGCGTGCCATGCGGTTCAGATAGTCAAGACGCGAGAGTTTCTCATTGTTCTTGGCAACTGTAGCGTCCGCATCTTCATTGTCGTCGTCGGAGCTTGTGGTGGACGGAGCTTTAGCTTTGGCCTCGTCGTCTTCTTCGTCCTCCAAATGGTAAAACTTCTTCAATTCATTGTTTTTCTTCTCAACGCGACGTCCATACTTGTCGTATTTGCCCTGCACGCTCTGGAATCGCTCGTCCTTGAGTGCCCCAGCGAATCGCCGGTCAATCTGCAGTTTGCTCTTGCGCTTCGAGTTTCGTGCGAATCTCTGTTATTTAGCATAGTTAGTTAGGCCAATTGCATACGTATCGATGCAACAGCTTTCAGACGCTTTACCGGGTCATTGTGCACTTTCTGGAAGCGCTGGTCGCGCACGGGATCGCTCATGGCACAAGAAGGTGTCGCTTGTCAACTTGAATTGATTCGATGGCAGTTGAATCGAATCAATGGAGCTGGCTGGTTGGAAAATACGAGATCTTTTCAGCCAATTGATAGTCGCGAGATTTCTGACATCAGATATTCTCGAAATTTTATTTTTAACAAAATAAAAAGAAATTTAAAATTTGAAATATCACATTTCCGAATCGGAAATTCCGATCAAAATTCATTTTTTTCGTCCTGTGCAGGATGCAGAAGTGCTCAGCGACTACAGTTTGCTTTGCTCGATACCGCACAATTGCCATCTCTAAAAACGACATGATGATTCTAACAACTTTGCATGAAATTTGGTCATGCCAACTTTGCATGATATTGGCTCATGAACTCGGTTAAATGGCCAGTGTCTACGATAATTAGTGCTTGCAGTAGCTAATACCGGTACCGAGCGTGCCAATGTTTCTGCTGCACATTATCCGACGCAAGTCTAATCGGCAAGATTAGATGAATCGAAACGGAACATCGAACCCAGTGTTTATCCTATATGCTCGTTGCAATATAGTACTCAGTAAACATTCAGGTTTCGATGAGCGACGAACGCTGCATCACAGCTTTAATGTCGCCGCCCTCGCCGTTCTAACTAATCTGCTGTAGCTCATTTTCGTTTTTGCCGTGAAGCAAGCGTACAACCATAAAACAGTAAGCCATTTCATCATCCTGACATTCTGGTGCGATGCTGCCAAAGCTCTCCGACAAGTGGGGATCCAACCTTCAACTGCTGGTACCGGTCATGACCACACCTTCGGTCGTGTCGACTCGGCGAAATGCGCTGCTGGAACTCAAGAAGATTGACGCGGTTCAAGTGCGCTACGCAGGTAAAGCCAAGAAACACTACTTCATCGTCGAAATATTTGCTGACTCATCGAGTTTCGATCGCGCGGATAGCGAGGTGGAGCAAGACGACGCACGGCTACGGAGACCGACCATCCGGATCGAACGGACGTGGTTAGAGTTTGTGGATCTTCGCAGTAAAGTCTACAAGATCGTCCGCGACGCGCATCGCGTGGAGCCTTGCGCGTTCTGCACGGGTTTCATGGACCAGGTCGTGTTCGGAGCGAACCCCAATGGAGTCCTTGTCAGCTTGCTCGGTGGCAAGCGGTTAGAGCGTACACTGGCGAAATTCGTGGATGAAGTTCTCTCGCTTACCATGCGTCACACTGCCATCGACGCTCGAGGCTGCTGCGCCGGGCAGACTACTGTTCCTCAAGTCGTGCACGCCTTCCTCTTCAAGTGACGCCGCCGAGACTCTATCGAGATACGGCGACAGAAGCTTTTCATATTTTCGAGTCGTATTGAAACGAGTAATTTTTTAGAAGTCAAACTTTTCCTAAGGACTCGTCACAATAATTTTTTTTCTTGAAGAAATACATGTAAAGCCAAAAGTGACCCGACGAAAATCCTTTATGCCGATCATAGTGGTCCTAACGCATGGCACAAAAGAAAAGAGAAAAAGACCCACCCAGTTAATGATGTAACCCAGCTACATGAATGCTTGTGCCGTGCTTTTGCTCCGCTTCAATAAAGCTACGTTTTACACTTTTTTTTTCAGGATCGTCTGCAGTATTGCATTTTTTTTAAGAAAAAAAATTGGAGCAGATGGGCCATGGACTCGGGATTGATGGTCGCTTAACCGCGTGACCACAAATGAAAATGGTCAGTTCCGCGATGGTCGTCAAGTGCGGCGCTCCTTCACCAAGTTGACGAGATGTATGACACCACCTGTAATCGACCTGCGGTGAAGGGCCATCTCCGCAAGTCTGGGAAGCCCAGTTGAAGCGAAAGCCAGATTATCAGGCGATATATCGGCCTAATCCGCTCCCGACACTGTCGAAAACGGGTCAACAAGCAGCTGGACTCGGCACGTCGACCATGATGTGCCACGGCTTCCTGACTCAAAATCTCGTCTTACATTGGGAACACCTCGACCTGGCTAAACTGCCGATTTATGCGCGAGGAAGCATGTCCACCGAGAGCGATGGCGGTTGAGACCTACGTGGCTGAATTTTCGTCTCTCCACAGTCGATTCCGAGCGCTGCTGAGCATGCACCACCGGCGAACGGAAGCCAGCACCGTTCTCAATGAAGATAACCGAGCGTCGCGCGTCAGCGAGCGCTTCTCGAACCCTTTCGCGCCTCTATCACTGTCAGCTGAGGCGGTGGTAGGACTCGAGACATTGACACAAACACTCGTGGCACGAAACATGGAGGCATACGAACGGCATTTGCATGATAACGGCAACAATGTGGACAAGTCCCGGTGGAAACTCATGTACGAACAGGGAGGGCTGCGCTCATACGCAGAACGCAGCAGCACTCCGTCATTTAACTTTGGAGCGGCGATGGGAGCGGCGGCAGGACATTTAGACCGACGAGCGCCAGTGTTCACGCAGTCCTCAACAACTACCATACCGTCAGTTTTAGTGGTTGGAGCGATCGAAGGAGAACTGGACGATACAATGTACGGATTCATGTGTCCAACACTGGATCAGATGCGGGTCAAGACGTCGTACGTCAAAGACGGTCTTGTACGTGGCAGTGTGTTAGCTACACTCGTCTCTCCAACAGTGGAAGACCCGTTCACGTCGGTTGTAGTCAAGTGGATGGAGAAAGGTCAGTCGAAACATGCTCGAGCGATGGTAAAGAACCGCGACTACGTGTATCTGGAGGCCACGGGTGTCGACTATCTTCGCAACGGGGAGCGAGTTGGCTACCAAATTGTGCACTCGATCCAATTCCCAGAGACACCAGAGCGTTCATCCGCTATACGAGGCAACATGTCCATCTGCGCATTCTACAGACAGAAGAACAGCGACGAAACGGATGTCTACGTTAAAGGCTTCCTCAATCCTCTGAATGGACTGGAGAACTCCATTATCACGCGGTCAATTGCTCGGACGCTGCTCTCCGTGTCCAGAAATGTCCATTGTTGCAAGATGAAGAAGATCAAATGGGCCATACGGCAAAGACATCGATCAGACAGGCAAATACCGGTTGATCCCATGGCTGACGGACCTTGTGTGACTTGTGGGAAGAAGCGCTCAGCTGTCTCCAGTCTTCTCTCTGCAGCTGCTAGTCGAATGACTGGGGGCAGGAACTTCCGCTGGCGGCGTCGGTGTAAACTCTGCGAGCGCTACGTGTGTCCGGACTGTCGTAGCTTGCACAAACTTACGTTTGTTTTACCGGATCATCGCTTGGTACAACAGCAGATCGCGCTTTGTTACGGTTGTCTGGAAAATGCACTCGGTGTTAAGGCTGTCGATGTTGCTCGCGACGAACTGAAGCGACGACGCTGGTCACTCTACGAATGGAGAGATACATACGCCACCTCGACAAGCTCAAATCCGATAACGATCAACGAGCTCAATTAGCACAGGAAACCCAGGAAAACTAAGTATCAAAACGCTTCACAGCAATAAAAATTCAACTCAACTGCAAATCCATCAGAACAACAGACAGGCAATTGCTCAACCGGAATAAATTGAAGGAGGCGAGAGCGAGTGTACTCATAGAATTTCAGAGTTGAGTTACCAAAACCAGCCCTGCTGCTGCTTGCGTTTCTCCTACACAACAACCAAAAGAACGCAACTTGCAGGTCAGTAACTAAGCAGTTCGGAGTGTAAACTGCATTGCTGTACCTGAATTGCAGAGATTTCTGCTGGTGTGAAGTTGAGAACGGTCGCGATTGCCTTCTCCATGTGCTCTTTGGCCTGCAAACAATAGCAGTATTAGTACAGAGTATGCTTACATCGATTCTGAGTCCTTGACATACCTCGTCTTGGTCCGAGGCCATGTACTTGTACACTATATTCTTCAGATACTCGTTTGTCTTGGTTGCGTTGGGCGTCTCGAATCCGGACAGGCTGCTATTGGACTCCATGCTCATGCGACGAACGCGAACTTCCTTGAAACTGTTCGTGCGACTTGCATTGCTGCTCCCACCTCCGTTTTCGTGGTACTGCGCTTGAATATCGTTCAGCTCCTTCTCCTTCTGTTCCACGGCATTCAAAGCACGCTTCCGGTACTGCGCGAACTCTTGTCGCAGAGACTGCAGATCCCCATTGCCATTGTCGCTACCGTTACCGAACGCTCCACTGGTCATCAGCTTCAATTCCTCCATTTTCTTTTCCAGCTCTTGCTTCTCTCGAACTGATTGTTCGTATCTTGTTATTAACGAATAAATAACGACTGTCAGACGAGCACTACCCAAACGTTAGTATGGCGAACAACGCACCTCTCTCTCCACTCCATCGCGAGAATTGTTTCACCCATAGTGCCACTGAGCTTCTCATAATCCTTCATCAACTTCTCAAACTTTCGTCGCCAGTCGGATTCCTGCAAGCCAACACGACAATAGTTCGAATAAATTAAACACCGTGATTGAACAGTACACACTGCTATACGTACCCGCTCTTCAGCTTCGGCTTGCGCCTTTGTCAGTCGACGGATCTGCGCCTTTGACGACTGCAACTCCCCAGAAAGATCAGTCTCCGATATCTGCTCTGTCTGCTTCGCCATCACATTCATGCTCATCTGCACAACCAAGTCGGTCTCATCAGCATCGCATTAATTATTCATACATACACAGTAACACACCTTGCGGATCTCTGCGTCCTTCTGTTTACGCGTGATCTCCGAGCGCACACGATAACGACGAAACTCTTCCTGTACGCGGTCGATCTCCTCCTTCAGACTCTTTTTCTACAATAAATGGCACGCGTACACAACATCAAACACATTAGCACCACGAGTTACATCACCAGAACAGCAATACGTACCACACGCTCCACTTCATACGGCGCCATGGACAAATCTGGTAGCGTCAGTGGCTCTCCCGTCGCACGATTCGCGTATTCCTGTATCTCTTCTTCATTATGGAAACAGTGCCACGCAAACTCGGTCGAGTCGTCAAGTTCGTTTTCATTCACGTACTCGACCAGACACCAGAGCAGATTCCCATGCGCCACTTTGTGCAGCAACTGCCTTGGATCGCGCGTAGATGCGTCCACGAACCACGAGTGTCTGGCCTGTTGGCTCTTGGCCAGCTCCTCCCGCAGCTTCTGTATCGTCTCATCTTTCTCCGCTAACTCCTGTTTGCTATTGTCGATACTACGTTTGGCCATAGCCAGTAAACGCTTCAGCTTGTTCTCCTGCATAATCACACCACGTCAGCCATTTTCAGGCCGTAATAGCGTCTATCAGCTCACCGTCTCCTCCATCTCTTGCATTTTAGCGTTCTTCTTAGCCAGCAACTGCTCGATACGTGCACCGCGCTCCTTCCATGCTCGTAATTGCGTCACAACATCCGCTCCGCCATTGGAATGAGGTGGGGAAGGTTGTTGCTGCGTCGGAATCTCAGGTTCTTCAACTTGCGGGTCTGCCATAGCGTCAAAAAAAGGTTAAAAGAAGACACATTTTACACAAATCCGGACACGTCGACATGCACGTACAGTCCCCCTTTGTCCTCTTACCTTCAGCAGACACCTCAGCCGGTGGCAACGCGTCTACGTCTTCCACTTCCATCGCGTGCGGTCAACGTGGCCTCTTGGGCTTCAATTCCACATCTGGTGTTACACAACCGTTACATCAATGACCTATCATATAACATTCAAATGACAATATATGGTATCATGTAGCCATTTTACAAGCACAATGGACGTCAAGACGATCGCCGCCAAGTATGGAGGTCTACCAGCGCGTGTGGTGGCTCGAGCAGAGGAGAACTGGCGCGTGACGAGCGCCAAGAAGTCGGCAGCGCTAGATCCGTTTGCTGGACCTGTTGCGTGCATTTTGGTGGCGGCGCGGGCGCTGGAGGAGCCTGTGGACAAGAAGCGGTTGGCAAAATGCGCAGGCGCCAATAGCAGATTAGTGGAGCCCACAGTGCGCAAGGTGGTGGACGCAGTGGGTGTCCGCACAGTAGTTAAGACGACGCCGGCTGCGCTATGCATTAAATTCGGTTGTGAGGCATTGACGGAGATCGTGCATCGAGTCCTGGACGAATATCGCGCGTATCTCGCAAAGGTGGCTGCTGCGAACCGGAAAAAGAAGAGCAAGCATCCGCTGGGACCAGTGGTGGCCACAATGAATGGTCAAGACCCAGTATTTGCAGCGGCATGTTTGTTTGCAGTTACCAAGCAGGCAAAGGTAAGAGATTGTGTGAGAAGTAAGACGATCTTGAAGAGCTGCTGACAATTTGTGTGCTTTAGATGAACGTGAACCAAGAAAAACTGCTGGAAGCTGTGTGTGGTAATGTAAAGGAATTCAACGCGATCGTGTCTTCTATCGAAGTGCGTGCACTTGGTTTTATTAGTGGAGTGTTGGTGTAGCTTGACTCACTCACTGAATGTTACAGGCCCAATGTCAGGCATCGTTGAGCGGCGCGATCATGGATCGAAAGAAGCGTCGGAGCTTGGCAGGAGAGAGAGCAGCCAGGAAACTCGTAGAGCAGCATCGTCTCGAGCAACTGGAAGAGGAGGAGCGTGCAAAACGACAGAGGACGAGCCTTGACGGTGAAATGGCCTCTCCACCTACGACATTGGCGCAACAGCGTGTTTTGCAGCGATTGCGAGCATCTCGTGGGGGTGCAACAACCGCACGAAGTTCAGTGTCTTCTAGGAAAGGAGTGGTTGCAGCCACGCCAGCAGAGTATGCCGAGTGGAGGGCAATGGCGCTAGAGTTCATGCGCAACAAGAAGGAACAGGAGACGGCGGGGAAGAGTGACGCTCGGCCCACAATCTGATGGAATCTGCGGTTGCGAAACTATTCAAACATGCCGCGAGTGCAACTTTTGTCTCTATCATGCATCGGTGCATCCACGCTCTAAAGTTTGATCGCCTTTGCGACGGCGGGGAACCGCTTTGTGAACGAGTTGTCGGGGCCCAGGCGGAAGCTCCACTTGCGCGTTGTCGACTCCAGAACAGCAAACTCTGTAAATACCCACCATGCAGACGAGGAATTAGAACTATGAACAACGACCAAGTAGCTGAAAACAACGACCAAGTAGCTGAAGTTTGCGAGCCCCTACCACTCAGGATTGTTTTGGCGACGTCAGCATCCAGAGAGAAATCTTCCACAAGTTCCATTCGCGATACACCAGTGGTCGTCTTCGACAACTAAACATTCAGACGAAAAGCAATCAGTCTCTAGCAGGAAGAAAACACCAGAGTGTCTAACGTACTGCTTTGATAATTTCATTGCGAGCGCGCACCGTCGTCTCTCCACGGCACACCAAGGCACTGGTAGATCGGAAAACACAACGAGAGTAAGTCCCCTATGTACCGACGTCATTAACTCAACCAACCAAACGCACCTGGAGGGTAGCAGGCGCCCTCTAACATGTACAGCGATGTGCTTGAGCGCGTCCAATAGTTCTTCCTCACTACGAGTCGGAAGAAGCTTAGCCAATGTGTCGAAGTGCATGATTTGGTCAGTGGCGAGCAGTCGTAGCACATCCGCATACTTGGCGTCAACGCCATCAAGAAGACGTCCAGTAACAGGCTCCATCGTCTCATCCTTCTCCTCCTCATCTTCCACGTTAGTCCTGTTCATAGCAATACAGCAATAAGCTTCTCGTTTGCTTAGAAAATATTTCAAAGCAGAACGTACTGTGCTGGGTTGGACGGAGCTGCGGGTTTATCCACAGACGCCATTGCACGGTACTGCATGGCCTTGATATATTCATCGGCTGTCATGGTCGACACCACCTCCTCTTCCTTCTCGCTAAACAAGTTCTCAAACTCATCATCCGCTCCAGCGCTCTACAGCCACATACACACACCCGTTAGACAACAATTTCAATGACCAATCTCATTAAACGTACGCTCTTATCCTGCACTTGAAGCTCAATCCACTTCTCGGCGTCAATCTGCTGTTTCTTGTACGCAAACGAGTTCTGAATGGCCGAGATGGCGCGCTCCGACTGTTTCTTCTTGAACTGGAACTGCACTTCCTTCATCTCGGCGGGCGGCGGCTCCACTTTCTCCTCCACTTCCATGTCTTCTTCCTCTTCGTTAGCAGCATCATCGATATGTGATAAGCTGGGACGCATTTGCATGACAGCCGAGAGAGGAGTGAGGTGCAGTTGGCCCTGGCGGAACACGCCCACAACGTAATTCGAGAGTGCCGGCACACTGGACGACTGAAGTCTCAGATGCTTCTGCTTAAGATAATCCTCCGCGTCCTGGTCGAAATGTTCGCTGCGCTGATCTACGGGAAAGTCAAGCTGCATCAGCTGGTTATTCGGCTTAATACGCGCGCGACGCGGCGGCTCCGGCATCGGGCGATAGGTCGGTCGCAGTGGGAACTGCACCATGTAGCTGTTCGCCAGTCATTATATCGGTCATTTAGTCAATAAATAACGCCACAAATGGAGATAACACACAGCAGTAATAAACGCACAGGTTTTGACGCAGCTCATCGGCCAGATGCACGGGGATCTCGCGCACTACCGGGTCGTCGTCCATGGCCACCTTTCACTATCGTCCAATGGCTTTTGGTGTGGGTCAAGAACTGTCACAAATTTACCTCGTTTTAGTAACAAGTACATTAAAGTCGATCACTTTATTTGTCGCCATCGACGCCAAGCATGAGCGCCATTCCTCGCATTATCGACAGGTATATGCCTCGTTGAATAGCTAGTTAGATAGAAGAAGGACTGTACTGTCTCGTGGTAGTATTTACGTTGCCTATAGACATTGCTATAGTGTGGGGAAGTCGGAAGATCTCACGCGGAGCTTTCCTTTTTTGTACCGCAGTGACAGCGACAGCGATGATGACGTCCCGCTCTCAGCTTTGCGAGCTAAAGCTCCGGCGATGAAGCAGGAGGTGAAGACCGAAGTGAAGGTCGAAGTGAAGGCGGAAGCACCATCAGTAGCAAATGGAGCGGGCAACGGCAAGCGGCAGGTGGCGTCCGACAGCGACAGCGATGACGACATCCCCATCAGTGGCCTGGCCAAGCGCAAGAAACTAAAAGTGGAAACAAAAGTCAAGACGGAGAAGGCACGGGTCACCACGCCCAGCTCCCGGTCCACACCGCGCAAGGCCAAGAAGAGAGTAATAAAGGTGAGCCGGCAATCTCTCTGAGGAGGCTTACAGTTAAACTGATTGTATGTGGTCATTGCAGATTAAGATCCGACAGCAGGAGTGCACGGAGGAACTGTACGAGACGCTCAAGGGCCAATTGGCACAGGAACTGCTGTGTCGTTGGTGGTATGCCATGGAGTGGCCGCCAGTACGAGCATCATCGCCAGTAGGTGGCAAGAAGTCAGTGGAATTGAGGTATTTTACTGACATTGTCGATATTTTGCTTGGTTGAATAGAAATTGCATGGCGTGCAAGAGCTCGACGGATATCCTGGTGCCTTCATCCGCGTAAAGGTAAGTTTCTGGTTCCTGAACGATACAGTTCGATATATTAAAGCGCTCTGTTGCTTCACTGTAGGGTGATGACTTAGGCTCAATCATAGACACTCGCTCATCGGTCGGCAAGCCGTCGTTCCTGCACTTCTTCGCCATGTCCTCGGAGGACTTATTAAAGCTTCTCCTTCAAGCCTATGACAAGCAAATGGAGGTGTTAGTTGAGCATGAGGTTCGTCGATGTTTGCTGTTTAAGTCAACTTTTTTTTACAGCACTAGGTATGCTAATTTTTTCTGTCATCATCCTGTCAGGGTCCCGATGTTCCTCTTCTGAAGGAGCTGCAGAAAGCACGCGCGTCAGCAGCTCGCATTAACCCGGAGAAGGCGGAACGAGGCGTACGGAAGGTGCTGAAGAACTTCGCTGAGCTAGAGCGGGAGATCAAAGAGGTCGCACTGAAGGAGGCGGAGGAAGAAGAAGAGGAAGATGAAGACGATGATGACGATGACACTGCCGATGACTAGAAGAGCTTGCTGTTGCAAAACGATGGAGCTCTGAATAGCAAATAGCAAAAGATACCTGACAACCTGTAGCAGACCAAATCCAGGCACGCAGAGTAGTAGGAAAACAGGCACCTTCAATAGCAAACACCAGTAGTATCCGATAGTGTCTTTAATGGTAAACAAGTTCCTGTCTGAATCATGCTATACGCAATGGCATACCACAGCATAGATGAAGAATTTAATGCACAGCAAACAGCAAAGTACAAGCAGCATGCCAGGTCTGGCGATACAATATATATTCACCCAAGGTATCTTCGCCAGGTCGACGTATCTATTGACGCTTTTGGTGTTTTGACTTGCGCTTCTCGCCTGCTAGAACCCGTCGTTGCTTTCTGATTCCTTGACAAAAAGATCTAATCCAACTTGGCGCGGAGGGTGTTCCGGAAGTAGGCGTTGCCCACACCGCCGATACCAAAGGCAGGTCCAATACGGCCAATACGAGCAAGCACGGACTTGACGTACTCACGCCGGATGAAGCCCACGCGTTGCGACATCGCGTGTCCCTTGTTGTTGTACAGATCAAGCCCAAGCAAGTGCAGCGGCGTGGACACGAACTGCACGGCGGCGGGGCAGACAAGCTGTGCGAAGGTGCTGGCGCCCGATTTTTCCATCAGACCCTTGTCTTCGATCTTCTTAGCCAGCACCTTGGGGGCGTTGAATGACGCGCCGCACGTCATGGAGTCGCGCACGGCGAAGAGCCCGATGGACGTGAGTGGGAAGGCTGCGGGAGCGATGACACCGAACATACGAGCGAAAGCACGATCCTTGGCAATGCAGAGCGACATATTGACGGCCGTGGTGCCGATGAATTTGGGCATCTGGTTGTCCGTCTCGCCGTATTCGCACACGGAGTCGACGACGTTGGCGGTGACGTATGTGGCTGTGTAGAGACCGAAGATGAGGTGGAATTCGCGCTTGCCAACGAAGCGCAGTGGGTGCTTGAGGAAATCGGCACTAAGCTCCTTAAGGCCGCGACCCAGCGGGCGAGCGCCACTGGCGTTCTCGATGATGGCGCGGTCCACGATGGTGATGAAGGGCGCCACGCCGAGCGACGCGGCCATGGCGGCGGCCGTGTCCACCACGAGCTGCTTAGCCAGCTTCACGGGGCTGTGCTGGGTTAGGTCGCTGGAGGTCTCCGCCATTGAGTCTCTCTGCAGGAAAAGAGCAAGTGGAGTGTGACGATCTCGCAGCGAATGCCTGTCCACCCGAAGTGCCGAAGTCAAGCGTAGCTGCTCGAAGTCGCTGGAATGCTTGAGACCGGTTTGTGCACTGTGTGACGTGGTGGAGGAGATGGGCAGCACATACAAAAGTCAAGTATAAACGTAAGCGACCGTCATAGCCCTCCATTGCAACTGCAGTTTTGCTTGTGGTGGTGATGCTCGACGGCCTGAGCAGAGCCGCCTGCCATCGTCACCGAAAGATTTTTCGCAGCGTGCACAGCGTCAAAGGGCTAGTGGGATGGCTGCCTATGATGGCCGTACACGATTCGAGCGTCGGATGTTGCAGATAAAGATCCTTTTGCTTTGATTGCCACTTCAACTTGCCGCATGGAATGCTTAGACGTCCAACGACCATAGTAAACGACGATGCATTACTCTGTAGTTCCTCCCCGAAGTACTTCCGTAGAAAATGAATTGGTTTGAGGCAAACGCCCAAGAGTGCACTTTGGGACTGGAGTTCAGTCCGTTGGTGTTGTGCATTCGTGCTCGTTGTAACCACTGCAAAATGCCGTGTTGAATCGTCTCGTTCTCGCCGGTCGTCAACACGCTTTGTATCACGGTGTAGCGGGCAAGCAAACGTGTTCAACTTGGGCAACCACCTGGCCACACCGTTGGCATGAGCAAACCGAGGACGTGAGTGTTTCTGTTGATGTTCGCTAGCTACTGAGCAAATGTGTGAGCGATGCACTAAGGATTTTCGTGCAAGTGCTATCAGCAGAAACCGATGAGTGCGCTTGTGTGTTGGAATCAGGTCAGGGTCATTTTCTTACAATGTTGACGTTGGCCTTCGAGTTCCGAAGAATGAACAGAATGCAAACGCTTGCTTTTTGCGACTTCATTTGCACCTTTAGAAAGTCACACATTAACAAATGAATCAAAAAGTGAGAACCAGGTAGGTGCGTTTGTCTTGCACGAGCACCACGAGCACAGTTGTCAATTTCTTGAATATCTTTAGGTTCGGATGCGGACATGAGACCTGCGGATGACGAGGCGACATGAATTGTGATGCTGCCGGTTCGCAGAAGCATGTCGAGTACAACATCTTCGGACCACTGTCTGTTGAACTTCATTTCCGCGAACTTTGCGGCAGGGTTTTTAGTTGTTTTCAGTATCTTCAGTAGCCGGCAATGCTGACAAATATGTAAAAAAAAAAAAAAAAAAGCAACACACTTCGTGACGTCAGCAGACGCATCGCACACGACTAGCAAGGTCTCGTACGCGATTTGGACGACAGTAGGAAGTACGAGACAAGGTTGACCTCAATATATTACATACATTAGGAAGCATGAGATAAGCTGAAACCACTGTGGCAGAGGCTGCAGTGGATGCGTTGAATATGTAACAGGGTGACGGTCGCGCCACTTTGCCAGACGGCTGACGACAGATCAACGGACAGGAATGACGGAGAAATAAAGAGCCACAACGACTGGTGGCTCGACGGCGAAGAGTCGCACACGAAAGATCGCACGGAACGAGCGGTCGAGAGCGGCCGACAAAAGATCCAAGCGACTGGTGAGCGAGGCGGCGAGAGCGCCAAGATCACTTTGAAAATTGCCGGACGGAGCGTAAGTGGTACTGGTGTGCAACGCCAACACCGACTGACTGGACGGCTGGACGGACAAGGACTCGGCAGAGGTGGTGTTGTAATTCCCACGGCAACGCTAGCTACTAGTGTAGGTAGGATAAACCCACAACAATACGTCTACCAGAATGGCAACTGACCGCTCGGGCGTGATCTGAAGACCCAGACTCGGCTCTTACACCGGGACAGACTGGACCTGCAAATCGCTTATATAGGCCAACCAGTAAAAATAAGAACACGCTACTAGCACGAGCAAAGCTAGTAGGTGTTATGAATCCTCGTGGTCCCAACAGCGGAAGGGTACCAGGCACGGGTAGCCTTTTACGAGGGCGCCGAGTGTTCAACACTCGACTGGAAGAATATATGGGAGGCAACTTGCTCTCCCCAACACGTGCAAATAGGCACAATAAAGCCGTCACGTAAACTTCCGATATATAATCGGCCAATACACACACCCACTTGGCCTTGCCGGATGAACCCTCGCTAGTAAGCTTCGAGTCCACCGACAGGCATAACGCACCCAAACAAGCTTATCCAGACGCTTACCTTGAAGCCGGACCCCGCTCGTATGCTTGAGTGGAAATTCTGTTCTGTTATTTATGGTGCCCTTTCGGGCTCTTCCTAATATGCAATCCTAATCATGTATACAAATATCAAGTAAACTACGATCCGTTATGGATCACTACACGTGCCAACAGTCACCTCAACTGTCCTTGTACCTTCTCAGGTCTCTGTCGAGCGTTCAACTGCTAGTCGCACCCACTGAAGAGTCGCTCGAACCGTCACTGAATGTAGCCACTTCAGCAATTACTTGGAAATCACTACACCACAACTGCCCCTGTCGCAATGGAAGCCACGCCACTGGTACCCGTTGTGACATCATCCATTTCCAAATCCTTCCCACCGTGCGACTATGTCTCGTCGGGAGCCCCGTCCGCGCGGCGCTCTCAACCACGCTCTACACCGTGCGTATGACGCACTTTTTCCACACCGACGTCGTGACCCTGCACGCTTGGAGGTACGTCTCACCATCCTGGCTTCCAATCTTCGTCCGACTGCTCATCCCCTCTCTCTCTTCGTCAGGAATCTCGTCGGGTCGACACCGATCGTTCATCTGGACAGCCTCCTTCTGCAGCGAGTCTTCAGCCACCATCCGGGACTTCTCTTCCCATGGGTCATGAACCCACGCTAACACCGGCCGCTCCGACCGCTGCGACTCCTTCCGCCACGCTTCAGGCTGAGACTCAATCTTCGGCCTTAGTTCCCGTCGCTTCTCCAGCTCCTGCCGAGCCTTCGGAGGTGTTGACCGTGGATTCGCTGCGCGATCTTCTCGCTGAGTCTGCGGTTCAGTGCCATAAGGGACTCAGCGACAGAACGTGGACGAAGTTGAAGGACGCTCTTCTCCTGCGGTATGGAGAACGACCGGATCTCGCTCAGGCGGAATGGAGAGTGATGCAGCGGACCATGATGCCTGGAGAAACGTTCGCTGACTTTGCAGCAGGACTCCGTGATGCAGCTGGTCAGAACCGAGTAAGAGAGGAAACCCTGCTGGGCCAGTTTATCGTTGACTAGACAACACTACCCGGCAGCTGGTCAAGTTGGAATCGGCGCCAACAACGCTGGGCGAAGCTGTCAACACGGCGATGAAGATCGATGACTCGAGCTACAACGTAGCCCTCGGCATGATCAACAACGGCCAAGCGTGGGCCATGAATCCGGCACAGACGGCGGTACAAATGGACGGTACGAAGGGCGCAATGTAAGCGATTCCTGGTATCGGCAGTATACCGGCTGACGCCGAGGACGATGAGGACATGGAAGGCGAGAGCCGTGTTCTTCACGAACCCGCAAGGCATCTTTGATAAGAATACCAACGTATGGGTGGCGCCACGCGGGAGAACATGAAACGGAAGGTACTGGCGATTGAATAAGAAGAGTCGTGGTCGAGAGCGAAGGACGGCAGCTCAAGCCCAGCGGGCAATGAATTAGCGGTACTCCGCAAGACCGGACAAGAAGGTAAAAGTTTACGGCAGACGAAGACGCAAGCAGCAACGAGGAAGCAGAAGTTCCATCGTCGCCACCACGGAAGAAGAATCGAAACGCACGTGTACGACAGACGAAGGCGCCGGACAAGACACCGGGGTTCAAGCCACCCAATTCGGAACGACCCGGCGGCAAGCGCCCAGGTGAGGAAAGCAAGTGTTATGCGTGTGGGCAATCTGGTCACTTCGCGAGGGACTGCATCGACCCCGCAGCGCAGCCCCGGAACGAGGCCTATCTCGCAGAACGCAAGGCTCGGCAAACGTCGGCGGAAAACGACAGTCGGGCGTAGTCGGGAGAAGACTGCGTCCGGTACCGCCGCGAGATCTCCGAGAGACGGCGACGAATGCCACCGACGCGATGGTGACAAACGACGGTGACGACAGGTTCCGTGCAACGTCGGCAGTGACGTTCCAAGAGCTGTTGGTAGTAGGCAGTACGCGTGTGAAGACAACGACGGAGAGGCCGATGGACGCTGCTGTCGCGAGAGAGTTGGCGGAGACATGCACGGACGAACTACTGGATCCACACAGCGGCGTGAGCGGCGAGTGCTTGTATCGCGGGGCAACCAGCAGTGGCGTGATGATGATGAAGGCGGCCATTGACGCGGAGATAACAACCCGTGATGATTGTAGGGCGAAGCGGTACGTGCAGACTGTGAGACCGGCGATGAAATCGCTGCGTTATCCAGGTGCCCGACGGTCGAGAAGGAGAACGACGAGAACGACTACATGCAGCTGAGGAAGGCGGCGTGCTAACGTCTGAGGAAGACGGTGTGTTGACGTCTGAGGAAGGCGGCGCACTGACGTCTGAATATGGAGGCGTGCCAGTGACTGAGGAAGGCGGCATGAAGACGATGGAGAAGAATAACAGGGCACTTGAAACAGTAGTCAACACGATGTTGACAATAGCACCGGTTGTGAAAACGGCAACGGAATTCATGCCACTGACCACGACGGTCCCAGTGATGGCCACGCCTTCATCAACCACGCGGATGACGGTGACGGCACCAAGTGAAGACGCAAAGGAGACTACGATGACTACGGGGTGTACCATGAAGCTGGGCAACCATCCAGTGCCAGATCGTGCTCACGTGGCTGCAGTACGGCTAGCCAGGAAGCAGGCGAAACGTGACGCCGAGCGGCATCGCGTGGAATGTGCAGTAAGACGCGCGACGGTTATGCCGGTGAACGACGATGAAGTGGTTTGTGCGGTGGTCGAGCTTGAATACGGACAGCGAGTCTGGCGACAACGACAAACTGATGAAGCGTTGATTGAACTGGAAGAACGGAAACAACGACGATGGACGGAGACGCAAAATCAGGACCAACGAAACTCGCAAAGTGCACGAGTTAGTTTGGTACAACGACTTGGAATAGCCGCAGTGAACGTGGCCAGGGGCTCCGGTGTGGAAGCTGACGAAGGTTTACCGACGGCAGTCATGGAATTGGACGGCGAGAAGTACGATATCAAGTGGGATAGTTGTGCCAGATATTCCGTAGCGGGGACAGACTGGATGGAACGTGGAGAACGAGTGCGGGGACCAGCCCCAGTGGACTACGTAGAAGGAGTGGGGTGCTTCCTTCTCGATGAAGTCGGAGTTTGGGCATTCGAGATGCGCAACGTGTACGGGCAGGTGGTGCGAATCACGGCATGCATTATCGAGGGCTGTACAAGTGAGTTCTTAGTGGGGGTTGACTTTAAGAAGGAACACAAAGCAAACATGGATTTTGACAAGAACGAAATTTTCTATCATGAGAAGGAGCTGTTAGTTGTTGTTCCGTTCCGAACGGAGGATAACAAGAACGGAGAGACGAAGATTGCTGTGGTCAGACTGGCTCGGTGTGCCAAGCTGACACGAAATGCGGTAACACCAGTGACGATCATGGTTGCTGCTCCTGATGGAGAGACAGGTATTTTCGTACCAACACGTAGTAGTGAGGCCGTCATGCTAGCGACCACCGTGACGAAGGTCGTTGGCGGCAAAGCACTCATCCCGGCAAAAAGGAGTTGGGAGTGTGGGTGCCGCTTACGAAGGACATGCAGATGTTGGAATTGAATGGAGAACTGGAGCCCGACAGAGTCTATAAGTGGCTCGAGACCCTCGGAGATACTAAGACGCCCCTGGACAATGAACATGAAGTGCGAATTGGAGAAGACGAGGCTATGACACGTGCATTAGTGCTCAAACTACTCAGGGCCTATACAATAGTGTCTACCAACACCGGAGATTGTCCACCGGTGACTTCGCTAGACATACAACACCACATTAATACCGGCGATACCGCACCGATAATGTTGAAAAGGAGACGTCAGGCTCAAACCGAGGACGCTGTTATTGAAGATAACGTCGCTTAAGATGCCGCAAGCAGGCGACATAGAAGAAGGAGATGGCGCTTGGGGGTCTCCTGTTGTACTCGTGCGCAAGAAAGATGGTGAAATAAGATTTTGTATTGATTACCGAGCTCTGAACAAGGTGACGAAGTGTGATGTATATCCGTTGCCCCGTATTGATGAAACCCTAGAAGCTTTACGTGGTGCGCAACTGTTCATAACACTTGACCTACGTTCAGGCTATTGGCAGATCGGGGTAGCTCCCGAAGATTGTGATAAAACAGCTTCTACCACAAAGCAGGGATTATATCGGTTTAAACGCATGCCGTTTGGGTTAATGAACGCTCCGTCGACTTTTTAACGAATGATGAATGGTGTCTTGCGTGGACTAACATGGACGACTTGTTTAGTTTACCTAGATGACATAGTGATCTTTACGCGAGGTGGAATTGAACGCCACATCGGACAACTAGCTACGGTGCTACACCGATTATCTTCGGCTGGTTTGACGCTCAAATTGAAGAAGTGCCTATTTGCTACTCGTACGATAGAATATCTTGGTCAAGAGCTGACTAGCGACGGTGTACGACCTGTAGAACGCTTGATTTCGGCGGTAGAAGGGTTTCCACGCCCACGTGACCCCGTAGAAGTAAAACGCTTTGTGCATTTGGCTGGCTACTATCGCAAATTCATAAAGGCCTTCGGCTCCATAATGGCACCCATGACGCGGCTACTGAAGAAAGACTGTCAATGGGAGTGGACCGAAGAGCAGCAGTTTGCGTTTAAACGCGTGAAGGCAATGTTGACAACAAAGCCCTTGCTCGTCTACCCGGACTTCACGTTGCTTTTCCGACTAGTAACAGATGCAAGTAAGGTAGGGCTCGGTGCCTGTTTGATGCAAGACCAAGGACGAGGCTGGCAGCCGATCGCATACGCAAATAAGGTGAACAACAGTGCGGAGAGTAACTACTCGATTACCGAACTGGAGTGCCTATCAGTCGTTTAGTCCGTTAAGGTATTCAGACCCTACTAGTACGGTAGGAGATTCGAGATTGTCACGGATCACGCAGCCCTAAAATGGCTGATGACCCGTCCTAATTTGGCTGGAAGACTACATAGGTGGTCGTTAACCTTACAAAAATACGAATTCGAGATTTTATACCGTCCAGGAGCGACTAACGTCGTCGCTGACGCGCTCTCCCGAGCACCTACAGCGATAACGGCGACGGGTATTGGCGATAACAAATGGCGACGAGAACTACGAGTCACACGCACGGAAGCAGAGTCGAAAACAGAAGACAACGAGCTACCCACGGACGTCATCAGACAAGACGCCGAATTGGAGACAAGGAGGGTGGTAACGACGACGCCATGTACGACGAGGACGGTACCAATGTCACGGACGATGGCGACGTACGGGCGAACGGCAGTAAACGTGTTCGCTACGAGAGCAATTAACACGACAAAGACAGTGAAGCACAACGGTGAACCCAAGTCGAGCTCACAGTCAGTGCCCATGCAGGTACAGACGCGGTTGGCAAAGAAACGCGAGGAAGCAGCGGCGGCAACGGCCAAAGCAGCAACAGCGACCTCGGCGGCGGCGCACGTGACGACGTTGAATGGCGCCGATGATGACACGACGATGAACGGTGGCGTTGCGGTGACGACGGCGGCGACGGTACTGCCGACGGAATCGCAGGACTAGTATCACAATGAAAACGGATCTAGTGGCGAGCGTGAAGGCGTGGCCCTGATCACAACGAAATGTAGTGGCGGACTTGGTGGCGAGCGTGAGGGCGTGGCCCCGATCAACACGAGTAATTCCGACGGATACGGTGGTGAGCGTGAGGGCGTGACCCCTATCCAGACGAACAATGATACGGACGGTGGTGAGCGTTAGGGCGTGACCCCGATCCAGACGATTGACGATATGGGCGGCGGTGAGCGTGAAGGCGTGGCCCCGACCGCGAACGACCACAAGAAGGATGAACGTAACGACGGCGTTACTCCTGACACGATGATGGCGTCCGATCACACCAACGAAGTGAACAACACGGTGATGCCAACCGTGTCGGTGCACACTCCAACCGTGGCGGTCATCCCGGTGTTTCCCGAAGCTCCATTGATGAGGAAAACTGGGAGAAGATCACGAACGCCACGAATGGCTGCACAGCAACGACCGAATACGCGAGCAGCAACCAGAGCGCAAAAAGCCCGTGAAGCAGACGAACGACGAACGACGGCTCTAGAGTCTTCGCATTCAGACCATGGTGAGTCACGACGTACCGAAACTACGACGGCATCGACGCCGACGAAACAAGGAACGACGAGCGAGGCCACAATGCGGCACCACGAGAACCTAGCGCGACACGTAACGTGGGCTAAACCGCCAGTGAGCGTAGTGATGGACGACAAGCAGGCGGGAGACGTGAAACCCACCGAGAACGCATCTGAACCTACGACGATCAGCACGAGAACAACCACCAGCTCGACTACAGGCCCGACGCTAACTGGGTCCACGGCCACCGACAAGACAGTAAGAAGAATGTCGACCGGCGTCCAGCTGAACAACACGAAGGAGAAGACTAAGACGAACGGAACGACAGTGACAAAGACGCAACGCCCAGGTAACATGATGATTCCGACGACGATTGCACTGGATAAGCTTGACGACGACATGGTGCAAACGGAGGAACTAACGTTGCAGCTCACGGACCAAGAGATTGTGACCGCACAGCAGCGAAGCCGACTTGTACAAGCAATGCTGGAGGCGGGTGACTACAAAGGAATGATAGTGGAACGTATATTTGGATTAGTTGTGATTGAAACTACACGAGGACGACGAGTCGTTTTACCACCGACCCTCTGGTCGATTGTATTCAAGGAGATGCACAGATCGATTTGGGCAGGACATCTACGTGGACCCCATATTTATGGAAGGATCGCTCAATTGTACTGGTGGCCAGGTTTGCACCGTGAAGTGAATCACTGGGTACGAAGCTGCCAAGAATGTGGAAGCCGAAAAGCACGACCACGAGAGGTGATACCGCCACTACGGAGCCTGCGAGGAGGGGACGTTGGAGACCGATGGGCGCTAGACGTGTCTGGACCCTTTCCGATTGCTGATGGAGGTGAACGTTACGTCATCCCGGCCCTTGAATATGTAACACGATATGCAGTTGCACGGAGTGTCGTGCAGCACACGGCTGAACGAGTAGCGACCTTCTTGATGGAGGACGTGGTGCTGAAGTACGGAGCCTTCCGTGAACTATTGACGGACGGTGCGTCAGAAATGACGGGACGAGTGATAGAGCAGCTAGTCGTATTGATAAAAGCTAAGCAAATGAATCCGGTCTTTATCGACCGCAGATGATAGGATTGGTAGAGCGCTTCCACAGAACGTGGAAAGACTGCGCTTCAACATTCATGGCGTACGAACGTCAAAACGACTGGTGTGATTGGGTACAATGCGCGGTGTTCGTGTACAACTACGCTCAACACTCGACGGTGGCTTTGAGCCCCAACGAATTGATGATGGGTCGGAGACTGAGACCTCCGAACGAGCTGTTGCGTGGAACGGAGCTTACTGAAGCTGGTGAGTTAATGGAGTACCATCGCCGATTGATGGCAGCGATGAAACGAGGGCGTGAATGTGCAGAGCGTGCAAGACAGAAGGAACAAGCGCGTCAAGACTACTACTACGATCGCAAAGTCAAACAACGACGAACATTTGAACCAGATGACCGCGTTTGGGTCTACAACCCACCAAGAGGGCCAAAAGCAACCAAATTCACCAATGGATGGGTCCGATGAAAGTGGTCGAGCCCGCTGGATATGAAAACTACGTGCTAAAACGAGAAGATGCGGCCAACCAGAACTAATAATAGCTCATTCGTTGTTCATGGTGAGCCATCACTCGACAACATCTCTACTACAACGTGCAGCCCATGACATCAACGAACAACTCGAACATGAAGATTTCAGCACACCGGCAGTCAATGACGAGACGACAAGAGCGCTTGTACTTGCAACTGCGACAGGCGATAATGGAGTAACGTCAAAGACGACTCGAAAACGACAACGAAGTGCAACAAACGACGAGAACGATAAGAGCTTTACACTGGTGGAACTCCGGAGACGACGAAACAAAGGTGGACAGAACGTACTGGAGCACAAGCTGCGGCCCCTTATTTCTGGATGGACACGAACAACCCACGGAGGTCGATGGTCGACGAAGGACGGAAGGGCGAAGCCTGCTGGATTGATCGAGACTAATACGAGAAGCTGCATCGAAGCGGCCGGGTCGCGGAAGACCCGGATATTGAGGAAGTCGTGTAACAGGGTGACGGTCGCGCCACTTCGCCAGACGGCTGACGACAGACAGGAATGACGGAGAAATGAAGAGTCGCACACGAAAGATCGCACGAAACGAGCGGGCAAGAGCGGCCGACAAAAGATCCAAGCGACTGGTGAGTGAGGCGGCGAGAGCGCCAAGATCACTTTGGAAATTGCCGGACGGAGGTAAGTGGTGCTGGTGTGCAGCGCCAACACCGACTGACTGGACGGCTGGACGGACAAGGACTCGGCAGACCTGTGTGTCAGCCTCGAGCCCAACTGACTGGACGACTGAACGAGGACTCGGCGGACCTGTGCGTCAGCCTCGAGGCCCACGGACGGCTGGACGGACTCGGCGGACCTGTGTGTCAGCTAGAGACCGACAAACGATACTGGACGGGCGGACGGACGGTTGATGAACTGGACGACCACAGTGGACAACGATTGAAGACGGCGATTGAAGTGTGCTTTTGGCAGGAACCGACGAACGAGTGAGCGGGCGAGGTTGGATCTGCATCCTTCCGAGTCTACTGAAGGTTGCATTGTTATAGGGTGGGCGCCTGAGGCGTAAGTCCCGGACGTGACTAAGTGGGCAATTGCTACGGCTCGGACATCGGAATACACCAAGAGGACATCGAGATTGTAGTTGGACAGAGTATGATTGACTGGACGAACGAACTGAATGATAAATAAAATAGGTGGCGCAGCCAGTCGGGCTCACACCAGCGCGGGAGACCGAGTTGTCGACCGACGGCCATCCGGATCTTGGACGTTTATCAGCACTGGACGAACCAAACTCTGCAAGTGGAGTTAGCAAACTCGTTACAAATACCTGAGTTTAGTTGGCTACGCGAAAAAGTAATGCATAAGATGAGGCAGGAGCTTACATCCTTAATACCGGTACCAGTTTAAAGCGACATGCCCCCAACAAGCAGGAAAAATATAATATGCTTATTATCTCCACTTTATATGCATTGCAGTACGGTCAAAAAGGGAATGAGAAACCAGATTGGCGCCTTCGACGAAATTTTGAGTAGTACTTGGCAGTGGGCACATAACTCATGTTTTGCTCGACTTTGCAATTTTTTGAGCGGCTAATACCCCCCCCCCCCCCCCACACACACACACACACCTACAGATTTGAGCTGAGTAAAGCTATAAAATATTTTTAAGTGTAAAAAATATGAACAACCCAGTTCTTCTTCAGGCGGTCGGTCGAATAAGTCGTTTTATTTCCTTCATTTTGAAGCGTAAACTCCTACGTTAATTGCTTTGGTTGTTGCCAGCATTTTGCAGACTATATAGTTCGGCTTTGGTCGAGCTTTGCCACACAATACCATACTACTGTTTACTTCGATGTACTAGTCACAAATTTTGGCACTAGTCACGTGATATTTGATTATATTCAATGTTCTTCTTTAAACTTGATCTTCCATTGCCTGTAATCTATCACACTCCACCAACGCAGTAGTGCTTGGCCTGAAGTAGTTTAGAGACGACATCGTAAGAGGCACCATGAGGTAAAGTTGGGATAAACTCCTCACGCGCGTTACACCAACGTAAAATGACGACTTCTGAGGCACTTTACGGGTGGAGTATCGAAGCGGCCCAAGAACCATTTTATCCACGGTAAGGCCTTGACATTTTTCGGTAGTCAATGAGTATGCAAGAACCAGTGGAACTTGAGTAATTGAAATAACGAAAGACCGGGTATTCATGTTGACCGTGACATCCGCCGCTGCTCTTTTGCAAATAGGAACGACTCCAAGTGGCAATGTCGGTATGAATACGACTCCCGCCTCTCCTTAGCAAGGCAACATTGCCTCCGTAGATCGCTTCCCAGCAGCTTCCCCTTCTAATATGTGAGGTTACGGGAATGTCGTTCTTGTCCGACTGGGTCAAAATTCACCATTTTTTGGATCGGATCTTAAAAGGTTATAAAGTATTTTTTTCGCTTTAGCTCTTCTTTTGTCAATTCAAGGTATTGAATTATTACAGAAATAGCCAAAATAATAAGAAACAGGATATCCGAGGGTTTCGGTAAGACTCTGGATATAATATCCAGAGAATACATTAGGAATAAGCTGAAACCACTGTGACAGAGACAATACCAGAATTCATTTTAACTCCAAGATAACGAGTCGGGTTCTCAAGCAACGCATTTAGGGTCGAAAGACACTACACAACAACAGCAACAACAACAACAACAACAACAACAACAAAAAGAGATAGCCACGGAGGCCAAATGGACTGGGCTCGTGGCGAATCCTGCTAACACTAAAATTTCAGGCCGCCACGCTTCTGAATCACAATTTGTGATCGTTGTGGTGGTGCGGCTACACAAGTTCTTGAACTTCGTCGGCCAGCGACGCCACACTCTTCGAGCCATCGCTCTCAGTTGCTGTAGCGCATTTGGCCAAAATTTGGCTCATTTAATGAGCCAGCCACGCTTGTGCAGGTTATTTGGGAGTGAAAATCAGACATTGGAACATATATACTTATATGTATTGGTCTGTCATCAAAGAAGTAGTAAATGGCTGAACACCAAAAACAACAATAATGCGTTATTTCTCAATGATCGTATTATGTAAGTCTCACGAGGGGGTAGTGCTAGTTCACTATTAGCTACACCTAGCTTACCCGCTAGTCCCAGAAGATCACTCCAGTGACGCTTGACTCGAGAGACGAGTCTCGGCGGTGGCTACCGTGAGTCGGTCCCAATACCTCCTGTTTACCTTGAGAAACATGATCATCTCAAAGTGAATAGAAAGAAGGGCACTACGAGTCGGGGTCAGCACCATCTTTGCTTGGGAAATAGCCTTTCGTATCGATTGCTCGTTGGGGGCACCTGGAACAGAAGGCCGTCGTAGCTGTGATCCAACGAAGCTTGACGGCGGCGTTTTGGCCCCGAGTTTATCAGCGAGTCCGCGAACCCGACTGCGTTGGCGTTGGCTCCGTTCCTTTCATTTCCTTCTCGCGCATGCTCCACCTGCAGCGACGAAAGCGCGACCGCTTCACCCTCCGTCAGCGCGTCGCCGATGCAGACCTACATAATATATTATCCCTTTCGTGAACGGGTACTTTTGACCTGGCTATATTATACTATAGAAGGTCAAGTAATTAGGCCATCAAAGGGGCATTTTGCCCTCTTTCATAAACTACGGTATTACAGCAAATCTTCTGCAAATCCTTGTAGTTCAAGTAGAAAGGGCAAATCCGGTCCGTCCACCACACAAAAAAAATAATGAAAGGGGGCATTTTACCCCCTTTCGTGGGTGACACGAGTGGCACTCGATGATACACCCTCCAAAGGGAGCAAAATGCTCCCATTGACCACGAAAGGGTTATAATCAAAACAAATGTGAGTACCAAATATTGTACTCACTTCATAAAATTGAAAACTATTAAATAATCTATTGAATTTGCTTCTGCCAGTAATATCTAATTTCTTGGAGCCAATCCTCTTATTATTTATTTATATGCATTATTATTTTCCAAAGCCTGCTGAAAATACTGCTTTTACGGTTGAGTTCATTCTTTTATTCACGCGTTACTTTACCATGCGGTGCGCTCCGGCTGCCAAGCAAATGAACTCGTAAAACGAGTGAATGCATTTGTGCCAATGCTTGCACCCTCGTTCTACTATTCAACTGCGCTATCTGCAAACTGCAGTTTGTCTTTTTATGCCTTTATCTTTACTACTGCGCCAATCACTTACAGCGCTGCGAGTACGAAACATAATACGAATGCTGTCGCTTGTTTACTACGAGTTCATTTGCTTGGCCCCCGAAGTTCACCTACACCATGACACATTAGTATTTATATATGCCCGTCCATAAAATGAATGGAAGCAAAACATCAGAGCAGGCTCATCTTTCCAGTCTGGAATGTAAAAGTCGCGCTAGGCAGGCGTGGAATAAAAATCTGAAGGGTTCACCGACTACGGTGTCGGTGATAAACCCGCAGCAACACAACTCGCCATGCACGTCCCCAGTGCAATGTTGCAGCCGATGATAGCGGGTGCAGTGCCAATACCTGCAGTAACGGTACCGAATACCGCTCCAGCAGCGGCATAGCATGCCACGGCGACGGCATTACACCCGGTCTGGCAAATTCCGTAGGCGATCGGCCCAGCATTTCGGTCATGCTGGCGAGTCCCAGCAGTACGAGCGCAACGGTGAGTCTCTTGGCCATCGCGGTGTTTCGATAGGCTTGGACTTGTGCTCGAGGCAGCAGAACGAATTGTGTGTTGCTCCTGGTTTCTTCCGGTACCGACAGGTTGGGACAACCAACTAACTTGAGCAAATTCCCCAGAAGAGAATTTGTACCGCAAGTTTGTCACCTTAGTTAACGGTGGTAAGTGTTGTGGATTATACTGGTCTCAGCAAGATGCTGAATGACAACGCGGTACAGAGCTCTTTCACCGAGCACTGTCACTTACTTACTCACTGGCTTCGAACAGGACAAGTAAGAACGCAACAGCAAGCATGTGATAGACCAATTTGGAATTGCATTTTCGTGAAAACCATCGTCGCGGCACCAGCGATCACAAGCAGCGAAGCCTTTCCTGGATATAAAGACTGCATTCTCTCTTTACACCTTGGAAGCAGGTCCGTCATTATGGTGACCGATGGGAGACAGCCCACCCGTGGGTGTGGCGTTCTGATGGTATCGCACAGGCTCCTCGATCTGCACGTTGTTGTGGCCCTGGTGCGAATCGCCGCTGGCCACGAACGTCAGGCCCAAAGACATGAGGAAGAAGAACATGGCGATGAAGTCGAAGACCGTGGCGCGCGCAGGTTGTGGCAGTGCCTGCCCGAGCCGCAGTTGCTGGTGTAATGATGCTGATCGGCGCTGTGTCCCCAACGAACCGCCCGTATGTGTATGTGCACGACTATGACGTTGAAGTGATGTTCATGAGCTTTTGAAATAGTGGCATAAACAGGTTCCACCCAGATTTGGGATTTCTTATTGTTTTTTATTTTATAAAACCCAACATAAGAGGGCAGCTAGATCGAGGAAAGTGATCATGTCGATGTTCGTGGTCGTGGGCTCGAAGGAGCCGCTGTATAAGATGGAGATGCGTGCACGGCGGGAGGAGAGTGCGCATGTAGACGAGTTCGTTCTTCATGCGGCGCTGGATCTGGTGGACGAGCTCATGTGGACGACGCCCGCCATGGCGCTCAAGGTTGTAGACCGATTCAACGACCAGCTCGTATCAGCCTTTGTCACGGCCTCAGGCGTCAAATTCCTGCTGCTGCACGAGACCCGCAACGACGACACCGTCAAGGCCTTTTTCCACGAGGTGCATGAGCTCTACGTCAAGGTGAGGGGGCGACGAAGAATGTATGTCATCTTTGCCAACAACATCGATGGACCTAACTCCTTTGTGCGTTTGCCGCTTGAAGCTGCTAATGAATCCCTTCTACGAGTATGACACGCCGATCTCCTCCGAAGTGTTTGACGCGCGCGTGAAGACGTTGGCGCGAAGATATTTGTAAATATGGCGGGAACCGGCGACGGTGTGCGATATTACTAGCAAAAGTGAGTGCAACATCATCTTGAGAGCTACATCGAGGTAGCAAGGCCTATAAAGCTCAAGTTAAAGGCTGTACGACAGAAGAATTGATGAAGCCGACGCGTCAGAGCGCGTTGAAACTAGCTTTATTGCAAAATAGCTCTCTGATTTCATTCGTCCGATTAAGTGGCGGCTGTGAAAAGCCTTCAAACTTAAGCACGCACAACCTGGCCGGCGATGCGGTCCAGGTCCTGCTGGCCGTGGCTGGTGATCTTACGGCCACCCTTGTTGACGCCCTCGGGGCACTTCTCCACGACCTTCATCTCCTCCAGCTGCTGCAGAATGTGACGGATGAGACCGCCCGAGGCCTTCTGGAAGTGCTGACGGTGGACACCCTTGCGGGCCGCACCACCGTACACCTTCTTGAGCGAGCCCACACCAGTGTACTGGCGCAAGTACACCTTACGCGCGATCGAGGCGGCACGGATGTAGTACCAGTCCGGGTCGGCGGGCGAGTACTCCTTGAACGAGGCCGTCTTGACCACGTCCCACCAAGCGGGCAGCTCGATCTTGCCTGAACGCTTCAGGTGCTCAGCGTAAGCCTTGATGAAGTCAGCGGGCTTCACGTCACGGACCGTCACGCCGCGCACAACTTCTTCCTCATCGTAGTCAGCCATTTTGGAGTCTGTAGTTGAGTACAAGGCAAAGAGAGGTTAAGAACACGTCTGTACCACCGCACTCAGGCGGGACTCTCAGCCGCCATTGGAAACGAGCGTCGAGTCCACGTCAGTCGCGCAGGACAGTCTCGGTCTTAAGAAACATCGTCATTATAACGCGTCACCCAAAACTCTCTACGACGAATTAAAGTCGCGAGGCGCTGCCCAGCGGAGGAAACGGCCACAATGGTAAAGACCTCCCACCACTACACATCGCACACCGAGCGGCCCCACACTACCGAAAGCATAGGGACAGACACAGTCACTTACTTGTTAGGAGAGGAACTTTGCAACAAATGGAGAGCTCAAAACAGCGTCGAGAAGGTCGAAGCCCCACCACCAGTGAAAGACAAGCGATGCTTTTCAACCAATCCCATATCTTAAAAACTCTTTTCATAGCTGAGGATTGGCTGAAAACGTTTGTATGGTGCTACAGCCAGTCGATATGATCGGATTTGAAAGGGCTCATGCGAGATCGCAATTTCAGTCTTTTCTATAGGTGCCGATTTGGCTGGCCACCAGCGGATCAGTCGTAAATATCGAGCAACCAGGAGACCAAAACCCCGCCCGATACGATGTTGGTTCTGTTCGAGACTGCTGCGGGCCACGCGCTGTTTAAGGTGCAGGATGAGGCCAAGGTGGCCAGCGCTGACGACGTGTTCAAGCACTTTTCGACGCCTGAGAAGGCCGCCAAAGTGCTGAAGCTCAAGGGTTTCAATGCCTTCAAGGACACGACGGAGGCTGTGGCCGCCGCCACCGACATGGTGGACGGCAAGATGGGCAAGACGCTCAAGAAGTTCCTGAAGAAGAACGTGGTGGACGCCGGCCTGAAGGACAAGCTGGCCGTGTCGGACAAGGCTCTGGGTTCGCTCATCAAGGAGAAGCTCAACATCGCCTGTGTCAACGACAGCGCCGTGAACGAGGTTATGCGTGGAATCCGTGCCAACATGGACACGCTGATCACTGGCCTGGAAGACGATGACCTTAAGGCCATGACGCTGGGTCTGTCGCACTCGCTGTCTCGCTACAAACTCAAGTTCAGTGCAGATAAGGTGGACACTATGATCGTGCAGGCCATCGGTCTGTTGGACGAGCTGGACAAGGAGATCAACACGTACTCGATGCGTGTGCGCGAGTGGTTCGGCTGGCACTTCCCTGAGATGGGCAAGATCGTCACGGACAACCTGCAGTACGCCAAGTGTGTACTCAAGATGGGTGTGCGTTCGCAGGTCAAGACTCTAGACTTCTCTGACATCCTGTCGGAGGACGTTGAGGCCTCGATGCGTGAGGTCTGCGAGGTGTCCATGGGTACGGACATCTCCGAGGAGGACGTGACCAACATCTCGGCTCTGTGTGAGCAGGTTATCTCCCTTACCGAGTACCGTGCCCAGCTCTTCGACTACCTGAAGAATCGTATGAACGCCATCGCCCCCAACCTCACGGTTATGGTGGGTGAGCTGGTCGGTGCTCGTCTCATTGCCCACGCTGGATCTCTGATGAACCTGGCCAAGCATCCGGCGTCCACTGTGCAGATTCTCGGAGCCGAGAAAGCTCTGTTCCGTGCTCTTAAGACCAAGCACGATACTCCCAAGTACGGTCTGATCTACCACGCTTCGTTGATCGGTCAGACCGCCCCCAAGCACAAGGGTAAGATCTCGCGTGTGCTGGCTGCTAAGACGGCGCTGGCTGTGCGTGTGGACGCTCTGGGCGACTCGACTGAGGCCACGATCGGCTTTGACAACCGCGCCAAGGTGGAGGCTCGCGTGCGACAGCTGGAGAACGGCTTCTCGGGTGTGCCTAACAGCAACGGCAAGATCAAGAACGAGTCCAAGAAGTACGTCAAGACGGAGACGAGCAAGTCGTACAACGCTGATGCCGACATGACAGTGTCGAGTAAGAAGCGTAAGGCTGAGGCGGCTGACGAGGAGGAGGAGCCGAAGGTCAAGAAGGAGAAAAAAGAGAAGAAGCACAAGAAGAAAAAATCTGCTGACGACGACGCTGACGTGAAGGAGGACAAGAAGGAGAAGAAGAAGAAGCACAAGAAGAAAAAAAGCGCCGAGGAATAGATGACTTGGAGACTTGCGGCAGAGATCCCGGTTGTAAGCTAGCTAGACAGACTGTAGCTGGGTCGCTTGGTCGCTTGCCTCGCCCCCTCGCTCTTTATTGTTTCTTCTAAGGGTGATCATGCTCCCTAGTAACTTTAACATTTTGCTTTTCATTTGCCATTCTAAGGCTGATATTTTCGGTTGTATCTCTGAATTTGGACTCAGTTTAGAACAGTTCTAAATCGACAAAGCGTGAGTGAATGAGTGAGCCCGAGCATCAAGAGAGCAGCAAGACCAGTATGACCCGCTGGCTGGAGGTCCGCGGCAAAGTACAGAGAGTGATGTTCCGCCAGACAGTGATCCGTGCTATGCAGAAGCGCGGGTTGGAGGGTGGCGCCTCCAACGACCGTCAGGATAGGAACCTGGTTCGAATGACGCTGCGTGGAGACTCGGAGAGCGTGGAAGAGCTGGTGGCTGCTCTACGCGAGGGCAAACCCATTAACGATTGGGGTGCCACAGCCACGAGCGTCGAGGACGTGGACGAAGAGCGCGGCCTGGCAATCGAGGCCCATCAAGTAACCACGACTACCGTCGACAACCGTCAGTGGAACCCCAACGTCACCATGTTCCTCTAGAAGGAGAGAGCATACGCATAAATACAGCAAAGAAAGAAGAAAGACAAACTAGTCTATTACACAACAGGAAACCCAGCAGAGTCTGTCACTAAAGCTCCGTTGTCTTAATCGTCGTCACTATCGTCGGCGTTGGTCTGACCGCCACCCAGCATCCCCGCAAGCAGTGACGATGGGTCTGTAGCTCCCATTTCCTCTTGTGCCTTTTTCATCTCTTCCGGGTCTGTACAAACAAAAAGACATCAGTTTCTGAACTCGATCTAATATATGTCCATTGGCATTCAAACTTACCCATTCCCTCCGACAGTTTGGGCAGAATATACAAGAGACCGATAGGCACCACGATTGTCAGGAACGACGGGTTCATAATGAGGCCCAGTATGTTGAACTTCTCACGCTGTTCAAAGTAGTCGAGCTGTTTGACGGGCTCCACAATCAGCGGATAGGTGGCGCGCGCCTTGGGGGCACCAGGGTACTTGTACTCGAGTGCGCGGATGAGTCCATCTGCTGCCACATCCACTTTGTACTGGCTGAAGAGGAACTGCGTCGACGGGATGTCCACCACGTAGCGGCCGGGCTCCAGGTCGCGGAACAGGAAGGAGCCGTCCGCACGCACAAATGCCGTCTGTTCCCCGCCGTTTAGCTGCACTTTAAGCGGTTCCACCTTCTCCGTCACGGAGCCCTGCGGGTACACGGTGCCGCTGATCTCGAAGGCCTGCGTGGATGTCGCCACTAGCAGCGCTACCAGAGCCCACAGCGACATCGTCATCATCGTTACGTCTCGATAGTGAAAGGGGGAAAAACAGCAACGGTAGTTGAAGTGTGGCGCACACAAACCCGCTAAAACGGATATTGAAGCGCTGCAGTCAAATGTAGACCAACAACTCGAAGTTGCGGCAGGATTGCCAACGTAGCGCCAAGTTATGACTTAATAAAGCTAGCTCCTAGATATCCCCATAGTTGACCGCAGTCTATGTTAAACTGCTAAGCAAGAAGAGAAGACGGTAATACTTAAAAGCAACGCTCAAGGTATCCCGATGGGCCTTGATGCAGATACTTGCTGAATAACGTGGATGCAGCAGACCATCGATTTGAGTGCGTAGATCTGGAGCACAAAAGTAGTTTATGACTTCGGAGTCCCCAATACAACCCTCAGCCAACAACAGGTAACATGAGAGAAGACCAATGAGTAGCCTCGAGTTGATAGCGTCATCGCTGATGCGTGAGCAGCTCCTTGCTATGCCATTTGGTAGTTTTCAACCCTCCACGATGGCGCTGCAGCTAGTGGACGACGACCTGGTTCTGGAAGCAGCGCTGTCGCTCTTAGAGCAACCCGATGACGAAGGTGGGGGATCAATACAGCAAACACCGTGCAAGAAGAAGCGCAATACGCGTGGCTACAATCCGAACCGAGCTCGAGAGTCTCAGTACAAGGAGCTACTGGATCTGCGCCAACAGGTTCCACAGCTAGAAAAGCGCCTCGAGACGCTGAAACGCGAGATTTCATCGCCGAAAAATGGATCAGACATGATGGAACTGTGGAAGAAACTTGCACTGCACGAGCGCAAGTCAAGAGAGAGCGCTGAAGAAGAGAACAAACGTCTGCGTGAGTTAGTGCGCGAAAACAATGAGGTGACGAATCGAAATGTCCAACAATTGCTGCAAGCCAGACAGGAGCATCTCGAGGGCTCAACCGGGCACAGGCCCGAGCCTTGGCCTTGGCCATACCGAAGAATGTACGCCGTCCCGATAAACCCTTGCGATGGCAGCGTGTTCCGAGAAATGGCTGAGAGCATCGATGCAGTGCATCGCCATGTGCTTCGAGTGTACAACCCCGCTTTAAACTACACAACTCCATTCTCCACAAGAGCGGAGGTTCATTGCCGAGCAATTGCGGATAAAATCCTGCCGTACGACGTTGATTCGGTCGGTGACGCGGCCTGGCAGTTCTTCGCGCATTCATTCCGACGACCAACGACCAGATTTTACTACCACGCGGACTCACACGAGGTGCGAATACCACTATTTCCTAGTTGTACTATGAGTATTAAAACGCCGCTTGCACGTTTATAGGCTTCGGGACTCGTAAGTGATGACACGGTCGTTGAAGTCTTCGGCGAAGAGCATCGTTTCGGGGAGGTTCTACTGGATATTAAAGTGAAGCAGATCGTTCGACGCTACGTCGCTGCTGGGCGTGTTGTAATTGCCTGGCGCGCTTTTCTCAGCCCGAAGAAGTTCAAGACGGAGTCTTTAAGTGGCGTTGTTTACGACGAGAAAGGAGCGTTGGTGATCGAGCCCTTGACGTCGAGAAACCAGAGCGGAGTTAACGATCCCGCATCGGTTGTTCACACTTGGCAAACCGTCACCCCAGAGCTTTCTAAGGATGCTCTGTGTTCTCAGAGTGAACTCGTGCAAGAGCTCACTGGGTTTGTACTCAACAGTTGCAGACCTGGTCGAGCTGTCAACAGCATGGAGAGGACTCTGCGTGCCCAATCCACGCTGTCGGAGCATTGAAGCCAACAAGCGGGAAAAAATGAAAATGGTTTTGACAATTGACATGGCAAACTTGCGACCTGCTTGCAAAACTTAGCGAGGATGACACACTTCAACCACAAGCAAGTTTTAGCACATTTCGGTCTTTTTATGCAAATTTCTTTCCCTTGAAGACAAGCATCAGTTTTCGATCCACTCCACGTATTCCACTCCAAGACCATGACGCTGCTCTTCGCTGAGGGATCCAAGACCACTGAACTATCGGACGAACGACTGCGCGAGATCGTGCGCGAGACACTGCAGAAGCTCGAGACGCAGCGCGGCACCAAGTTTGAGAAGGCAGTGATCGTTCCCCCGGACTTCACGCGCTTCCACTCGTACGTGTCAACCACTGCAACCAAGAGAGGCACTGCATATTGAATTATGACTGTACTGCAAATGATACAGGAAGTCCGGTGTGCTATCACAATATGCGTACGAGTATTTGCAAGACAAAGTGACGGACGTGCTGCCTGCTCTGGGAACACATGACGCCATGACCGACGAGGAGATCAGCAAGGTAAGATAGAAGCTGAAGGTATATTCGCTTGATTGACGTCTAATTAATTGGCGTTGGCTAGATGTTTGGCGATATTCCGAAAAATCTCTTCCGTGTCCACGACTGGCGGTGCGTTGATGCAGTTCGAAAACACTGGAATATGTTTTGAGACTGAATCAGCATTGCGTTTATTACAGAAACGACGTGGTAACCATCGGTCAGGTGCCCGCGGAGCTCATTCAGAAGGCCAGCGATGGCAAAGTGAACGAGCCGTGGCCAGCTCAAATCAACAGACTGGTACGTACCTAGTATGCAGTCTTGAAGACGAATTTTTTTTACTGACTACTGTTGTTTTAGCTATGGGAAGGTGGCCATGATCTGGTGCTCTCCATCGGTCAAGTTGTTCCGCACGAGGTCATGGGAATGGCCAATTTCAACAAGAACATTTTCGTTGGCACTGGCGGAAGCGAAGGCATCAACTTCTCGCATTTCATTGGCGCTGTGTACGGCATGGAACGGATGATGGGGCGTGCCGACAACCCGCTGCGTCGTATCCTGAATTACGCGTCCACCAACTTCCTTCAAAAGCTGCCTCTCATCTACATTCAAACAGTCATCGGACGCGGGTACAGGAAAAAAAAAGTTGTTAACTTGTGTGCGTGAACTCACTACTGACTTAAAACTGCGTTTTAAACTGCAGAGAAAGCGGCAACCTCGTGACGCGCGGAGTGTTTATCGGAGACGACGAGGAATGCTTCATGAAGGCTGCTGAGTTGTCACTGGAAGTCAATTTTGAGCTTCTGGCTGCCCCAATTGACAAGGTGGTGGTGTATCTGGACCCGGAGGAGTTCAAGTCCACCTGGCTTGGTAACAAATCCATCTACCGCACACGGATGGCAATTGCGGACGACGGTGAGCTTATTGTGCTTGCCCCCGGTGTGGCTCGCTTCGGCGAGGACAAGCGTATCGACGAGCTAATCCGGAAATATGGCTATCGTACGACACCGGTACGTCATAAACCCGGATAGTTTTGTGTTTATCCTGCATTGAAGCTGACTTATGTTGCTGATTCATGCTTAACAGGAAGTGCTTGCCCACCTTAACGCCAACCGTGACCTGATGAAGAACCTGAGTGCAGCAGCTCACTTGATCCACGGTTCATCTGAGGGCCGATTCCGCATCACGTACTGCCCTGGACATCTAACGAAGGAGGAAGTTGAAGGTGTGGGCTTTGGCTATGGAAATCTGCAGGAAATGAGCGCAAAGTATCCTGTGGACAAACTTCAGGATGGGTGGAATGTCGACGCAGATGGCGAGAGATTCTTCTACATCTCCAACCCTGCGCTAGGTCTCTGGGCTTATCGTGGCCGGTTCGAGGGCACTCCAACTGATGCCACTTCAACCTCTGCTAGTGCCACATCGACGCACCTTTCGGCTGCTGCGGACACGACTGAAGCCTGTCTTGATGCTGGTGTGGGCGGTGGTCCCTTCAAGCACTCATAAGGAGGCTGTTCCACGCTCAACCTGGTAGTCTACAGTGATTAAATCATAGAGCAACAGCCTTGAGCAATAGGACGATGACTGCATTGTGATTTCCTTCCTCTCCCCTTGTTTGTTTCTTGTTTTTTTGTAGTTTTGGTGACACTTTGACTCGGGGCTTTTTTTTTTATCTAAAGACCGCGAGAACACTCTTATCCTGTGTCTACTTGTCCTCCTGCGTCTGGTTGTAGCCCTTGTACTGTCGCCAGCAATCCTCCAGCGCAGCCTGCTCCTTCCGCGTCTCGTCGATCCGGTGCCAGTTCTTCTTAAGCGCCTTCTTGTACGCCGAGTACGTCTCACCGCAGTGGGTCTCCACCTCGCGCAGTCTGGACACGAAAATAAGTACGAAATTAATACCAGCTCCCTTTTATATTGACGTTTGTATGTTCCAACTGCTACGCACGTCTTGAGCACGGCAGCAGTGACCTTCTCGCCCTGCACGAGGCAGGCGCGCGGGTTGGCGTCACGCTGCTTGCAGCGCATGAACTCCAGGTTGGCGTCCGCGCATTCGTGCGCCAGAATCCGCGCGGCGCACGTGAGGCTCGTGTTGTCCGTTTCCGGCAGCTTGACGGTCTTGCGTTCCTCGGCCATGGTTACTGTGATGTCGTAACTTGAGCTTGGTACGCCTTCCCTTCCAGAGTCTCACCACCAAAACTCAAAAACGAGCGGCTACCCTGGTCTGTGTTCAAAACATAACTTTATGTTTCATACATAGTGATGAGGAAGAAATGTAGCCATCTTTGTCTGAAGACGAGAAGATTGATACAAATGCTGCGATATAGTACGAGTATATGCCAGACTTCTATGGATGGAGACCGCTAGAATTACTACACTAGGAGTAGATCATAGATCTGCATATTGGCACGCTCAGTGCTGCTGCTCGAAATCCCACTGCTGACGTACGCTCGTGTTGCCTTCCTCGTTCAGCCGCTCCTCAGCCTCTAGCACCTCCTCCAGCTCCACGCGCTTCATGTGCGGTTGGTCGCGTTCCTTGTCGCTGTCCTGTAGATATAAATGCAAATAATAATTCATCTCTTCAGCAATTAAATAGCAAAGCCACCAGTTTGACAGATTAACCAACATCCGTACCAGTTCACCGAGGAGAACGATGTTGTCACCGCTGCGCAATCAGCAAATAGCACCGAAGACATGAACATTAGGTCTTCAGTCTCCTATCACCTCCAAGTCAAAAGATGATGTAGCATTGTGATGCAGCGTGATCAAATGAGATCCTGCCGTACCGAATAATGTTGAGACCCAGTTCAATATCGCAGAACAGTCCTCCAGCCACGTGACGCTCAAATGTGTCTTCTAGAATGATATTCGCTGCAGCAGTTCAAAAAGCCAGCACAATGCCAATAGCAGTGAGCCAACAGCGCAACAGACACGGGATTGTTCCAGATATAACGAAATCCGCATAACAATTAACGCACAATATTGGTCAAAGCTTCGCAGGTACCCGACAAGGTGGCGGCCGTCCCGCAAGACCATCAACACTTGCTCTGTTCAACGTAAAAGGAGTACCACGTCACCAAGTCAGTTTTCCAGGCATCTCGAGGCTATATCGACGTAGAGCGCCTCATAAAAACACCAGCGAGACCGCGAGACACAGGTCTTCCAAGAACGCACTGTCTAGTTGCTGGATAAGGCTGCTGTTGCCCGGGAAGATGCCGCTCATGTTGCCCTCGCTGCTGTAGCTTTAGTTGTGCTATTCCGATTCAGAATTGAATTGTTCGTCGTAGTATTACATTATTGGCTGAAACGTTTTTAGCATCCACATTTCAGCCAGTAAAATGTAGTTTTGGATCTGCGGTGATCCTTCCTTTTGTTTGGCAGGCAGATAATTGCACGACACCCACTTGCATCGATCATGTTTGCGTCGCGTGTGCTTCGGATGGCGGTGACCAAGACCTCGACGGGTCTCGTGGGTCTCAAGGTGAACCCGAACGCCCGTCAGGACCTCATCAAAATCTACCGCCGGACGCTCGAGGAGGTCAAGGTGCGTACCAGTGAATTGAACACTTTAAAGAGCTGCTGGAAAATTAGAGGCTGACTCTATCGCTGTTTTCTAAAGGTGCTGCCGCCTGAGGCCAAGAACTACCGCAACGCCGTGGAGCAGATCACCAACTTCCGTCTGAGTGTCGTGGAGGAAAACAAGGATGTAAGAGACAAGAGCAGAGAGCAAAAATATTCTGGTGGTGCAGTAGCTAATAAGTTGACACTTGTGTACTACAGGAGGACGTCATTGAGCGCAAGATCAACTGCGGACAGTTGGAAGAGCTGATCGAGCAGGCCGAGGACGAGCTCACTGTCATCCCCGTTTACCTTGAGCACAAGCTGTGGGAGAGCCCCGTTGAGGCCGACAAGTAAGCGGCGCTGCATCGTGACGGATGAGTGGAGAGATGAGCAACGAGTTAAATACACAGCATTCTACACAACATCCAGCCAAGGCGAGCGTTGATGCAAAAGAGTCTATGTATTTGTTTATCGGTGCACAGAGTTTGGCCCAGGCTAGTTGCGGATCTTGCGACTGCGAGACAGGTTCGACTTGATACCCGTGGATTCGCCTCCGTACTTGCCAGCCTCGCCCACACGCACGTCGCGGACCTGGCCCTTTCTTCTGATAACAGCCTTGCGGTACTGCATACGCTTCTTGACACGCGGGTTGCGGTTCAGCTTGCTCTTGTGCGCCTTGAGACCCTTGTTCTTCATTATCTGGTACGAAGCGCCACGCTTGGCGCCCTCCTCCACGTCGCTGTCTTCGTCGCTGGACGCCAAAGCGGCATTCTCGTGCGTGTAGAAGTCTTTCTTGGCCTTCTTGAGCTCTGCCTGCTGGCGCGCGGTTTGTTCGTAGAACCGCTCGGCCTCGGCCATCTCTTCGGCCGATACTTCGGTCGATTTCTTCTGCTTCTTATTGGCAGAAGTTTGTTGGCTTATCGCATTGCGCTTCCGTTCCGACTTGGCGAAGAACTTGTCGAGCCCGTCGTCGGTCTTGGGTTCTCGCTCGGGTGGCAGCTCCTTCGTGAGCAGATCCTGCAACTGGCTGTTCAATACTTCGTCTAGAGACTGGAGTTTGTTCAGCTGCTTCTTTAACAGCAGCAAATGCATCAGCACAGGGTGGTCCGACACACTTTTTCCTTCTGATCGTAGCAGCAAGTAGAACGAGATGTTGGCCGAGTAGTTTAGAAGCAGGTTCTGGCGAGTCATCAAGTAGCGCAGTCCCATCTGCAGCTGACGAGATTTTCGACGTACGGGACGCAGTTTAAGCACAGCTGGAGTTACGATCTCTTCCAGCTCCTTCGTAGTTGATTCGAGTTCGGACATTAGTCCCAATAGCTCCGGTGCCGACTGGTTCACAATCTGCAGCTTGTCCTTCTTGGACATCTTGGAGAAGTCCTTGTGCACTTGCTCTACAGTCTCTGCCCCTCCAGCACCATTGTCAGCAAGTGTGGCAATATCAGCCAATTGGTCTTCAACCAGCTCTTCGTCATCCACCGGCGCTGCCTCGTTCTCCTGTTCCTCTTCATCGTCCTCATCTCCGTCAGCTTCAGGCGCGTCGATACCAAAGTCCTCGTCGTCCATCATCTCTGCCTGTTTGCGTTGCAATTCGAGAGCGGCTTCTTCTTCATCTTTGGCGATCTCCTCGTCCGATTCGAGCTCGTACTCGGCTGTATCTGCTGAGTAGAAGGTTTTGCGGCTCTTGCCCCACTTGCCTTCCATCTGCATCGCCTTCTTGCGCTCAGCATCGGCGTCGTACATGTTATCGTCATCATCCATGGCCACATCTTCCTCGTCTCCGTCGTCACTCTCGTCTCCGCCGAGTTCCAGCACCTCCTGACCCGCCAGCTCGTCATCCTCTGACTCAACCTGCTCGCTGTCGCTGTCGTTATCAGATGGATCGTCGTAGAACGTCAGCTCTGCGTCCTCCTGCGCCTGCTGTGCCTCCTTCAGTTGCCTCTTACGCAGGCGAATTTCTCCGCCGCCGTCGCCCGTGCGGGATCTGTGCCTCGCCTTGCGTCCCATTGCTCGTCACTAACTGGTGGTTGACTGGCTGGTGCTGGTAGATTTCATCGTTTATGCAACCTCAATTTTATGTTTACCACACAATCGGTTAAGTACGCATTTGGGATACGAACTTAGCACGTGTGGTCTCAGTTCTCGATTGACCAGTTATGCGGACAGCAGCAATACGAGCGGCTAGAGCAGCTTCCTGCGGCCAGCGCAGCGGCGCGGCCTTGGCGACAAAAGGCCTGGGCGCTTCGTCTATCCGTTCACAGCGCGTTGTGGCGCAGGTGCCAGTTAGAGCGCTTGCCTCCGTCGCTAACGCAGCACAGAAGGAAGCCACTCACAAGTTTGCTTGGGCCAAGACGGATATCGCGCCGCCATCTCCGGGCCGTGGTATCATCGGCCGCTCCTCGAATGTAGATGTGACCAAGAGTGAGAATCCTATTGAGCGGTGGCACTGGTTGTGGAAGATGCTGGGCTTCCTGAACGAGGACGACCGACTGTTCCGTCACTCGACTGCCGTGTTCCAGAGCTGCATGAACCACACTGCCAGGCCAGAATACTACCGTGCACTTGGACTCTCGCGCTCTTTCCGTGCGCAACAGGCATTGCTCATGGTGCACGTGTGGCTGGTGCACCGCCGCTTGGCGCTGGAGGATGAGCAGGGCAAGATCATGCAGGAGCTCATGTTCGACCGCCTCTGGGAGGAAACCGTCGTGCGTATCCGCTACCAGAACATCTCGGAGCTGACGGTGAACAAGCACTTGGCGCAGGTGCAGCAGGTCTGCTTCAACGCCTGCATCGCCTATGACCAGGGCTTGAAGAATGGCCCCAACGCCCTCCAGACAGCTGTGGCTCAGCATTTGCTCGAGAATGAGACGCCTGAGGGCCTGCGTATCGCCAGCATCATGGCCGAATACATGAAGCGCGAACTTAAGAAGCTGGAAAAGGTCGATGCCAAGTATATCATGGAGGGAACCATTCCATGGAGTCCATTGCCGGAGACCCATGTGAAGACCGTCCAGGAGGAGGAGGAGGACGACGACGTGGTGCTTATCGGACAGCGCTTCGGCAACTGGCGCTCCGCGCTGGACAACCGCGGTAAGCTCTACTACTGGAACATGACGACAAGATACTCTGTCTGGGACCAACCGACGGGCGACAAGCTCCACGAGGGCGAAGAGCAGAAGTAAATCACACAGATCTGTCAGTCCGATCGACCTCTTAGGTCCATCGATAGAGAATTCCATACAACAGGCTTCTAACTGTTCTGCTGCGTTGATTATAACTTCCTTCGCAGCAAATCAATACACGAAACAAAAACTGCTTCCTCTTCTCTCGGTATCCAATACAGTTCCCAAGTGTTGAGCGCAGTTTCGTGCTGAGTTCCTGGTGGTAGTAATTGGCGGTTCTAGTTGGCGGCTGCAGCCTTGTTGGCCTCCTCCCTGGCCTTTTCCTCCGCAGCAACGCGATCGCGGCGCTCCTGCATTTTCTGCCTGACGTAAGCATCCGATGCCTTGGCGTGTTTGAAATTTTCTGAGCGCATACGGATCTTCTCGTTCTTAAAGCAATGGTCCAGCGCTGTCTTCACTTCGCCGCAGGCACCGAAGAACTTGGCGTACGGGTTGTTCTCGTGACACTCGAGCAGCGCCTTAATCTCCTGCTCAGTCAATCATTAGACCGAGGGACCACAAATGCAATACAGCTACCTTGCGATGGCGTATTGCAGTACGTACAGCCTGGCAGTCAGGATGCGGACGATCGAGCGGCGCGTGCATGATGATCGATTTACTGCGCAAAAAAATAAAGCTCTATTCGTAAATTCTTAAGCGAATTAATGGGTACCCATTTTTCTTAATAATGAGTACTCTAAAACAAAAAGGACACGGATGCTATTCAACCCGAAAATTTTGAATGGTTTTTTTCGGGCTGAAAGCCATCCAACGGCAATTTGTGATACCAGTATCTAACCGACTATACCGATATCAAAAGGTATGCATTATCAAATAGCGATATGCATTATCGTGAGCAAGACTTTCATATTGCTGGTGGCTGCAAGCAAAGCGATCACCGTTTACAACCAAGGTCGCGATGGAAGGCGCTAGCTTCACCCCCCAGCAGAAGGCCGAGCTCGTCAATCGAGTACGTCTCTGTAGCCGTTTTTTATGACAGTTTACGTCTGCGTCATTGTGCACCGTGGATCGCTCTGCCATCATGCGCAGTGAGTGAGATCTTTAACAACTGACGGTCTCAATTGCTGTGTGCGGCTTGCTTGAAGGTCCGCTCGGAAGTCCAACAGCAGGCGCTGCAGGAGTTGACACAGAACCTACAAGAGAAGTGCTTCGACAAGTGCATCACGCGTCCCAATGGCAAGCTTGATGGCAAGCAGCAAAACTGTCTTGCTTTGTGCATCAACAGATACATCGATACCATGAAGGTGGTCTCGGAAGTCATGGTGCAGCGCGGTCCCCAGGTGCGTCAGCCGATCGAGCAATATGCTGGCAAGATGGATTCATTTTAACACTATGTTTGGTGTGCGTAATTTGCAGGGTTAAGTGCTCGGATCGCTAGGTGTTGTTGGCCTCGAGTCGACAGCAGGGAACATCTAACCAAAGAGGCTGCAGTGGTAACGGATCGTGAGCTTGTAGTTTCTTTAGAGGAATGCTGCACTTCAATACACAACGCGTATGCCTCTGAGATCCAGTGTCTGTTTGGTTCTGGCAATGATTGTCATAGCTAGAATCTATCATCGGTGATGATTCAGTACTTGCACGCATACTTTAGCGGATACTGCAGTACGAGGTGTGAGGCAAAAAAGAAAATGAGAGAACACCGGTATGACGGGGTTGAACTGCTTTGTTCTTGCTCGTTCGTTGACCAGAGTTAAATAGTAAGCCTACGACCGACCAAGACAAAAGACGAGGTCGAACCCGCAAGCAACCGACTCCATAAGCGACGCTACCGCAATTCCTGCCAGCGCTCAGAAAACACATCTGTTGATATGTCTAATGAACACCAGCTCCTGAACTGCCAGCTAGACGTTGAAGAGCGCATACTGCGCTTCGCAGCAGCAGCGTGCGTTCATGACGACTTGGTCTGCTTAGTTCTTGGCGTCCGCCTGGCGGGCCAGCTCGGTGATGGCCATGTCGCCCTCACCGTGGTGGCGGATGTAGCCAGCCAGAGCGAAGGTGTCCGACTCGCCCGTGAAGACGCCGTTGGCGTTCACGCGGCCGACGTTGATCTGCACCGAGGCGTGGTCCTTGGCCGCAAGGATGCGGTTGGTCCACGAGCTGTAGGCGGCGACAGACAATGACTAAATTAGCACCTGTAGCTCCGAGCGCATTGGAATCATTAATGCAAGACGCACCACTTGCGCGGGATGTAGATGTCGATCGACTGGCCGGCCTCGTTCTGCATGGTTACTTGTCTAGAGTCAGTTGAATTTCTCAATACAAAGCTCCGCCGAAAGTCGCTGTTGACAAGGGAGCTCAGCAAAACCAATGGCCCTGACTGTACGTTACCGGTCGTCTCTACAAACATCAAGTCAAATTTTTCCTCTACCTGTCCCTCTAGAATCTGATACGATATGGTGTTTTGCACACAACGATATCATTGCCACTCACAGCGACGGTGTCAATACTACGTAGTACAAAAGTCGAGTGAGTAGCTACGATGTCGGAGCAGATCACGGAGCAGCAAGTGGTGGCTACGTACAAGAGTCTGCGCGCCGAGGTGCGCCAGATGGCTGAGAAGATCTCCGAGCTGGAGGTGGAGACCACGGAGCACGACCGCGTGATCCAGACGCTCAACGAGCTGCCCAAGGACCGCAAGGCCTATCGCATGGTGGGCGGTGTGTTGGTGGAGCGTACAGTACAGGAGGTGCTGCCCGCTGTAACGGCCAACCGCGATGGTATTGCGCAGGTGCTGGCTCAGCTGAACGAGAACATCAAGCAGAAGGAGAAGGCCGCGGACGAGTGGCAGCGGAAGTACAACATCCAGGTGCAGCAGTAAGAAGGATGGCTGCACGATAGTCACGAGGGTTATAGATTCGTGACGACGTCAGACGTTAGTCCGTTGAAAGAACAAGAAGGGCTATTTATCCTATCGCAGCGGTACAGTTGTTGCACGTTGCATTGCTTTGATATTGGTATTATACAGAATGGTCGACTGGGTCAACTTCATAACTTAGGACTTGCCAGCCCCCTCCGTTAACGCATGCATGAGTCGTTTCTAAAAGAACATGGCAACAGGAACTAGATTAGCTGCAATGGTATGGACAAAGCCCACGATTCCTTGCCACGCTACCTGCAACGCCATGTTGATACTCTTGACCTGATCGTACTTGGCTGTCACGATCTTCAACTTCTCGTCGAAAGCGGTTTCCTGCTTCTCCAGCACACCCTTCAACGAGTAGATCGCCTGGTCCTAGACAACAATACCACATCGATCAACACCACTTTACCTCTTCACTTGTTGCACACAAGCTATACTTACCTTTTGCTTACACGCCGCTTCAAGTTCTTTAATTCTTGTCACGAGAGGATCATCCTCAGCGTCGTCTTTCCGCCTTCTTGCGTTCCGAGGCTCTCCGGTGTTCTTCCCTGTATCTCTGTCACTAGAAGATGCTACTTGTTGTGGTTGCACTAACTCGTCCTCTGACACGGCCAATAACCGCTCTAGCTCCGTCAATAATTCGTCATGCTGCGTCTTCTGCTCCTTCGCTACGAGAACCTTCTCTTCGCGATAAAATCTCTCCCATTGTCGCAGTCGCTGTTCACAGCTCATCTATCAGACACACCGCTTCAATTAGAGCCTGCCTGTTATCGCACCTGCTGCAGCTCGTCGTTCTGGTCCCGCAGCTCGCGCATCTGCTGCGTGTCGATTTGATTATCGTGCAGCATCCCTTCTAACTCGATCACACGCTGCACCTGCAGGTCCATCTCGCGCTGATGCTGTGCGAACTTTTCCTCCATGACTGTAAGCTCCTCCTGCAGCTCAACGTTGTGCTCGCTCAGTAGCTTGCGGTCGTGAGCGTACTTGGAGATACGCAGTTGCAGTTCGTGTTCCCATTTGCTCTGCTCCGTCTTAAACGCGTACAGCTGAGTACGTTGAGCCTCCATGCGGCGCTGTAGATTCGTGGCCAGCTCTCGCTCCACCTCCAGTTCGCGAGCGCCCCACCAGTCCCGCGCCTGCTGCGCCTCGTCCTGCGGTGCATCAGCCGCAGACGCAGACGTATCCGCCGAGCCTGGTTGCATCTCAGCAGGATGAAGTTTCCGTTGTGATAGGTCAACTATGGAATGAATGCCTCTCACAGGAATAACATATGCTGTTGTAATGAAAAGATTGCGTCTGATAGTGTGGTTCAATCATTTAAAGTAGTTGTTAAGTGAAAGTGGTATCACACGACGCGACTTCATATCGCAACTTCAAAGCTCGTGCTCCCCTCGTTTGTGGTTGCAAGTCACTCGCTCAAGTCCCTTAGCCTAGCCAGACCCCCAGAATGAACCGCTTCGTCGCCGCCCTCCGCCCTCTGTCCCGCGCTGTTGCTCGCCCGCAGTTCGTGTCTGCCCGCGCTGCGCCCGTGCGTTTCTTCAGCGCTCAGACGTTCCTGGACCGCAACGAGGTGAGCGACCGCGTGCTGAGCGTCGTCAAGAACTTCGAGAAGGTGGACGCGGACGCCGTCAAGGAGGGTGCCAAGTTCCAGGAGGACCTGGGTCTGGACTCGCTTGACGTGGTTGAGGTCGTCATGGCTATGGAGGAGGAATTCACCATCGAGATCCCGGACAACGAGTCGGAGAAGCTTCTCACCCCTGCTCAGGTCATTGACTACATTGCCGCCCACCCTATGGCCAAGTAAATGCTGTTTAGTGTATGCATGCTGCTGCGCGTGTCGTAGCGCTGTGTGGATCGGCTTCTCCTTTTTAGAGTGGACGCAGCAGTAATGACAGTCTTCCAAGAGCCGCCGCTTCAAGACGAGAAAGATACAGGGGCTAGATGCGTGGATGTCTGCGATGGGAGGCTGGCTTGGTGTTGCGTCGTGGTCGCTCGCGCACGATACACTTAGCCATCATTAACGAAACAAAAAGAAACCTACTTTGATAAACACTCCAGTGCATTGACCATGTTGAAGCAATGTGAGGCTGAGATGCTTCGAATGAGGTAGCGATGTTGGTTGCTCAATGTGCAACCTTCTGTACCAAACACTACTACGAACGTGGCTTCATGTGGCAACACATCGTGGTTGTAATGCGCTTCCAACCAGCGCTTTGCGATCGTCGCTTGATCATCTCACAATCCGTTTAACATTTTTACTCTTTGATGGCAAGCTTCATCAAACAGATAGCCCGTTCTCACTTGTATTGATATGTCTTGGTTTGCTAAATAAAATTGCTACTTCAAAGTACTAGGTCTGCCGTCTTAAGAAGCGCTGGTAACACTATGCCGTTGCATGCTGAGTGCAAAACTACGTAGTATGGCTACCTGCACCCGTACCTGCAGCTTACTTGCCTTCCCTCTTCTTCTCCGCCTGCAATCGCGACAAAATATCGTTGATGTGGTTCTTCACGACAGGTTGACCCGTTGCCGTACGCTGACTCAGTTTCACATGGCGTTTCTTGCGCTGCGTCACCTTCTTCTCCGCAGTCGCGATCCGTTTCTGTTTCTCCTCGCGAGTCCGTTGCTTCTCCATTTTTGTAATAGCTGCTTTCTTCTTAGCCTTAAAAAACGGATCAGGTTTCACCACGTGCTTCCTCTCTTCTCTTTCCTGCTTTCTATCGACGCGCGCCTCCACCTGCAACAATTCAACCGCATTAGTCAGCCCACCATCACTGGTCAATAAACACCAATCATCCCGCCATACCTCTTCTGCGTCCTCATCCACTTTGCCACTTTTTAACTCACTAAAAAAGCGGTCATAGAACGACGTCCCAGCACCAGCGTCTCCATCTCCTCCAGCCGCTTTCTCCTCGCGCTTCTTCTCCTTCTCGTACTGGCGCCGGCGCTGAGCCTTGTGAATGATAGCCTTCTTCCTACTTTTGGCATCGCTCTTAGACCGCTGCGCCTTGCCCTTGATGAAGCGCTCGATACTCAAGCCGCTGCCCCGCATCCTCAATATTCTCGTCACTATTTCTTCTGGCTTCCAACCAATACCGTAGCCATTCGATGATTGGCTGGATAAATGTATGTACGGTACACCGGTGTAGCTATCTAAAAATGGCAACTTCAACTTAGAACGAATGTGACCTGGACGGCGCGGCCGACTGGTCGGCCTCCTGCTGCTCTAGCTGGTACGCTGGCATCGTCGCAGTGGCCTGCTTGCACCAGCAACCGCAGCCAGTAGGGCATGCTGTCTCAACTTCAAACCACTCGCGGAGATGCGAGGCATGGCCACCATGACCACAGGTCATACAGAACATTGACTAAAAGAAATGTTACGTTAGATAAGTAACAAATATCATAGGACAAGTACACAAAGTTACGCACCTGACCACGGACAACGAGCTGACACACTGAGCAGCGCACTGCGAAGTCCCGACAGCTGGAGCACACTGGATCAATTGTTTTCTAGAAACAATTATCCAAATTGTTATGTTAGACAAGCAAGAAATATCTAGGACGGTATCCACAAAGTTACGCACTGCGTTGCATGAGCCACAGATCAGTCCCATCGAGATGCCACGCGGATCTTGAGCGCCATGAGACTTCGCCTTCAGCACCTCATTGCGCAAGTTCATTGCTCCATAGCGGTATAGTACGTCTGCATACGCCTCTTTGTAAATATCGTAGCGAGCTTCGTCTTCAAGAAGTGTCGAGAGCAAACATTTCTCATCATCTACAGACCGAAAACTCAACTGCAACAGCACTCGATCATTTGCGTCCACTTCCTCTTCTCTACTGACGGCGCCAAGAGAACCATACAGTGGAGAGGGACTTACTGGGTTGACCCTCGGGGACGCAGTCACAGTCATGGAAGGAGCTGGAGACTTGCCATTCACAGCTTGGATCGGAGGCAGGAAAGTATCCGCAGTGAGTCGAGGATGAGGAGGCTCCTTTCCAGAATGTCCACTCCATGTTTTGAACGGGTTCTCCAGCCGCTCAAAGTCCATTTTCCAGCCCGATGGCGGTATTTTTCCATCACTTCTGCTAGTTGAAGAATTACTCGCAATCGTCAGCGTGTGGTCTCGAATGGGGCTTGATTGTCGACTGGATGAGGCGCTGGTGGTCCCGTTGCTAGTCAATGGCCAGTCTTTCAACGCGCGTACGGCGGCATCTTTATCCATTGGCAGACCCTGCGAACGTGCTTCACTATGGCTACTGGATCGTCGAGTCCCCCGCATCACAGGAGGTGCGTCACTAGAGTCGATCACCAATTGCGAGAGAGTGTTTGATGACGAGCGTCTGGAGCGCATGCCACCATTGACACTTGTAGGAGCACCTGTCGTTATATAATCAACTTCCTCGATGCTTGATCGTCTGTCCTCACGCACGACTGGGAGCTGATCTTCCATTGTGATGGCCGAGGGTGTCACGGAGTCGCGAATCTCGTCCGGTTCCTTGCGTTCGGTAGGCTTTAAAGCACACACAATCGACGCCAGTGCTTGAACATCTCCAGCCTGTTCGTACATGTCAAGTACTTTGTGCACGAGACGCTTGCCGAGCGGATGTGCGCTCCAGGGATGCGACGTTCGCAGACATAGCGACGTTGATGAATGGCCGTTCTTCTTGTAAATAGGTAACTCAACTTCTGGAGCCATAGAAATCTCGAGTAGCGACCAAATCTGCTGCAAGTCACTGCGTCCTGCAAGCATTGCTGTTCGTGCATTTTGTGCACAAGTTGCGGCTAGTTCAGTGCTGGATTCCTCAATTGGAGTCTCGTCGTCGTCTTGAGTCTTGGCTGCATCGCTCTCGGTTAGTAACCCCTGGAGCACACGGGTCAGGTTACTCTTGGACGAAGCCCCACGCTTGCCGGGCATATCTTCTGCTGCTCGCAGCATCCAGGATATCATGGAGCGGTTCACAGCTCCCGCCTGACTCTTCTTCCGCTTCACAGCCATGCTGGCCTTGGGTGATACTGCAGATGGGGTAATACCACGAGGAACAAGGTCAGTCTGATACGTTAAGATTGATGACACACCGCATAGCTTGGACAGATCGAGGATCGTGACGCTGATACTGAGATCCAGATTCAGCGCTGGTGCTGGTTGTTCCACGCGTTTTAACCGCTCTGCCTGGTTAGCACGCACAGAAGATCGCGGAGAGAGCTGCAGACCAGCCGTCGCACTTGTCGGCATAGACAGAAGATGTTCTGGATTGTTGACTGGCAAGTGATACTCTGCACTCGAGAAGTACGTGTTCAAGTACTCGGGTCCAGCGTGAATAGGAGCTTCCATTTCATTCACTCCACTCAGCATATCATCATTCCCATTCGCACCACCACTGCCGGAAGAATAATACAAGGATGCATGACGATATCCATGCGAGTGATTGTCCACATCCTCTCCAAAACCCATAACGCCACCGTCCATCAATTCTTGTGACTGCTGCTGCTGTCCTGCCCAGTCGTTGGTGCCAACATCCATAGATCCCATGATATTAGCAGACGATAGAAGTTTCACAGGAGGCTTCTTGTTCTTCTTGGTCGCGAAGCGGGAGTCTCGTAAGTCTAGCAATTCCTCGTATGTGCGAGGCAATTTGTTAGGAGGTGCTTGTGGCTTGCTCTCTTTGCCAGCAGCGACCGCAGTAGGAACCGCTGAGCTGCGAGATTGACCGATAGCTACTCGAGAATCGAACACCAACAACATGTTAGGACCGCTGAAGGCTGCACCGGAAATTCGAGGACACGGCAGAGCTCTGGCGCCGTTGGAACTTGCAGCACGATCTTTCGTACTTGATTCATCTGAACGCGCATCATCCTTGTCTCCAGTTGCTGACACTGGACTTTCGTCCTCACTACTGGACTGGGATGGCGATTCTCCGCCTTTAATGAGCTCTTCTTCGAGCGCCAATAGAGCCTGCAATGAGCTATCGTTGCCCGCTAGTGTGTATTCGTCCGTGCTTAGTGGAACAGCCGACTTTGGCACCACGAGCGGGATAAAGTCCGTCTTCAAGGCTGAAAGGCTGTACTTGGAGTGTTGAGCATGCATCTCAGCGTACTCGGCACGCAATAAACGTCGAGCGTCTGATTGCTGACGGGCGCTAGTGTTGTTACCTTCAGACGGAGCAGCATCCGCTAGATACGACGCTGTGTCGTAGCCGCAAGCCTCAAGTTGCGGTACATCCACATGCCACATGCGTAACTCCTGATCTTTAGACCACGATACTAACTGGTAGACACTGGTCTGCGGTCGAACCCGCCACGCCATTCCCTTCACTAGATCGCTATGACCCACAAATGAGTGCACCAGCTCGGCAGTAACAGCAGCGCCAGCACTTGAACCCGAAACATCGACACCTCCGGTATCTCCGTTTCCTCCACTATCCCCCTCACCGTGTGAGAGAGCCCAGAGGCGAATTGTGTTGTCCATACGCTGAGAAATCGTCACCAGACCATCTCCAAACGGCGTGTACTGCGCTCTCCACACCGGCGCGCCAGTAGTTAGCATTCCCTGACACATTCTAGGCTGCGTTACATCCCAGAACTTGACTGTTTTGTCCTCTGAGCACGTCACCAACTCGTACATACGCTGTGGATGCCAATCTAAGCCGTAGATCTTCTGCATGTGCGCTGTGATCAGCGCCGCCGGAGCCACCGTCCTCTCTCCAGCTGCACGTAGATCCCAGACCCGAACTTCTCCATCATGAGCTGTAGCTAGCGACGTGGCGTCCGCTCGGTTCCACTCCACCTGAATCACACTTGTATTGAAGGCATTCAGCGTCTGTACCGGTCTCTGGGGCGACCTCATATCCCACAACAGTGTCTTGGCATCTGCCGAGCATGTTGCTAGCAAAGAAGGCTCCATGGGAGACCACGCCACGTCACTGACTGGTCGAGTATGAGCTCTTAGTGTAGCCACAAGCGGCTGCGTAGTTGTCTGCGATCCACTGCCGCCACTAGCTCCACCTCCGTTCCTGTGTCCGTGTTTATAGGAGCTAGAAGAGCCTTGGCCCACCCCGATCGAAGCTGAAGACCCGGAGCCCATTCCTACGTCTGCGATGTCCCAAATGAGCGTATTCCGGTTGCTGGATGAGGCTACATGGTTCTTAAACAGTGCGTGTGGGTTACATTTGACCACCGTCACCTCGAGCTTCGTCTGGTGATACAGCGTGGCAGGCGGAAGGAACGGTGTCTCTAGGTCTACGAGATGCAGTCCCTTGCGACCTGCCAGGACGGCCACGGAGCCCGTGGCGTCGACGCTGAGTGCACTGGCGTTCAGGTCTGGTCGCACATTGATATTCCCATGAATCGTAGAGCCCCCAGCGGTTGAGATGGAGCCACCCGAAGCCGGCGAAGCGCTAGACGCCTCGTCGGTTGTGTTGGCTACACCTGGAGATAACGAGTGCGGGTCATGGCCCGCATCCTGCGCACTGGCAGCGGCACGAGTGGCGTGGTAGCTGCGGTGCCTTCGCCGCATCTGGAGATGACCAAATTGCGATTTAGTCTAGAAAGAGTGCTCATAAGTACACAAAATAGAACGTAAATCACAAAAAAATGCACTTCAACTTCAACTGCATCTAGTTTCTTTAGCTCTATCAAGTTCCCTACTTCTGCAGAATGCTACGAATGCTAGTGCAGCGCTCAGCCAGCAGCTCTATGAGTCGCGTTTGCAGCGACTTGTAGGACTTCACCACGCTCGAATGTGCCTTCTGCGTAGCCTGCTCCAGTGGCGAAGACGAAGCATCAAACGTGCTGGGCGACGTGAACTGAAGCTCAGACACGTGCGTCTCCAATGCGGCCAGTGACTCCTGCATGTGCTTAAGAAGATTACGCAGTGCGGACGTTGCGGTAGACAGCTGCTCGCTCTTCTTGCTCCTCTTCTTGTTCAGCGCGCGCTGAGCGAGAGCCAACGCACCGAGCGACGAGAGACCAGAGTCCAGCAGCAAAGACGACAACGTGGACACAGCATACGGCGACAGAGCCACAGCACTGCTCGTACCAGAAGCAGCAAACACTAGTCCAGCACGAAGTTGCTCCACAATCTCAGTAAAGTCGTCCTGCAGATGCGATATCGCAGCAGATAAGTCCTTCTCCTCACCTTCGCTTTGGCCGTTGACTGCATTTACCACGTTCACTGACGTAGCAATAGCCTCCAAGCTCCATTTCCAGAGCTTCTCGTGAAGCTGAGGCTCCCGAGAACTCGATCCCGTGAGCTGCAGTTGAGTCGTGATGTCTTCGTATTCCTTTGTCATAGCAACCAGCGCCGTGTGGTCATCCCCAGCAAGACTTTTGAGTAGTTTTGGAACTAGCACGCGGAGCTTCAGCCACAGCAGGGACGAGTCAGTGTTTGCGGAGCGATCGCACTCTACAAGAGGAGCATCATCTTGAGCAAACCAGTCGCCGGTCGGGATCTGCTGCTGAGCAGTCCAGTCTACAATGACCTCTCGGTGCTGGTTGCGAGACAACTCGGCACCATCCGACACCAGCATGTTCTCCAGTCCCGTGATCTGTGCATCGAAATTCGACGACATCACCAACTCGTGAAGTTTTGTAGGTCCTTGAGCCAAAGAGCTTAGCAGCTCAAAACGCAGCGTCTCACCCTTGCTGATGGCCAGTGTGTGCGACTTCTTCATACGCTTGTGCAGGAACGACGACATGTCCACCACCTTCGAATAAACACCAAGTCGGTACGCTCGAGCGATGTAATCAGGCGTGTCATTCGCCGTACTGCGGTGCAGACCTTCAATTCGGTTTAGTAGCTTCTTCGCTTCTGGATATTGACACAAGTCGAGCATCTTATCCAGTACCAGGAACGACAGCGAGTCTAGCTGAACGTACTTGACATCCAGCTCTGCGTGACGACTCAGCATAGCCTCAGCTGCACCCAAGTAGCCGTACACACGCGACAACAGAAGCTTCATTTGGAAATTGTACGCGCTTTTCTCCAGTCCGTACTCCAGCAGTCCTGCAGCACGTTCCAGGTACTCCCGATGACCGCTTGAGCGCTGATAAATATCCAGCAAAAAGTGCGAAGCAAGCAGCAACAAGTCGTCCGTAAGCTGCACCTCACGCTGGCCGCCGGCACTGCCAATGTTGAGCCAGTTCGTAGCTTCGTACTCCTCTTCAAGCTCCTTCACTAAGTGGTCCAAATCGCCAACCGAGAACTTGTTCGAGTCTCCATAGTAGCCCAAGAAGCGCAAGGTCTTCAGTGCAAGCAGGCGCTTGCTCAAATTTCCTTGTCCGGCTTTGCGAGCCTCTTTGTCAACGTCGTCACCCGCCGGCTTGTTCTTCAGCAAACCTGCAGACTCTTCTGATAGTTTAATGAAGTGCTGGATCAAGTTCGTTTTCGCAGACGTCGACACTAACGTCGTCTTCTTCAGGTAGAGAGTGAAGTACTGTTTTAGATCAGTAAAGCAGCACGCCTTGGAGTAAAATCGATCCGCGTAGGCAACGATGGCCTCTTGCAGCTTTAACTCCACTTGCGATACAGCTGCTTCCTCAGTTTTTAAACGACGCAAAGTCTCGCTATTGACTTGGATACGAGCAAGAGCGGGGCCTCGAATGCGTTCATTGCCCGGACGAGCCCCCAGATCCTCCAAAAATTCGGTAATTTTTTGTCCAATTGCCAGCAACTCCTCTGCTTTACAGTCCGACTTTTCTTCGAATCGAGCAGCGATGTATTCCTTCAAAAACGTCCAATCATCGGCGTTGTATTCCTCAAGAAGCTTCCGGTTCACCGATGCACAGCGCGTCCAGTTCGCCACATTCTTCGCCAATGTAGCCTCCAGCGACAACCTGTCAATAGTCTGCATGGGTCCCAGTTCAATCTCCTCGTCGTATGCTCCTTCGCCTTCGGCAGCACGTCCCAGCTTCACCTTCGTCTTCTTCTTCTTCTTGCCGTCATCCACCTTAATAAACTCGTCGAAAGCTTCCAGTGCGCCCTGATGGTTGTCCTGTAGCTGCATAATCAATACCGTCAATTGCAGCGCCTCACCGTTGTCCGATTTAGACTCGCGCAGTGTCTTAAGCAGCATCTTCTCAGCCAGCGCTAGCATACGAGCTGGAGTACCGCCATGTTCCACCTGCAGCATCATACTGAGCGCTGCCCAGCACACGTACTTAATGTTGCCGAAGGCTTTGAACATCTTCAGCGCCGTCTGCTGTTGCTTAAGGAATGCACCGCGGCGTGCATAAGCCACGAATAGTGACTGGAAGAGCTCCTCGTTGGGTGGGTTGCTTACAGTGCAGGCGTGCTCGAAAGTAGGCAGCATTTCGTGATCACAACCGCCCAATTTGAAGACGAGGTTCATGGTGTTGAGCAGCGTCTCATCCGTGGGCCGTTTGAGCTGGATACGGCGACAAATGTCAAGCGCCTCCTCCACGCGGCCAGTGCGCTCCAGACAGTGCGCCTTGAGCACCTGGACGATGTCCAAATGTGCCACACGCCTGTGTGCGCATAGCTTTATGGCATTCTTGTACTGGCGGTTGTCAATAGCCTCGTAAATGGGCCGCACGAAGCGAGCCATGAGCCGCGCTTCGTCCGACATTATGCGGGTCCGATAATGGGCCCCCTTCACCTCCGCCAGTCGATTAGCGACGGTGATTCGCTGAAATTGTGTGAATACATATTACTGGTGGAAACTCGATATAGCACCGAGATTCTGACCAATCCACGTCGTTTGGAGCTGTTCACCTCACAATCGGTGCGTGAGCCTTGCAACAACAGTTACGCGAAATTGATACGGACAGAATGGCGAGCCGAGTGATGACTGCGATGAAGACGCTGCGCCGCGGCCAGGCGGAGGGTTTGCGGGCGACGCGGCGCATGTTCTCGGACGCGCCTGTGCCGGGTACGCGTGCTGAAAAGTTTGGCGTAAGTATCGCGTGCTGAAGAGATATTCGTTCGTCTGCAGATTGATACACAACGGATCATTGCTATATCGTTGACTTGTTGCCTTTATTTTGTGGTTTCATTTGCTATTTGTCAGCCTATCACATGGAGCGGACTTGCGCTCGCGGGCGTCGTGGGCAGTGGTGCTGTGTATTATTACTACTCGGAGAAGGATCGACTGCAAACTCAGTGTGCGTACCCGAGGCCGATCTGATTGCTGCTACGTCTTATTTATATTACCTACTTGTGTTGCCGTCCTTACAGCCACGTCAAAGGTGACGTCTGTGGGCAAACCATTGCTAGGCGGACCGTGGACGCTTGTGGACTGCGATACGAGGCGTGCAGTGACGGACGCGTCGTTCCGCGGCAAATACTCGCTGCTGTACTTCGGCTTCACGCATTGTCCTGACATCTGCCCCAATGAGTTGGTGCGCATCGGCGACGTGCTGGACAAGCTGGAGGCTGAGAATTGTCCGGAAGTCGTGCCGCTATTTGTGACAGTGGATCCCAAGCGTGATACAATCGCACAGATGCAGGCCTACAAGGCAGACTTCCACCCCAAGTTCAAGATGCTCACTGGCACGCGCGACCAGGTGGCTGACATCACTAAGGCCTATCGCGTCTACTTCTCCAAGGCCGATGAGAACGAAGATGACGACGACGACTATCTGGTGGACCACTCCATCGTCATGTACCTTGTCGGCCCCGACGGCGAGTTTCTTGACTTCTTCACGCAGGCTGCCCGCGTGGATGACATTGCTGCTAAGATTAAGACGTATTTTAAGGCGTAGGAGCTCAAGAAGCAGCTTAAGAGAAAACTAGTGTGGCAAGCACTTCAACTTTACTTTTTGAAAATATTTCCAGTTTGAAAATTAAAAAAACTCTAAAACTTATCAACATTTACTACAAATTTTCGGACAGGCGAAAACCACAGGCAGCAAAGAGCTCAAGCGGGACTCGAGTTGGCCATGGCGAAGCGACGCAACGAGAACGGCCAGATGCGCCGTGAGGAGTACGAGGCTGCAGACGACGACGTGAGCGCCGACTCGTTCGAGATCGGCTTCCAGCGCGCCAGTGACGAGTCCATTCGCAAGCGCAAAATCGTTAAGGCGCGCGTCGGCAGCCGTCCCCCGGTGGCCAAGCCCAAGGCGGCAGCTACTGAAGATGATGCGGCCAAAAGCAACCCGTTTGGAGGGTTCCAGGTCCGTTTTAATGCTACTGTAGTGTGGAATTCAGGGCGCAGTTAGTCATTAACTCGGCGATGTTTTTTTAAGGGACTCACTGCGGCCAAACCCGCTGCTTCGTCCAACCCGTTCGCGGGATTTTCGGGTCTTACAGGCGCAGCCAAGCCCGCTGCTGAGGTGACTACTGTAGCCAGCAGTGGCTCGAGTGCTGCGGCGTCTGGATCATACCAGCAGGCGATTGAGGGGCTCAACAAGGAGTTCCTAGCCTTCGTGAATAGTCAGGCGCAGAAGAACCCGAGCGCGAGCTGGGTGGGGGCAGTTCAGGTGTGTAGCGACTGACGTTGATTATTACAGAGAAAACGTAGACTGATGAATGGGATGTGTGGTGACTTCTACAGGATTATTTGAAGTATGCGAGCGAAATCGCTACGAAACACGCTTCCACCAAGCCCGTTGCCATCAACGAGACCAAGCTCGCTGCACCTGCTCCATTTTCGTTTGGTACGACTCCAGCTCCTGCTGCGCCACCGAGTTCGTCCTTCTCTTTTGCTGCCAAGAAGGCCGATGAACCGGCGAAACCTTCCGCTACCAGTGGCTTTTCGTTCGGTGCTGCGTCCAAGAAAAACGATGAGGCCGCGAAGACTTCCAGCGGTGGATTTTCATTCGGTGGCTCTGCTAAGAAAGACGACGAACCAACCAAGTCTCCAGCGAAAGCTGCTACTGGAGGGTTTTCTTTTAGTGGCGGCGGTAGCTCGCTGTTCTCTTCAAAGTCGTCGGACACAGAAGAGAAAACCACGCCTGCGTTCTCGTTCGGAGGTCTGCCCAGACCGGCGGCTTCTGCAACGTCCTCTACCCCCGCCACTGGTGGGTTTTCATTCGGCAACCTGACTGCTCCCAAGAGCGCAGCACCAGCCCCGACTGGTGGCTTCAGTTTCGGAGCTTCGGCACCTGCTGCGACTTCCGCATCGACTGCTGCTGCTGTTGAAGACGAGGAGAACATTGGACGTGAGGAGGCGACTGTCATTATCAAGGTCGGTGAAGAGGACTGTTTTCTATGAGATCACAGTGGATCGAGGCTAACTCTGTATGTTTTGATCACTATTTGCACAGGCTGATTCCCCCGATGATGACTGCACGTTTGAAGCTGACAAGGCCAAGATCTTTGAGTTCAAGAAGGACGAGAAGCGTTGGGCAGACAAGGGCGTGCACCCGCTTAAGGTACTCGTCAGCCAGGAGACCAAGAGCGCGCGGATCCTGGTCCGCAACGAAATTGGCAAGATCGTGCTGAATTCGGCGCTGTACAAGGGCATGGCCATCCGTCCGCACGAAGCGAAGGGCAAGAAGACAGGCGTGACACTCGCATTGCAGGTCGAAGGCGGCGAAATGACCCAGTTCCTGCTGAAGGTGAACGCCGCGAGAGTAGACGAGCTCATCAAGGCGCTCGAGACGGCTGCTGGCTCGTCCTAATGTGTCAAAGACGTTTAAACCACCTCGTATGGATGCGTTAATGCACTCACAGTTGTCATCCTGGCGATGTCCTCCTGATGTAGCCATCTATCATAAACCTCCGTAAACGTATATTTATGCACCATTTGTATTATGTATCAAAGGTTGTCAAATTTAGCACAACATTGATATTGCTGCGACCTTCGCGTCACCTTCCGTTGCCGAAGGGTGACCACCAGTCAACCGAGCAGCCGCAATAGACTCTGGTCACAATTGCTCTGTAGACATGGGCGCCAAGCAGCAGGATGGCGATGAGCCGTCGTCTCCACAGAAGGGCGACTTCCTCAAGCTCTTCTGGACGTTGGCGGAGAGCGAGCGCGACGTGCGTACGCAGGCGGCGGTGCAACTGCTCGCACACTTGAAGAGCAGTGCCAAGCAGGAGACCGAAGTGCAGTACACGCTCAAGCGGTTGGTACGCGGTCTGGCGTCGTCGCGTGATGCTGCTCGTCAGGGCTTTAGTACAGCGCTCAGTGGTCTGCTATCCACCTTTCCTAAGCAGCTATCATTGCAGAGCACGCACGAACTACTTCGTGATGCCATGGAAGTGCATTCGTCCATGAAGCCCATGGAGCAGCGCGAGCACATGTTCGGTCGTCTCTTCGGTCTGTTGGCACTGCACCGCTCCGGACGATTAAGTGCTGACCTCCCGCTTCTCGTAGCAGTAGTCAAAGAGCTGCTGGAGATGGCTACATTCAAGCGCTGGTTCCGCGAGACATGTTATGAGGCGGTATTGACACTTCTATCCGATGTACCTGCCGAGCAATTTGTGACTGAATTGGCTACACCGATCCACAGTGCTCTGCAGATTCAGCCGTCCAAGGGCAGTGACGAGGAAGGTGTGGAAGCCTGGAATGCCGACCAGGTGCTGCTGGCCGTTGGGGTGCAGCGTTATCTGCATGCCACGGGCATTGACCAAGACGAAGAACAGATGAAGCAGCTGCCAGAGAACTTCGCGGCCGCGAACGCTCTGCAGCGCCACAACGTGCACGTGCTGGCACGACCGCTACGTGGATCCTCAAGCTGCTACCCGCGCGTGCACTCGGCTTGGTTCGGTGTGTTCGGCCACATACTGAACCCGACGAAAGAAGATACTTCAGCAGCAATCGACGGTGAATTGTTCCAAGAGGCCTGGACTGTACTGGTAGAGAACTCTCTAGTCGGTGGCAGCAGCTCAGAGGACAATGCCCCAACTAGTCACGAACGACAAGGTCTGGCATTAAAGTTGTTCGAGCTAGTCGCTCCAAAGCTGCCAGCGCCTGTACTACGTGCCATCCTGACCCCACGATTCGTCAAGTGTCTGTACAACAACGGAGTGGCCAAGAGGAATTACTTGCACGAGGCTGCGCGTCACTGTCTCAAGTCTTTCGCCTCGTGTGCTCCAGCCGAGTTCTTCCACTTTTTCCGCAAGCAGTTCATGTCGCCTTTGTCCATTCTGGTCATGTCTACGTCTGCTGATAGCGATGGAGAGGAGGAGAAGCCCAAGAAGAAACAGAAACTGAGTGCTGGAGGCTTCGATGCGCTCATTGAGATTGAAGAGAAGAAGGAACGTGAAGAAGCGGTCACGCGACGTACAGATCGCGCTCGTGTGTGGGCTGTGGAGACCATGGTAGCTGCTCTAACTGAGCTGTTGAGCTCAAAGGGCGAAGTGGATGATGAGACCACGAAGCTGCAGGACAATGTGCTGCGTTTCCTGGTGTTCCACGCGTTCTTTACACCTTCTGATGAGGCCGAATCAGCTCCTAAGAAGAGCAAAAAGAGTAAGAAGAGCAAGAAATCCAAGTCTTCAGAGCCTGACGAGGTGGTTCAGGAGGCTTTGACTGCCACGCCTGCTCTATCAGAGAACGTGGCTAGTTACACCAAGACGCGACTGTTTTCGTTGCTGAGCTTGGGTCTTGCGGGGGCTGACGGTGCCCGTGCTAGCGCCAGCGTACTCAGTCGCATCTTTACGATCGCTCAGGGCTTACAGACTAACAACAGTGCTGTTGTTCTGCGTGAGCCTCTGAGTCATGAAGTTTCTACACAGTTTAGTGCACTGGCTGATCACATTGGCACTCTGCGTAGTAAGGAGCTGGACGAAGATACGAAGAAGACGCGTCGCCCTCTAAGCGAGGCGTTCCTGCTGCTGTTCATGAGCACGGGCCTTCAGCTCTTGGACGCTGAGCAACGTGATGATGCTGTCGTAGTGGCTGCTGATCTGGACAAGTGTTACGCTCAGCTTGTGGCGCGTGAAAATAAGAAGAGCAAGAAGAACAAGAAGGATGACACTGATGAGGAGTCCGTGGTGGTGCTGACCGATCTGCTGCTGAGTCTGCTGTCTCAAGACTCGAGTGCGCTGCGTGAGATCGTCACTCAAGTCTTCCGGTCGCTACTGCCGCTGCTTAACAGTGATTGCTTGACTACGATGGTCAACGTGTTCCAGCCGACGGATACTGACGCTGCTGAGGAAGAGGATGACGAGTTCGCGCCTATTACTGAGAATGACGAAGAGAACGAAGAGGAGGAAGAAGAAGTGGTGCTGTCTTCGGCCGACGCTGTGTCTGATGCGCTCCGCAACGACAAGAAGCTGGCGGCCTTGCATCAGGAAGACCTGGCGCTTGCTGCTATCGTCGGTCAAGTGAAGGTCCGCTCGCAGCGTAAGAAGGACCTCAAACGTGCTCGCTTGCAGACCATGCACTTCCAGTTGCGTGTTCTGGACCTGCTGCAAGTGTTCGTCTCTCAGCGTCCGGAGCAAACCGAGGTGGCTACAGCCAAGCACAACACCTTGGTGCTGTCGCTGGTGGCTCCGCTGTTCCGTGTGCTTGCTCGTGTGCAGAATGCGGACTTGGAGAAGCTGGTGCTTCGGGATCGTTTGCAAGCTGTGCTGCTTCACAAGGTGCTTCGAGCCAAGGACAAGATCCCGTCGGGTGAGGCTGCTCAAAGCGAGGCGCTGGACGCTCTACGTCAGATTGTAGAGCTCATCCGCACTGTTCCAATGGATAAGGACCACAGCGGTAAGGTCGCGTCTGCTGCGGTGGTGTACCTTGTCCGTGTGATCTGTAGAAGCGAGGCTTCTAATGAGGAGGCGCAGAAGATCATTCACAGTTCAGTACTGGACGCCTTCACCAAGAAGCACTCGCGCTTCCCGCGTACGTCGTTCGAGGAGCTACTGACCAAGTCTCCTGCTGTTGGCGCTCGCGTGCTCCTTGAGCCTCTGGCTGCTGTCGCTGCGGCTACAGAGAAAGAGGATGCGGCCGTGGATGAATTCTCCAAGTGCGAAGTGTTCCGACTGCTTACGGTGCTGCTTCGTGGCGCCACTAAGCTGCAGCAGAGTGGTGAGCTGCCCAAGACTCAGCGAAGTGCGTTCAAGTGTGTGCAGAAGTCGTTGAAGATGGCTCTTGTGCGGCAACTTTACCCTGAAAGCGTGCAGCAACTTAAGGCCAAGAGAATGAAGGTCGTGATGATGTTCGCGTTGCAACTTGTCAAGTTCTGGCGCACAGACGACAAGAAGGCGACGGATGCCGACATCCGTGCTGTGGTTGAGGCAGTGCAGGCGGTGGACTCCAAGTCGCCAGTTGTGAAGGGCATGGTGAAGCAGGTATCTGAAGCTGCAGGCATTCCGTACGCGGCAGCCAACGGCGCCAAGAAAGAGGACGAAGACGAGCTGATGCCTGAAGCAGAGGAGGTCGAGCCGAAAAAGACGAAAAAGACCAAAACCAAGAGCCCTAAGGACAAACAGAAGAAGAAGCGCAAGCGATCCATCGCCGAGGAGTAAGAAAAAGTCGTGAGTCGCTTACCACTTGGGGGCAAAAGCAGGAACAGGCGATGCATTCCTCATAAACCCCCACCTATTATAGATACTAGAGCTTTTTGTGTGACTCCACGTCCTCGTATCTGCATCGCATCAACACAACAGCCACTTCCATCTCTGTAGACTTGCATCTTCTCTCCTTGTTGCTTCGACGCGTTAAAACATGCTGACAAGCATGAGCCGATGACAAGCTCCTATACTAAAAAAAACTGTTACACCGCATTTCGGTCGGGTAGCTGGTCAGCTTGGGTCGGCCACTGGCGGGTATCTTAAGTGCTGTCCTGTTGTCTATAGCGTTGCTTTCTAGCCGCGGAACTTGCCCCACACGTGCAGCAGCACCACGAAACCCACGAACATGAGGCAGCTCACCAGCACCGTCGTGGGGCCAATCTTGAGGCCAGGAGAGTCGTCCGTGTAGAAGCGCAGGATGCCTGCCGAGCTGCCACCCATACCGCGACCAGTGTTCTGTCCCGAGCGAGCCGCAGCCACCGGGCGTCGGTTGCGAAGGCCGCTGGCAGCCGCACCTTCACCCGAGGCGGTCGGGGCGGGCTTCTTGCCTGCCAAAGCTCCGTTTGCTCCCGCAGCCTGAGAGAGAAGACGCACAGGAGCGTGTTACATGTTAAGAACGAGCTGTATGGGAGCGGGAGGAATTCAGACGGACGCACCATTGTGATGTCTTGTGTAGTGCTTACTGTAGTTGTCGGTACTGGAGACTCGCTCTGTTTGATTGTGTGGGCGGTTCGATCCAAAGCCGGGGGAGTGCTTGCCACGTATCAAAACGGGTACCGTATACTCTGATGCTAAGTACGATACGATCTGATGAAAATCTGCGACGTGTGAGAATGGCTCCAACGACAACGACTATAGATCCCAGTAAGTTATGTTCGGGTCGCGTTGCAGCTCGTTCGTTGGCTGGATCGGCTTCACTACCGGAGGGGTTTGCTGCTGCTTCTTTAAGCGAACTTTCGTGTATTTCTTCTTCTGGTAGCGCTCGTACAGCGTGCGCGGCGCGAGGGTGCTCATGAGCCCGACACAGGCCAGAAACAACGATATTGCAGCGAAGAGAAGAAATTTCGAGCGTCGAGGGTTATTTGCTTCCTGAAGTTCTGGCGTGGGAGTTGGTGCAGCTGCATCCACGGAACCGCTCGCACTACCGTCACTTTTTATCCCGTACTTGCTGTTGAAGACGTCGTCTGCAAGTACACAGAGCAGTGTGTCCTGCACGTAGCGATACAGCGCATTGCTGTCGGAGCATGTGAGACTTGTGGTTGCTGAGACGTTGAATGTCTGAAGGCTCGCGAACTGTGTAGCATCCGTCTGCCTAACTTCAAACTCGGCTAGTTTCGCTGTGGATGTGATGGACAGCACCTTCAACGAGTTTGGGAAGACAACTCCATTAATGGAGGTGATCGGATTGTTGGCGAGATTGAGTGTCGTGACCGAGTCTGGGAACGAGAAGTTGTGCAGGCTTATCAGTTTGCCATTGGATGCGATACTGTAAACCATAACGAAGGTTTTTTAGTCAAATTTGCCCAGATACAAGTAGAAATTGAGCTTACAGCTTCTTAAGACTACTGGGGAATGTGAAGTTTTGAAATGAAGTAAACGCATTCTTGGATAGATCGCTGCATAATTACCACGAAGTTGTGAGTAACTTAAGCATTTTATCGCGTGACTGAGATCGTGGATGCAAATTTGGACGTACAGCGTCTGAATTGTCGATGGGATGGAAACATTTTCTAGCCGCGATATGTTGTTGCTCTTTAGGTTGCTGCAGTGGACGAGTAAAGTCGAATTAGAACACAAGCATACCATTATCCAGCAAGCGGAGCCGAGAAAGCCACGTACAGCTGAGTGATAGATGGTAGACTCTTCACCATGACGATCTGCTTGCTGCTCAAGTCTAGCTGCGCCGCTCCATCACTGGCAGTAACCACTCTCACAACTTTCGTGCTGCAATCTGCATACTCGATTTGAGCAGCAGCGAAAGTAGTAGATGCTGTGTACTTCGACACCGTCGCAGCGGTGACAGTGCACGTGGTCGCGGTTTCCACGTTATCAGTAACCACAGCAGCCACCCACGCAGCGATAGCAGCAACTCGTATCGATCTCCTCATTCTTGCCGACAGAAACCAAATTTAAAGTTGCATATGTTGAAGTTGTCAAATACCTGTTAAATATGGTACGCTGTGTGACGTACACATATTGAACCCGGGAAAAATAGTAGTCATCCCAATCAACGGCAGACATGAGCTTGGCGGCGGCGCTGACGCAGGCGCTGGACGCGTCGTTCCCGCCCGTGGCCTTCACCATGGCCTACGGCTCGGGCGTGTTCCAGCAGAAGAATCACGACGCCAGCTCCTCCATGGTGGATCTCGTCTTCGCCGTGGACGACCCGGTTGCTTGGCACGAACAGAATATCGAGCGCAATCCACAGCACTACTCGATGCTCAAGTATCTGGGCGCTGCCAACGTCGCCGCCTTCCAGGAAAAATTCGGTGCCGGTGTGTACTATAATACACTGGTTCCTCTCACTGGCAAACTGCTCGGGACGCGACTCATTAAGTATGGAATCGTGAGCACCCAGTCGCTGTGCGAGGACTTGACGACATGGAAAACGCTCTATCTCAGTGGCAGAATGCACAAACCTGTTAGTATCTTAGCTGCGAGCGGCGACATCCAGGTGGCAAGCTCGATGAATTTGTCACACGCGCTCAACTACGCGCTGCTTTGCTTGCCTGAGAAGTTCTCGGAGCACGATCTGTACATGGTAAGCGAATCTAATTTGCTTCACAGTTGATTCTTACGATAGCCTAACCGTGTCATCATGTAAGTAGAAGATTGCAGGGATTTCATACCTCGGCGATTTCCGCATGACTTTTGGTGAGAACCCGAAGAAAGTGCGCAACATTGTGGACGGCAACCTCAAGTCGTTCCGGGAGCTCTACCAGCATAAAATTCACGTGAGAAAGATATTTTTGTCCAGACACTTGACTATTGCTAATTGCTCACTTGATGCTGCTCCTTCAGAACTCTCCTTTCATGTCTCGATCAAACTCCGACAGTGATATGCTACTCGCCAACAGCAGCGATCATAAAGTGAGGCAGACCATTATGGAAGCGCTTCCCTCCAACGTGCTTAAGCGTCTTGCGGCCAAATCCCACGCGGGTAGCACGGTCGACCACCAGACCGTCTCTAAGAAGCAACTACAGCGCGTGATCGCGTCGATTGTGTTCCGATCAAGTCGCTCGCAAAGTATCAAGGGCATCGCTACGGCTGGAGGTGTGAAATCTATCGTCTATGTCGCTCAGAAGCTCAAACGCACTTACTTCAAGTGACGTCCGAAATAACGTGATAGTGGAAAAGCGTATTCAAAAGTTATCTATCTATTGCATTAGTCTGCTTAGACGGTCAATACCTTCTTCAAGTACTCCACACGGGTCTTGGTTTCCTGTGCGAACTCCTTGTCCTCATCTTCTAGTGCGTCAATCTGTTTAATACGCTCGTTGCACTTGGCGATGAGATCAAACTCGGATTTCTTACACGCTGCCATGAAATCAGGACCGATCATGGCGAATTCTGCCAGTCCCTCCACTGCGCTCTCGCACAGATCCACATCCTCATTGGTGATAAACGCCGCTGCTGACCGGATGAAGAAGTTCTTCTGCAGCACCAGGTCCGCTGTCGAACGAGTGTTACGGATCAGATACCGCAAGAAGAACAGCGACTTGCGTTGCAGTCGGACGTCCGTGGCGCTCTCCAGATTCTGACGCATAAGCTCGAGACCCTGGCAGCTTTCTCCCAGGAATCTCTTCTCTGCTGCGGCGTGGTGACGCACTAGACACGAGATGCCAAGCAACGCTTTCACACGACACGTGACGTCCTTGTCCTCGCGGGCCAGACCGCACAACACCTCCAGTAGTCCACTCTCCACGGCCGCGTCCTGGCAGTACGGGTTGTTCTGTACAACGACGGAACAAACTTCAGCTGCCAAGGCGCGGGATGAGGCCTGTTCGTATTTCTTAATGACGTTGATCATGATGCGCAGGCCGCCCATCTTCACGAAGTTCTGCGCGTTGTCGATCTGATCGATGCGTGTCAGCAGCTCGTCCAGCAGAGTGTCCTTGTACTGCGCCAGCTCCTCGGGCGAAGGGCTATTGTCTTCATCGGCAATCGTTCCGTCCTCCTTAGCGAACACAAGACGCGGGTCTTCGCCTTCCAAGATGCGCAGAATGTCCTTGACACGCTCGTTCTCGTCAATCACACCTTCGTTCATGACCATCTCCAGAAATCGGCGCTTGTCCTCCGAGATGGGCGTGGCCTCGGTTGGTGTCGTGCCGTCCGTGTGCTTCATGGTCCACTTCATAAGCGCTTGCCACTTGGCCTGGTCTGCCATTGCTGTTTCAGTTGGTGTCGTGTAAGTAGATGTAGCGTATCGAGTTCTTATTGCTTTGTGGCTTTTGCGCGGATGTTGAATGGCTTGCGACGAGGAATCAGACAGAATCAGAAGCGAAGGTTCGGGAATAATCTAGAATCTGGCCAATAACAGGTGGAAAAGATTGACAATTACTTCAACGAAGTACCACACATTGTAATTTGCATAGTTGGAGCCGAAAAGCTACTTCGCTCCAAGACGGCGCCCGACCAATGCGATAAAACTATAAGGAGATGCAACTCGAGCTTGATATGACCCAGTTGTACATCGAATAAATATGGGGCATCAAGTTTCACCAGTCTACACTTAAGTTTGACTTGCATCACTTCACGAAATCGTTGTTGCAAACTGCGACTCGCGATTAACACATAAGCTCGGAGGGATAATAGTAGCTTTGCTACTGTGCATTACGAGTGAAGGGCATTTACTGTGTCAGGCGAAGTGCTGCAACACAAACGCTGTGCTTAAACCTATCCAGCTTGCCCTATGTCTCTACGACAATTCCTTAGAATCCAATACAAGCGTTGTCTGCCACGGTATCACACAGTACCCTCTTAGAGTTTGGCTTATTGTGCGCTTAATGCTGTCTGGTCTAGACAGCGTTTAGCGCACAATAAGCGTGAGGTGAAGAGGACAACTCTCGATAACGTGTTCTAGGTTTGCATGATTACGTACTTTTACTTATCCGGGGCTACAGGGCCACGTCGCTGAACATGAGTGGCCAATGCAGGTTCGAATGACGAACCCTTGCTTATGGAAACACGTTGAATCCGGCCCGGCACAACTCCGTCAGCTGGCACTCGGGCCTCTCGTACTTGTATGTCACTTTTGAATCTGCAATTCACCACCACAAGCAAGAAAATCAAGATGGCCGAGCACCTGGGAGCCGCTATCCGTGAACGCTACGCCTGCAAGGCCTTCCTGCCTGAACCAGTGCCAGATGAGACGCTCCGGGAGATCCTCAAACTCACTCAGGTTAGCGCCAAGACGGGAGACTCGAGAGACCTCGATACGCACTGACATGGATCTATTGCGTTTGCTTCCCTTTGTGCCACACAGCGTAGCCCTAGCGGGTTTAACACTCAGTCCTGGGTTTGCATTGTGCTGCGTACGGCCGAGGACCGCGCAGCACTGACGACTGCCATGATAGACAGCAACGTCCGCAAGGTCAACGAGGCCCCCGTCGTGGTCGTCTTCGCCGCCGACTGCGGTAAGTGGCAATGCGCAGCGATGCTTGTCTTTGCGTGTGCTGACACGTTTGTTTGTGAAACACAGAGCCTAGTAAGAACGTGTCGCGCATGCAGCAGCTCAACCGCGACAATGGTGCGCCGGATGAGTTCGTGAACAAAATTCCGGCCCTTGTAGAGCTATTTTCGGGCGAGCACAACCCGGAGGTCTCGACCGAGGCGTGGGCGTACAAGCAGGCCACGTTCGCTGCCGCAACCTTCTTGTATGCTGCCCAGGTGCATGGCCTCGCTACGTGCCCGATGGAAGGATTCGACCAGGCCGGCGTGAAGAAGGTGCTGAACATCCCCGACCGCTACAGCATCCCCGTCGTGGTGGCGCTGGGCCACGCCAACCCCGCTGCCAAGCCAGCGAAGCAATCGGTGCGCTTCCCTCCGACAGAAATGTTCTTTGAAGGCAAGTTCGGACAGTCCACCGAAAAGCTGTTTGGAGAGAACTAGACTCGCCAGTTTTATTCGAGAGCAGCTTTAGCATAATGCGTAAAAAAAAGCAAGAGTTCTCCTCTACAACCGTACCTGGTAGTTTAACTGCCTGCACCATTTCGTTTGTGTAACCGTGACAAACGCGAAACCAAGCAATACACATGGAAAACTTGTATCGGCAGATTGATGCGATAGCTATGCTGCTCAATTGAAGTAATTTACAAGGATTTCTGTTGCGGCTCAGTCTTGTCTAGCATGGCTAGGCTGGATGTTGCTTCGCTTTCCTGTCACGGTTAAACAAAATGAGTGTGATGGCATTCTAACGTATGCATTGGAGTAGTGATGCATGGCCATATCAGCCCGAAAAAACCCATTATTTTTTTATGTCTTTTTTCTAAAGCCATCCAACGACATGGTTTATTTGGGTTATTCGGAATTAAGACGAAAAAACCCATTAAAAATTTAATGGCTTTTTTTCGTCTGAATGCAATCCAACGGCAATTTGCGCAACATAATAATTGTAATGTTGCGCGAGCGACTCAAATAAAATAAAAATAATGGAACGAAACAAAAGACAATAATTTTAATGATTCGAGTTGTACTCAAAAATAGCACTTTCACGGTACACTTGCGAGTTCACCATATCAAATCACACGTCGCCACCACGACGATGGCATTGCGCTACTCATCCAAGCTGTTGCTCACGGCGAAACAGACCCGATGCCTCAGTAGCGCGCAGAAGAGAATGGGTGCCGCCATTGAGGAGCGCTACGCATGCAAGGCCTTCCTGCCCACGCCCGTCCCCAATGAGACGCTCAAGGAGATCCTGCGACTCACACAGCGAGCCCCGACCGGCTTCAACGTTCAGCCCTATGCGTGCGTGTTGGTTCGCGAGCAAAAGGACCGCGAGAAGCTGGCAGAGGCCATGATGGACAGCAACATCCGTAAGGTCAAGGAGGCCCCCGTAGTGGCGGTCTTCGCTGCCGATCTGGAGCCCAGCAAGCGTGTTCCGCGTCTCCAGCACCTGATGCACGACAACGGCGCCCCCGCGGACTTCGTGGCCAACATGCCGCATGTCGTGCGTCTCTTCTCGGGCGAGGGCGTGGTGGCAAGCACCCTCCGTGCGGCCATCGCGACAGCAGTGTCCCCTCTGATGCCAGCTCCTTCGAATGTGTCGACTGAAGCATGGGCATTCAAGCAGACAGCGTTCGCTGCGGCAACATTCCTGTACGCCGCTCAAACACACGGTCTGGCAACGTGCCCGATGGAAGGATTCGACCAGATCCGTGTAAGAAACGCGCTGGACATCCCGGACCGCTACGGTGTGCCTGTAGTGATCGCTCTTGGCCACGCTAACCCGGACGCCAAACCTGAAAAACCTTCGGCGCGACTAGACCCGACTGAGATCTTCTTTGACGGAAAGTTTGGCAATTCAAGTGAGAAGATTTTCTCCGACAAGTAACGAAAGTATGGACTCTAGCTAGACAGCTAACCTGTTTACAGTTTTTAACACACACCTTAACTGGGCATCTTAGCATGTGTGTGACCGCTTACCATTGAGCGTTGCAACACACCAAGTTAAGCCCTTTGTTCTTATCTTCACCAAAAACTCGATGGTTACCCTCTAATCGAGCCCGCCGACGCCGAAGTTTCTGGTGGTCTGAGCCCACACCTTCTCGATATCACTCGCTTGGGTCCACTGCTGCTCCAATGGACTAGTCTTCACAGATCCTGGAGTATACTGCTTCACCATTGGCATTGTCAGAGAAAGTTGGTTCGATTGATGCACCGATTCCCCTGATGAAGCGCCCTCCTCGGATTGATGCACCGAATCGTCCGTCGACTGCTGCTTCGAGTTGGTGTCGTCAGAGCCCGGCGAGTATTTGGTGATTGCAGAGTAAGGCTTCATCGCCTCGAGAGCCGCCGTGCCATCTCGAGAGGTGAAGTTTCCGCTGCTTACCAGAGTATTCTCTTCACACGCGCGACCCAGAACCTTCGTACATTCATCCACTCCGGTGGCAGCGTAGAGAAAACCTTCTCCTTTTTTGTATAGAGGATTCTCCACACTATTAAAGTAGTTACCTTCGGCAAGCATCCACGCGTTGCCGTCGAGCTCGAAAGAGTGGTTGGAGAGGTTATCCCAGTAATTATTGGCGACGTGTGCGATAACGGAAGAGTTTTTATCACCAATTTTTGGAGAGCGTCCAGACGTTGAGTGAACGTAGTTGTTGAGCAAGCTAACACCCGTCTTCTTGCCGTAGAGCAGGATAGTCCAGTAGTGACGTCCATTGCAGGTGGCAGAGTAGTCGGTTTCTCCGTCAAAGTCCGAGTTACTTACCGTCATGGTGGCGACGCCGGCCTTGTTCGTGACGAGCATTTGACGCCCCACACGGGAGACCTTCACGTGGTCAATCCAAATATTGTTCATCGTCTTGGTGCCATTGACCATTCCCTCCATGTAGAGCGCGTCGCCACCCCAGACAAGATGACGGTTCAACTCGGTGATGTGAATGTTTTGGACGATAATGTTGTCACCTCTGAGCGTGATACCCTTGCCCATGATGACCCCGAGTTTGCCGATACCACGAATGGTCTTGTGACTGGTGACGTTCATACGCCACCGATACGCATTATCATACGTCACCGTCGTCTCCGTACCATTCTCACAGCCACCCGTGTTGTTCATGCCATTTTTGAGGATCACATCTTGACTCTTGAAACCATTATTGGCAGCGATGCATTCGCGGGCGCTCTGTGGACGACAACCAATCTCGGTTGTCTTGCCTTCGGTTCCCCGAAAGTCGAAAGTCTTGTTCAGCACGACTACGAGTGGCTCCGATGCGTTCAGGTAGTCGATCAATTCCTCGTTTGTTTTCGGGTACACGACGGTGCCGTTGGCTCCACCAGTTGTACCTGCGGCAAGACCAGGAGCTGTGCCGATAGTGAAAGCACTCGCACTCTTGACTGCTAGAGCCAATGCAGCGGCGATAGCGAGTCGGAGACATCCCATGCTCCTCTGGACTGTGCTTCAGAGTGAAATCTGACTTGTGGTTTTGAAGAGTCCTATCGTAGAATGACGAAGTTGCTGAATTGTTGGGTCAAATTGAGTGTACGCGACTAAACCGCGTCAACAGCAAGTGCCGTTTGCGATGAACTTTGCCGTGTGGCGCGATAGGCGATGATCGATTAGTCGTGATGGGACTGGAGTAGCCACTGACTATTCTCCAGTCTACTGTGTAGTCAAACTTGTACGTGTCGTGAGCAAGCTTCGAGTACGCGTGAAAATCTGCACTCGGTACAGCTATGGGGAAACTATACTTGCCACGTGTAGGCACGCACAACTGTACTCGACACGGAAGAAGTCCTGGTGCTTTCTGCAGTACGTAACGTACACTCTGATGATTGTACACCGCAAACAATGCAACGAGCGTAAACAATGAAGATGCACACTGTGAATTGCATATGACGGAATCCAGTTCTTGCCATTTTTCTGATTTTGGCCGATTTCTTGGGTTTAAAAAGAGAAACCCATATTTTATCCAACGAACTTGTAGAACTTTCGATGAAAATGTCGCTTGCCATCCCTGCCAATGGTTTATTTGGGTTATTCGGAACCCAACTCAAAATAGTCAAATTTTGGGTCGTAATAATGTATCCTTGGATGACATTCAGACGAAAAAAACCCAATTAAAAATTTAATGGGTTGTTTTCGTCTGAATGCCATCCCGGCCAATCAGATCTCTCGAAATATTTTTCCATTCCCATTTAAGTTGTCAGAAAAATAGTACTCCCTCCGTTTCAGATTACTTGACCAAATTTAAGGGTTTTTTTAATGTGCTGACAAAGTTTGATCGGGGCCATAAAAAATTAAGCGTTCCCAGTTCTACTTTTAACTTGACTAAATCTATGCGTTAAATAATAAAACCTTGGGGTAAAACAAAAAAAAACGTGGCTGTTCTGTGGATGCGATGAGCCAATAGGATGAATACATTAGATATATTCCACCAATCAAACCAATTGGTTAAGTAACCTGAAACATGATTTGACCAAGTAATGTAAAACAGAGGGAACATTAAAAACCACAGTCGTGCCTTGTAAACCACAGCCTTGGGTTTGTGTCATATTGACAGGAGATTTCGCTAAGAAAGGGGAGCAATCACCCCTCTCATACGATAAATGTAGTCGTGTATCGGCGATTTGGCTCGGAAGTTAATACAGGGGCACGCAAAAAAAAAAAAAATGCAGAGCGAAACGTGGATGCGATCAATAAAACTACTAAAGACAGGTTAACGAATTGTAGGTGAGAGATCTTCAGTGTGATGAAAAATGGCAACGGTATGAGTCGCTAAACTCCCGTTGGTCAGTTATCTCATACGGCCCAGGGAAGCACAAGATATCACTTCGTCCAGGCAACCATACTCTAATCAAGCTAACCTGATCATATGATTGGACTGCTCAAATCCCACTCTATCCTCCATGACCTCCGTCGTGGCAGGTTTCTCGCTATTTTTCCCATCTGAGCAATCGCATTAGGAGCAGATTATTGGCCTGAGAAATTCGCATCAAGAGCTTTCGAATTGAATGGTGCCGTGGAAAGTCATTTGTCGCTTCAGCGGCAATTTTAGAGTATTCCCGACTGATCGACCAAATTCACAATGTTTTTGCTCCCCCGTCTTAGCAGGATCTCCTGTTATTAAATATGGCTAAACCCAAAGCTACAGCGATTGTAACAACAGAAATTAAATTCTTCGATGCGACGAATTCGTGTACACATTGCGCGGTCAAGTTGAGATTATTTTCAATCAAAGCAATACTGAAAGATTCACATTAAGCAATATCAATTTAAGAGAATCGAAATCAAGATTCAAAATGAGCTTTGGTGCATTCAAAGTGAAACTTCGAAAGATTCAGAGTTTGGCATGCGCTCCTGGTCGTTGAATGGCGAGGACACTTTTGCAATAAACTCCGGAGCAATCTTTGAAGTGATACAACCTCCGCTCATTTCTCAACCTTTCGCCTCAGCCTCGCATGTCTTCTCAAACCGTCATCCCGAAGCACTCCCCAGCATAAAAGCACCGCGTACTCAACGCGTACCTCGCAGGAAGAGCGGACTGGCTGTCCGTAGCTGCAAACAACGATATCTCCCGCTTTATGGCCTACTGAATTGCAGATATTGGCCGTGTAGAGCAGGCGGCGCGCGATCCAGCTTGGTGAAGGTCACACTGGACGTCAAGGAGCAGCTCGAAACGTACCTGAACGAGAACTGCACCTACACCACAGAGGCCTATTCTCTGGTTCGACCTGAAGGTGCAGCTGTCGACGTCGACTATTAGACGCCCCTTATTAGGTATGCTCTGCATCGTTAAGCAAACTCGAGTCGAGCCTATGACCTGCAACAACGAGACAAACAAGACTAAGCGCCGAAAGTTTGCAATGAAGCTCAAGAACCATCCTAAAGAAGGTGACTATATTGTACATTTTTAACGAAACAGACTTTAACGTGCATTGAAAACGTGGGAGAGGTCGCTCGAAGATTGGCAGGGCTACTGTCATCCTACCGCCTTCCAAAGGTACGAACCTTCAGGTCCATGTGTCGTGAATTCGATGTCGCTTCTGTACCGCCTCGAGAGAGAGAGAGAGAGAGAGAGAGATACAGCAGTCGGATGGAGCAGAATACAGACTGTATCGAGGCGATCTACGAGACCGTGAAGTCATCAGACTTCTTCAAAGCCCCTGCTGTAATGGGCCTAGTGTGTGCCCACTACTTCGGCTTACATATGTGCGCACGTGTATGATGAAGTGTTAAGTAGTTTTCCTTAGATTAACTACATTTTCATCCGAAAGTATCGATTAACTTAAATATGTAAAACAAAGCCGATTTACGGTAAAAATGAGAAGTGTTATTTATGATTTGTGTCTTTGTTTGGGTTTCCTCCTAAAAGTGATATTGTCTATGAAAGGTATTTGCCAACGAGTGGCTGGCAGAATCCTACTGCTGTAATTGATAGAAATATGTTGCCTTTCTACCAATAGGAAGTCTAAATGCATGCAGGCAGACCAGTGGTCTGACAAATGTATCCATTGATGTATCGCACGCCAATGGGAAACCCTACGTAACCAAGTGGCTACTTGCGTGTAACCCCGTTACACCTACCTTGGAAAGAAGATCGTCGACGTATTAGTCATAGCCCACACAAGGACAAACAGAAGCCGGATTGATAACGCGCAAAGACCTGGTCAGTCTGCCCTGCCCCCTGATGTGCGACCCCATTGAGGACTACTTCTCGGTAAATCACTCTCTATCGAGACGAGATCTGTGATCGCAGTAGCATGGTCAACACGATGCAGTTCCTCGAGCGAGCTTTTCGCAACAGTATTAAGAAAATCACGCCTATGTTAGTCACGAAAATGGAACCTCACACTCAAGACGCCGTGAATGTTGCGGAAGATATGAAGGACGTGGTCTAAGGAAAGTAAACGGATAGGAACTGTCTCCACCTATCCACTTTGAATGCACCAAATCTTATTTTAAATTTCGATTTGCTTTCCCTCAAATGATTTTTGCATAATGTGTATCACTTTGACTGAAAATAATCTCATCTTGACCGGGAATGGTATAATCACACATTATTCGTCAATTCACTCCATATGTCAACTCAAGATTGGCCAATCAGAACCAAGAATCATTTTGTTTTACTTACTGACAATAGCAATCTATAGTATAGAATAGAGTATGCAGTGGTTGGGTATCTATTCAATCTCATCCCTCAATGTGTCATCGTGCGTGCACATTACATTACACAGTAGCACTTGAAGATTCCAGGCATCGTCTTGCTAAGCATTCCTTCACTGGACCCTCGAGCCCGTCATTTCTACCACAATGGGAGCGACCAGCGTGTAAGACGAAGTGGTTTGGATTTCTAAGTAACGCTGCGGTGTCACGAGTTCGGATTGCAGTTGGTAAAAGTGATGATTGGTGGCTTGGTGGATGATGCCTCGGCTGCACTCGTGTGACACAGGTGGATGCTGGGGGTGTGCGGATTGTGTGGAAACATGTTGGCGTCTGGACGTAGATGGACTCGAAACTACACAGAAAGCGTGTCTCTATGAAGATTCATATTCAGAAAAGCAAATAGACACTACAGGCCAGGCCCGGAGAGACGCTTGAGCCCAAGCCCGAACTTTCCCCTACGAGGAGTACCTGAAGGTTGGTGGAAAATCACCCTGGAGAACGTAATCCAGACCGACCTTCTCATGCTGTAATACCACCCAACAAGAACATTAGCACGTGCCCAATATGACGCTGGCCCTAAGGACATACGCTGGATGCCTCGAGGACGGATATCTCCAAGTTGAACAACAAAAGCACGTGTAGACGTGACTAGTAGGACTGACTGCCAGGGCGAACACCGTAAAAGCATCTGCGCCATGATGAACAGCGCTCGATGCTCTTGAGCCAAGATGAACGCCATACAAGGCTGTCGCACCAGGATACACGCAAGATGTATGCTGAGTTAGAGACATCCCGAGTCTGTCCCCACCGTGTGTACCACGATGAAGGACGTACAAGGCGTCCGCGCCAAGATTGCATGATGCAATTCAGGAGGGAAGTGTCGTTTTCAGCGTGCAGCCTCATGAGATCGTTCCCACGCTCAATCCAGGAATGTAATTAAGTCTCACGATGGCACCGCTGGAAAACAGGTGTATCCTGGTAAAGGCAACCCAAGCACTTCTCCAAGATACACTGTGAGCCAGGGATACTTACTTATCAAGACCATGTCTGCGCCAAGATGACAAGATAACAACCAACTATTAACCTTTTTGTTGCCAAAATTTTACGTGAAAATTGTATAGTAGTATTTCCATAATAAAATGCAAATAATGCGTACATGGTTAATTTTACTCCGCAGCTCGCAACATAATAGTATCATACTGTATGGGTTTACCAATAATTATTGCACTTATTGTAGTTCAACCAAGCAATATGCTTCGTTTTCCGCAAACTGCCTGATTGGTCCAAAATATTAATTGTAAAACCAAGCATAGTGCAGGGTTTAGGAACATCAGAAGCAAAAGGGTTAGCCTACGAGCCGGTAACGAAACCAAGTAAAACGCATGCTGAAGTTCAACCACGACCAAGTGCAAAACTGTTGAGTGGACAAGATCGTCTCATCCTGAAGTCAAGACATTCGCTCCCGTCCATACTAAAGGCTTGGACAAGCTAAGCTGCAACCTAACTACCATTTAAGATTAAGACATCTTTATTGAATACAAGATAAAACAAGAAGGATGCTGAATGATATGAAGACGAAGACAGAAGAAGTCAGGAGAAGAAGACATAGGATCTATTGATAACCCTTAACAGAGTTTGTTCACCCCCGTAGAGTACAACTGTTCTGCGTGGAGCAAGCCAGGATGGAAGCACTGCCTCGAAAAAGCAATCAAGCCGCCTGAGCCCCAACCGTCCGAGCAAGCTGATCAAGAAAAGACTGAATCATCACCTATCTTGCAGCGGGGCTGCCGTGGCTTAGCGTCAGAGGAAGACGATTAACTCAATGAGTTATGGGTTAACTCAACACCTTATTAAACGTTAATAGGCCTTAATATCCGAAGACACCAACTAACAACGACCTTAATAAAAGGACTTTACTCTTTGTGTTCTGAATCCAAACTGTTTATTTATCTTTTATTGCGGCAAGCCGCCTATGTGGTAAATGTATGTG